TACATTATGTTTCAGCAAATAACAAGCCCCATTAAAGAAGAGTAATCAGAAAAGACCCAGAAGGGGACTGCCTTAGGGCCAGGTTCTCTAGAAACAGAGCCTTACACAAGGATTCTTGTATGAGTGATTTTATTGAGGGAGTGCTTTCAGGAAGCAGGGGAGGGCAGGGAAGAAGGTTAATTAGACACACAACTTCAGCTGAAGTCTAGCCTCAGCTTGACCCCACAGGGAGTTCTGGAGCATGAGTGGTACCAGAGAGGTATGCTCTCTGACCTTGCAGCAAGGGACCGTGCCTCTGTACTACCCAAATCCATCAGCCATTGGCCATAGGTCACCATCCGTGGAACATAACCTTTCAGGCATTTCTAGGTAACATACCTCCTGTCATTTATGGCAATCGGAGAAGGGGCATCTATCTGTCATCTGAGCCATTAGGATCCAGCACTCACAGGAGCCTGCAGGTGCATACCGTATGTTGCTGTGTATAATGCACACTCAAGGTTTTTGGCCCAAACTTTCAGGGGAAAAAATATTTCGTTTTAACATTTTAATTCAATTTTTTATTTATCTCTAGAATTGATTATCGTATTCCAGGGTATTATTTTGCATACAGATATTGTTATTGCTTTCTAGAGTTACACTTTTAATGCATAAACATAAATAAAAGAGTTAAAAACATTTATATAGACTCATGTATAATGCACATTCTTATTTTTCCCTTGCAAAAAAGTGCACGTTATATACAGCAAAATACGGTACATTGATCTGTTAAAAGGGATCTGGGCAGAGCACCAAGAGCAGCCATTATAGCAGCGGTTCTCAAAGTGTAGTCCCTGGAATAGCAGCATCGGCCCTCTCTGAGAAAGTGTTAGAAATGTAAATTCCCTCACCCAACCCCAGATCTACTGAATCAGAAACTGAGAGTTGGGCCCATGAATCTGTTTTAACAAGCCCTCCCGGTGATTTTGATGCATGCCAGTGTTTGAGATCTACTATACTATAGGAAACTAAAACAAAAGATGAGGGAAAAAAAGAAAAATAAGGCAGGTACAGAACATTTGTTCCAAGAGAAATTACACCAAGAAGAACATATCAAGAACTGAGAGTTGTAGTTATCTCTCAAAAAGACAAAAAGAGCTTAAAGGAGAGAGAAAAGGATTTAAAGAAAAAATTGACACAGGATGAAAAGTGAGCTAGCAGAGCTAAGAAAATAAATGGAAGAGAAAAATAAAACTGTTAGGTGAAAGCACATAAGAAGTAAAGTAATGATCATGTTAATTGTAGCAGTTAAGAAAATTGAAATATACATATGTTCATATATATATTTGAAGCAGAGAGAAAAATTGCAAGGGATTTGTTACAAAGTGTTAAAGAGGCTGGAAAACAAACAGGAGATAGGGATGTAATCGGAGCTGGAGTCCAGGAGCCACACTTGTTGTTGGCTCATCGCTGCCTCCGAACAGAGGCCATCCCATCGCCATCACAACCGCTGCCTGCAGTGTGCGGTCACCTGCAATCACTACAGCCAGAAATGGGAAAAATGGCTGCTCCCTTGCACTCACCTTCTAATTTTCCACCAGTGCTACCCATGAGAGGAACCTAACCAGAAAGCAGCTTACAAGAGAGTCTGGGAAACGCAGTTTTCAGGTTTCCAGCTTCCTGAAATCCAGGGGAGAGTTTGGAAAAGTGGGAGAGGGTGAGAACCAACAAACTATATTCGACACCATAATAAACCCAATTTAAGGAGAATCAGGTTAAGAGCAGAAAACTTGAGAAAAATCACAAAATGGAATAAAAAAAGATTAAAAAACAGTTACAGAGAAGATAATAGTTGTGGAAGAAAACAAGATATAACATACCCATAATTACGTTCCCGAATAAGAGAATGAGATTAAATGCAACAGAAAAAATATTCAAGGCAACAGAAGAAAATGTCTCTGAAATAAACAATCTAAATTTTAGGATGAAAAGAAGACATTAGTATTGCCTTAATCTGTTTGGGCTGCCATAACAACAACAACAAGTCATAGGCTGAGTGACTTATAAACAACAGAAACTCTATTTCTGGAAGCTGGAAGTCCAAGGTCAGGGTGTCAGCACGGTTGGGGGTGGGCCCTCTTCTGGCTGCAGACTTTGCATATCTTCACATGATGGAAAAGGCAGGCTAGTTGGCTCTCTGGGACCTCTTTTATAAAAGCACTAATCCTATCGGTGAGGACACTGCCCTCATGCCCTAATCAATCTCCTCCCAAAGGCACCACCTCCTAATACTATCACATTGCATTTTAGGATTTATTTACTTTTTAAAAAGATTTTTTTAGTTTATTTTTAGAGTGGAGAAGGTAGGGGGAAACATAAGGAGAAACATCAATATGTGGTTGTCTCTAGAGCGCCCCCTACTGGAGACCTGGCCCACAACCCAAGCATATGCCCTAACTGGGAATTGAGCCAGTGACCCATTGGTTTGCAGGCCAGTGCTCAATCCACTAAGTCACACCAGGCAGGGCATGTTTTAAGATTTAGTGAGTGAATTTGAGAGGAGGGTGGAACACAAGCATTCAGACCACAGCAATACTCCAGAAAATTTTGATATAGAATGATCAACACTGGAATATGTCTTGGTGAAGTTAGTGAACTTCTAGTATAAAGAAAGAATTTGATAGGTTTCCAAGCAGAATAAAAGCAATTCAAGTGCCAGGAGAAATAAATTAGGCTGGCTTCAGACTTCTTCTCCCATTACTGCTAGACAACAGTAGAGCAATGTCCACAAATCTCTGAGGTAGAGAGATTGAAACACAAGACTCTGAAACCCAGCCAGGTATTCTTCAGGTTTAAAGACTACAGACTGGCATTTGCAAGCATGTAAGACTTCAGGGAATACAGGATTTACATGTCCTTCTTGAAAAGACTTTTTGAAACTTTTTAGGCATCCTGGAATCCTTCCTCTATCAAACACCTAACAGTGCTGGATAAAATACTTTAATGCACCATTTTAAATAAATGGCTGAGTTTACCAGAAATGAAGGACATAGTCTGTGGCCAGGAATGAACTGAGAGCCCAACTCCAAGGAAGTGAACAAGCATGAAAGTCAGTAGGCAGTTCTGAGGACATATGCTAATTCCTCATCTTCAGAGCTTTGGTTTGCTAGGCTTCCTGCCAGGCACACAAGGCAATGTCTTGCATCTGCCAGAAAGGGGTGTGGGCTCATTGCTCCACAAAAAGCCAGGTACCGCAAAGGGCCTCACCCCACCCTCAGAGAATAAGTGAACTGGGGGGAAAACCTGTCAAAAGCAGACAGGCATATCATGATGAAGTATTTCCTTCAAATCAGTTGATGTTGTGACTGCAGACTGTACTCTGAGCTGGACAGGACATATTAAGAAGCCTCATCCACATACCAGTGGTTTACAGTGTTAGCCAAACAGAACAGGTTTATTCTTGCTATCTAGACCCAGAAAGATCACCTTCAAAGAGAAAAACCCTTCATCATGAATGAGACTTGAGCCCAAACTTCTTGCAACCCGCTCCATGTTCTTTTTCCGCCTTTGCCCATGTAGTTTTCTCCACTTAAGTGCCCTCCTCCCTTCCCATGTTCTCCAGGTTCCCACACAAAACTATGGAAGTACTGGGCATCCAGAGGCCCCCACCTCCATAACACTTTCCCAGATCCACCCAACTCAGAGGGATTGCTCTCTCCTCTGCACTCCCTGAGCATTTAGTCTTTACCTCAGCTCTAACCTGTCCTATTTCACCTTGAATTATGGTCATCGCAGTGCACATCTGGTCTCCCATGAGACTAAGATTCTGGAGGACAATTGCTGGATCTTGTCCATCTTTGCGTCACTCAGCACCCATAAAAAAAATCAGTGCTCAGTTAATGTTTAATGCATAAAGTTGAAGAGAATTGAATTGGAACATTTAGGGTCTATTTTATCATTCTGAAAAACTCCTCAGTTCCAGCTACTATTATTCGTTGAAAACTGGGAGGTTTCTGTGCATTTATAGACATGAATTGAAGGACCATTGGAAGTGATTCCGAGGACTGTGGTCTTAGAGGCTCTCTCTTTCTGTGGAACATAGAACTTAGGAAGGACAGTGCTCAGATGTGCTTTGGTTCTACCATATTCACAGCTACTCAATTCTCAGTATGCCTGCACAGGCTCATGCCAGTATTGAACAGTTGTTTTGGCCAATTGAAGAATTTTTACTGTGTTCCTGCTGTCCTATCTTCTTTCCATAACTCGGCCCTTAATAAGGAGCCCAAGGAGGTAGTGTAAAACCACAATGATGATATTAATGATCACAGCCAACACTTCCATGGCATTTTCTTCAAGCCAGGCACAGTTCTGAGTGCTTTACTCATGAGTCCTCTCCACGGGGTAGGCACTACTTTATGATGAGATACCGTGTTATGGTTCTCTATATCAAGGCAACTTAACCAAAGTCACACAGCTAGCCAGGGGTAGAGCCTGGACTCTGGCCTTGAAGTTAGAGATGGGGTTTGAATCTCAGCTTGTCACTTATTAATTCTGAGACCCTCCACAAATTATTTAAAGCTCAGTCTTGATTTCCTCATTTGTAAAATGGAGATCACAATCTCCTCTCTGAGTTATATAGAGATGAAATGAGGTAACTATATGAAAGCGCCTGTGTCTGGTGGATGACTAAAGGTGGCTGGTTTTAAGAGTAAAATAACACATTAATAATATTAACATTGTAGCAAGTAAGGCAGAGCCAAGGAGAATGTGTTTTCATGTTAGAAAAATGTCTCCCAAAGTTCATTCCTTTATGTCATGTTGTGAAAGTAGTTTGATTCCAATGTGGAAAAATTCTCCAGTGGGAGTTCACAAGATAAAACCACATTTGACATGTAACATAGAGACCAAGTGTTCTTCCCGTCAAATGAGGCCTTTCCAGCATATGATATTTTTTGCTGATCGGATTACTGTACAAGCTGACACAAACTGGAAAGTACAAAGATCACACTAAAGCCATCCCAAAAGGACTAATATGTTTTAATCATTCTGTATTAGCTTGCTGCATCTTAAAATATTTTGTTTTCAAATCAAGTCACAGCTGTGTGTACTTTAGACTGTGGCCGTCATAAACAAATATAAAAGAAGCAGAGTTAAAACAGATGAATACCAATGGTTATCCATTAGCCTGACATAATTTAACACAAATGACCATTAGGAGACTTGCAAAAAAAAAAAATCTGGGAAATAGAACTTCACATATGAGCTTCTGCATAACTGAATGGAAGCTCTGCTGGTGCCTGTTGTCTAGTTGGGTCAAGGTTATCCTGTTTTTGGGAAGTCAGTCCTCACCTGACCCCAAGTGACTCTGTTGATAAGATAGTGAAATATTCCAGAGTACAGAGAGCCAGATTTCTATGAAATAGATTCAAAGATTATACAGTGAGTAACCTCCTCTTCTATGGTAGAATTGGAGATGCACTACCATGGAAACTCACCCCTCACCACCACTACCGCCATTGACTGGTTGTTCAGTCTTTTGACAGGGAAAGGATTATCATTTTTACCGTCTCCTCTCATCCCTACTCCCTCCTTTACCAATTCCTCTTCTCTCTCTGAACACCCAGAATTCTCCCCATGCTTGGTTCTAAAAACCAGTTTAGTGTATTAAATATCAATTCCACCAATGACCAACTTGGTGAGGGATGCCATACCCGCCCCCTTGGCATTAGAGTGCCTGGAGGAGGCCACCTTTCACATGCACTACACCCAGGGAGCGCCAGCGCTGTCACACTCTGAGACATCACACGCTGACAGCAGCCCCCACAGGGCAGGCCGTGTGGAGCCGTACATTCCTTAATGCTCAGCTCACTGGCTGCTTCGTTTTCTGATTATGACAATTGCTTGCTCAGATCAGAAAAATCTGAGCTAGGAGTTCAACTGGAGACACAGGTCAAGAGGTGAAAGCCAGCTGGTTTGTGGGGAGAGCCACGCCTTGAGGAGCCCTCCTCTTGGTCGCTTGGAAGTGTGGGATCTGTCCAGATTAACTATGGGGCTTTTCCAGAACAGCACGAACCTCCTCTGGATGATAGTTCCAAGGGCCAGGTTTACCCTGCAAGAGAAATAAATCAGCATTCCGAGATTTCTGACTTGCAGGAGGTCTGGGCTGGTGAACTCCGCATGGGAGCCATTGCGATGGCGTAGTCAGTGGCGGGCGAGGTGTGCAGGCTCACGCAGGGAGAGTGTGTGTAATGACACCAACATGTAACAGGAAAACAGGACATAAATAGGAGGAAAACCAGAGGGGGTAAAGTGAATAGTTTCAAAAGGAGAAAGGGGTCTGTACAAATAAACTTCTCTTCCATAGTCATACAATCAGACTGGCCTGATCTTCTCCACCCCTCGCATCAAGTTCTGTTTATTCTACATTGGAACCACCTCTGCCTCTCCAATCCCACTGCCTAGCTCAGCCTTCATCCTCTTCTACTTAGGCAGCTGTCTCGCCTCCCACCCATGCCCTGATTTCTTCACTCCATTCTTTACCCAATAGCCGGTGAACTTTCCAGGATCTGAGCACGCCTCTCCCCTGCTCGAAACTCCTTATGGCTCTTCTTTTCCCTAAAATGAAGGCCAAACTCTTTGATTCAGAATGAGAGCCCTGGAACCAAAGTGCCCTCAGTTCTCCATTCACACTCTGCCCTGATATGCCACATGCCTTTGCCCACCCTCTTCCCATTGCCTACTGAAATATATTTGCAATGATTTTTCACTCACGATGCTCACATGGCTGGCTCATTATCCCTGAGCCAAGCAATTGTCACCTCCTCTGAAAAGCCCACAGTTCCCCAGAGGTTGGAAAACTCACTGTCTGAGAGCTTAATCTGTCCTGATGCCTTCATACCCTTCCGTTTACATTTTGTTTGTGCTGTTTTTGTGCTATACCAGTAGAACTGAATCATTACGACAGGTACTGTTTGACCAACAAAGTTGAAATAGTTATTATCTGGCCTTTTATAGGAAAGGTTTGGTGAGCCTTGCTCTGGAGTCTCAGAGCACTTGGGATACTTCAACACTGTTTGGGTCCTCCTTATCTCCCAGACTGTGAGCACCTTCAAGTAAGGTGTGGGCCATTTTAAATTCATTTTTGTGTTTTCATTGTTTGCACAGGGCCTAACCCAAGGCAGGGACACAGTGTGCAGTTTGGCTTGATCTAGCCATCTGAGAATCACGTCCCGGAGCAGGGAATCCCCTGGCACGCTGGGGATTCATCCACAAGTCGTTTCATGTTTCACTTGCATGCACAGGGCCAGCTTGACCCATGGGCAGAGGAGCATCCACATGGTTGGGCTTCACGTGCTCCCCAAGGCGGGAGGTCCCCTCGGCAGCTCTCACACTTTGTCTCTGCCCTCTCAGAGGAGGCCCATGGCGCCCAGGGGGTGGTCAGAGGCCATGCTTATGTCCCTCATCTGGGCCAGGCTGGAAGCCTTGAGAGGAACACAGTCCTTCTAGAGAGAGAGCCTGGACTCAATTTCTGTGTTGAATTCCAGCTCTGAGCTGCAGAGTTTGCTTTCTTCCAGCTCCCTTCAGCCCCACCGGGTGCAGGTCTGCCTCAGATTAGCTGCTTCAGTCCCTCCCACCCTTGAATCATCCCATCCAGAAGAGTCAGAATTAAGATCAGCCTTGTGCAGTGAAGCCTTGGGCAAGTTAATTCCCCTCTCTGAGCACTGTTTATGACATGGAAACAACATTCTCTGTCTCTCAGCTTCAGACTGATCCAGGACTGGGCCAGTCTCCTGGGTTCAGAAGGCTGCCAGGAGGCTCCAGTTGCAGTCTAAATGCTAGGGACTTTCTGTGCATTATGTCATCCCCAGGGACATGGGAGCCAACATCTTCATTTTGCAGAAGAAGAAACTGAAACTCCAAGAAAAGAAAGAACTTGCCCATGGTCACATGGCAGGTAAATGGCTAGGTAGCAATTTGAATCCAGGTCTGACTGATACAAAGCCCTCCCTTTGTCCTTTGCCCTCCCCGGGCCCCTGCCTTGGGGTCGGGGTCGGGGTGGGAGTAGGCATCACCTTGTAGAGGATCCTGCCCTCCTGGAGCACATAGAGCCTGTCGGGCAGTGCCGCGTAGAGCTGGCTGCTCTGGTTCTTCATTGTGTCCACCACCACAGGGCACTGGGGGCTCCTGTCCAGCAGCCGGTGAGCTGCCTGGAGCCGGTCGTGGAGGTTCCGGTGATTCCTGATGACCACGTTGTTCTTAAATGCCCAGCCATCTACAAGAGGAAGGCCAAGCTGTGGACCCCATAGGCATGGAACACACTTCCTACAGACTAAATACCCCTCACTTTAAACTGGGGGTCCCAGAGAGAGGAGTCCTTGGCCATGATTTCGCCATTTCCTACAGGGTCTGGCACGAATAATGCCACCTTTTTGTTACAAAATCTTTTATTACAAAATCATAAGCATGTAATTCTGTAATATAACAATATCACACTCAAGCACACCATGTGACATTTTAGGTGAAATGTTCAAATTAAAACTATAAATTATTATACCCATATTATTACCCTACCAACCACACTCAAGCAGGCATTGCTTCTGCCGGACCCTGTATTATGGGTAAATGCATGAGATCACGTAGGGAGTTAGTGGTTGATCCAGAACTGAAGCCCTTGGTCCTGACTTCCAGACATTGGCTCTCCATTGTGACACAGCCCAACATACCAGTGCTTGTCAAAATTGAATGCGCCAATGAATCACTCAGGGACCTCACTGAAAGAAGATTCTGGTTTAGTCTGTCTAGGGTGGCACTGAGTCTAGCTAGCTCCCAGGATGCTAAGGCTGCTTGAATCACCCTTAGAGAGAGAAGGGTCTAGGGCAGCATTTCTCTAAGTGTGAGCTGCCCAGACCAGCGGCATCAGCATCACCTGGGAGTTTGTTAGCAACGCAACTTCTCAGGCCCTACCCTAGACTGACCAAGAACGGGGCCTAACAATTTGTTTTAACAGCCTTCAAGATGGTTCTAACACATGTCGAAGTTTGAGAACAACTCCTCTAGAGTCTAGACAATTCCCCTCTTCCAATTATTCTCCACCAGAGTGTTCTTCCCAAATTGCAAATCTATGGCACTCTCCTGCTTAGATCTTTCAATGGCTCCCTATCACCTTCAGGATAAATCCCAAGCTCCTCAGGCTGGCCTACCAGGTCCTTAGTGACCCGGCCCATCTCTCCAGTCTTCCTCCAGCTTTTTGCTCCAGCAACACGTGTATAATACTTGGGGCTCCTTGACCCACTCACCCTCTAGCTGTCTCTCATGTCCACCTGTTTCATCATAGCTCCTGCCTCCAGTTGCAGTGGGAGTAAAACAGGACTTTCTATTTTCTTGTTTGGATAATGTGACTTCTGCTGCAGCAGCTGATACATTAGATCTACCGACAGCCTCACGATAAGCCATTCAGCGTGAGATTAGAGCCAAGCACAACTGCTAGCCTGGCAACGGCCCTTATTTTCATCCTAAGTACTTTTCCTGCCTCCTGATCTTACCACCTTCTACCTCGTCATCCAAAAATCTCCCAGAATGATATGATCATATCTTTTTTCTCTGCTTAAGCACCAATTACAAGACCAACTCCTTAGCATAGTATTTAATGATCTCTGTCCTCATCCCTCACCTACCTTTCCAGTCACAGCTGCTAGTCCTTCCACATCTAGTCAAAGTGTACTCCTCCTCGAATGAGGCTGACACCTCTCTGCCCTTTCTCCTTACCACCTCTTCCAGGTGTGAAATCCTATACGTTCTTTTTAAGGTTCAACTCTAATGCAGGGTTTCTCAATATTGGCACTATTGTCATTTTGGGCTGGATAATTCTTTGTTGCGAAGGGCTGTCCTGTGTGTTGCAGGATGTTGAGTGGCATCTCTGGCCTCTACTCACTAGATGTCAGTAGCACTCCCCCCACTTTTAATTTGCCATGACCAGAAATGTCTCCATCCCTGGTTGCTGTGGCTCAGTTGGTTGAAGCATCATCCAGGAGAGTGAAAAGTCATGGTTCACACCCTGGTCAGGATGCATACAGGAGGCAACCAGTCACTTTCTGTCTCATATTGATGTTTCTCTCTCTCCCTTTCCCTTTCTCTAAAAGCAATGGGAAAAAAAATGTTCTTGGGTAAGGATTTAGAAGAAAAAAAGTCTCCAGATATTGCCAAATGACCCCTGGAAGACAAAAATCCCCCTTAGTTAACAATCACAGCTCTAACATTACCTTCTCCAGGAAACCTTCCTTGATACAATAAGCTGTGTGATATTATTGGTGAAGCTCTTTAAAATCTCTTTAAATTCTCAGTTTTTTAATCTGTTAAATGGAATTAATAGAAACTATTCATTAATAGAACCTACTAAGCAGATGTCTGTGAGGCTTAAATGAGATAACATGTATAGAATCCCTAGTCCTCTGCCTGGTTCACAGAAGCTGTTCAAAAAATATTGCTTTATTTTGTCTGACTGTCCCAAAATAACAGTCAGGTGGGATAGAACCCAGTTTTTATTATACACTGCAGATTTTCTGCTACTTTGTTCCGGAGATGTTCCCTCACCCGCAAACCAAGCCATTGAAAGCTGTTTAACTTGAAATGGAAGATTTTCAACTGGCCTCATTTGCCAGGCTGCCCTTCTGTCCACTTACAGGAGGTGGCGCTCATTAGCTAATAGTCCCACAGTTTGGGAAAAAATAACTATAAATTGCTATGTCCCCTTCTACCTGCCCCATTTTTCAGAAGCCTGGAACCCAGATAACGTGGTCGGGTTCCTTGGAAGCCACGTGGGCTGTGTTCACAATAATGGTTGTCTCCCAGGGTAATACAAGTTGCTTAAGTCCATCAGCAGAATTTGTTTCACCTTCTCAGTACTTCAAAGTCCTCTGCTCAGTATATTTCCCCCAAGAAAAACAAGTATTTAAAGTATTTATTACCTTCCCCAGGACATCAAAACTTTGTAGATAATATCACCAGCTTCTATTTGCATCACGCTTAGGCAGTCTTGTCCACCCTTTTGCTCAATGGAGCTTCACAACAACCCCCAGGCAGAGGTGCTTGTCCCATCCTGAAGCTGAGAACACAGAGGCCCAGGCAGGAGCACTGACCCGCCTCCCAACTTCAACTGTGAATTCCTTAGAGGCAAGAACTTTTTTGTGTGTATCTTTCATCTCTATATCCCCAGGCCCAACATAGCGCTGGGCATGTAGCAGGCACATGTTAAATATTGCGGAGTGAATGATTCTGTGAGATCAGCGTTGCCATCCTATTTCAGTGGTGCAGAAGCTGGCATGGAAGGTAAGTTGCTCCATGGTGTGTGGCCAGCATGTGATGGGGCCAGGACTCACATTCAGGCCTGAAACTCCGGAGTCTGTTCCTCACACCACACCTCGTGCTTCCCCATAATTTACCTGGAGAAACGTGGTCTGTGGGAAGAAGGAAGCCAACTGGTTTGGGCCACAGACCAAGGCCTCCTAGAATCAATGGACCTCCTAGAATCATTAGATTCTCATAAGGAGTGTACAACCTAGATCCCTTGCATGCATGGCTCACAGTAGGGTTCCCATTCCCATGAGAATCTAATGTTGCAGCTGATCTGACAGGAGGCAGAGCTCAGGCAGTAATTCAAGGGGTAGGGGAGCAGCTGTAAGTACAGATGAAGCTTTGCTCCCTCGCCCGCCACTTACCTCCTGCTGTGCTGCCCGGTTCCTAACAGGCCACAGACTGGTAACAGGGGTTGGGGACCCCTGCTCTAGGACCTTGTTACTACTCCAAGTGTGGTCCCTGAACCAGCAGTCTCAAAAATCACTGGGGGAGGTGGCGACATGTGGCAAATCTCAGACTCCTTCAAAGTCCTGCTGAGCCAGAATCTGCAGCTTAGTCGAATAACATCCCCAGGTGATTTAAGTGAAAGCATTAAAGTTTGAAAAATGCTGCCCCAAGACAGTTCAGTCAGCCTTGGCTGAGTTTCAGCTGTCAGCTGTGATGACATCAAGGCATCATCTCCTCTCAGCCATAAAGACCACAGACACCTGTAAGCACCTAAGTTCTCTGTCTTTAACTGATGGCTGCTGCTCTCCCAAAGGAGTATTTAACAAAGAAGTACACTGTGCTTGCATTTGCTCTTCTGTTACCTATGCTGTTTAAATTTTATTATGGAAATTTTAATTTTATTTTTGTTGACTTTTAGGGGGGGAGAGAGAGAGAGAGAGAGAGAAACATCGATTTGCTGTTTCACTTAGTTATGCATTAATTGGTTGCCTCTTGTATGTTCCCTGACCAGGGATTAAACCCTCAACCTTGATGTATCAGGATGACACTCTAACCAACTGAGTTATCTGGCCAAGGTGGAAATTTTTAAATAAACATAAAAGCTGAAAGAACTGTATAGTAAAACCTCTATGTACCTATTACCCTCTGCTAATATTTTAAGTTGCCCCAAAGTCTTAATGAGGGTACAAGCTGTCAGTTAAAAGAACACTATTAAGTTAAAAGCCATTCTCAAACCTTGGGGTGCATATAAGTCAAGATGCAATGGGCCTGGGGAAGAGCCTGGAATATGCATTTTCAACAAGCAACTCAGGTTGCTTGCTGGGTTGTCAGCACAACCCAGGTGGCGCTGACACCAGGGATCCTAGGACTGCCCTGGAGAAAGTGCTGCTGGACCAACCTTGCTGATGATTAAAAAATAGCAATGTCTACACTTACAACAGATGGATAAGCCAGCAAGGCCAATACTGGTCTGAAACCCTCACTCATTCACCCAGCGTTTATAAGCTCTAAGTCTGTGCCATGGCCTCTGCCTGGTGCTGGCTGACGATGATGGATCTTGGGGGAAGATGGGTATATAAATGACATTCATTCTACTTGGCCACCCAAGCCATCTTGCCTTCTTCACTCTGTGGGTTTAAGGGTTGATCCCCATGAAAACCAGGAAGATAAAAGTATATCTGACCATTTTGTAAAGTTCATGGGGCTTAGACAAAGCTGTAGAAGTTTCAGGGAGGGATGTGCCTGCCCACTGCAAGAAAGGGCTTTCTCACAGAGCTGAAAGGCAAAGGAATAAGATTTCCCATGAAGTAATAAAGATGGGTAACCATCTGTTAGGGACCGAAGAAAGGATTCCTGTTCTAGGTAAAAATCTGGCCTGGGGAAGTGATCTTCATAGAGTGGTCCCCAGGCCAGTAGCTTCAGCATCACCTGGAGTTCGTTAGAAATGCAAATTCCCAGGCCCCACCCCAGATCTAACTCAGACTCTGGGCTGGAGTCAAGCCGTCTGTTTTAACAAGCCTTCCAGGTGCTTCTGATGATCCATAAAGCTTGGGAACCACTGAAGGAGATGGACCACAATGTACTTTTGAGCTCAGAGGGTCTTAGGATGGATTTTGCAAGTAGCTAAATAGTAGTCATTTCACTTGTGGCGTTTCAGGTCTAAATTCCTTGTAATTGCACTCACAGTAGCTGTTCTTCCTTGATTTCCCTGTTTATCCATCCAGAATGTTAGATGCTCCCTCAGCTAGACCCTGTCACTCCGGGTTTTCTGCTCTGTGTTCCTAGTTGAAAGGACAGGCTAAAGTTAGCAAGAAGTGGGTAAACCTAGCAGGGACTGGGAGATGGTGGGTGAACAGGGACTCTTCCTCTCTCTCCTCCTATACCTCTTCCCACCCTGAACCTTGGGGGAAGGGGAACAAGAAAGGGCAGGAGGAGGTAGAGGCAGGGAATCTTGTGTACCTGATGCATGTGCTTCCTCAATGTAAATGACGAGAAAATCTGCTACAGAACTGAAGTCTTCAATAAGTCTCTTGAATTGATCAAATTTGAAAAGAAATGAAGGTCAGGTACAACTTCCAAAATTCAGCACCAGTGGCCTGTTGCCTGAAACAGAAATGAAACCATCACCAACCAAGAATCTACACACAGCAGCTATTTTGCAAGCCCCATCTTCACTTCTGCTTCAGTTCTGCTCAATTTCCCCCCTAAAATGGATCAAGGGCACAGTGAGGAGCTGAGGCGTAGAGAGCGTGACATAGCAGAAACTGGAGCCACTTTACTCTTCTATAAAATGAGGGGTTTTATCAGGTGGTCTTAGTGGACCACCTACAGTTGTTGGGTGGGAATGAAAAGAGGGATAAAAAGAGTCCCTTTCATGCAGTTTATAAGGCAAGCACACATCCATTCTTTCATGTGAGGTGATTAGTGTACTACAAGGTAAATAAATTTCCCCTCATTTTATAGACAGACTGAGGTTTATAGGCTTGTTTCATATCACACAGCAGGTCAGTAGTGGAGCCAAAATTAACGCTCTGGCTCCTAGATTTTCAGTTCAATGTTTTTTTCCATTCAAAGTGCTTCGGTTTCCTCATCCACTAAGGGACATAGTAATAATACTTACTTTATAGGATTGTTATGAGAATTAAAGAAGTTAACACAGATAAGGGATTAAAATGGTGCCTGGCCCATTGTAGGTGCTCACTAATTGTAAGCCATTGTCATTAGCTATTATCTGCCCCCTGAGCTATGATGTGTGGGAGGCAGAGGAAGGGACCCCACAAAGGGGAGTTCAGGGTGGCAGCAGGACCACCTACATAATTTGCTGGATTCGTTGCAAAATAAATATGCAGGACCCCTTGTTCAAACAGTGGGGGAAAAGTGTCATTTCATATATTAAAATACAAAGATTTTTCTTGTCTTCCATGGTCTCTCTCTTGTCCTGGTACAGTACTTTTTTAGTTGCTATTTAATGTTGCATAAATGAAGTAATTTCAAGTTGTGATAAGGGTTACAAAAGAGACTATAAGGGAATAGTGACCTACTTTAGAAAGGCAGGTCAAGGAAGGCCTCTAATGAGACACCATTTAACTGGGGAAATGAAGACTAGGAATAAGCCAGAGGGGACAAACGGACTCCACGTATACAGGCCCTGAGGAGGGACAGACAGAGCTTGGTGTGTTCAAGGACCTGCAATGCCAATGTGACCCAAGCCAGGCTAGGGGTGCAATAAGAGTTGTGGCTGGAGAGGCAGGAATGGGCCAGAGAGGGCAGGCTCTCCTACCCCGCAAAAAATCTGAATAGGACGTCATGAAAGTACAAACCAAGGATGGAGGATATTTGTTACAATTTTGACTGCCCAGCTCCTAACTCTCCCTCCTACTTGGAGTTCCCTATTCTGTGTACTATTTATTGATGGACAGTGTGCCCAGCCTTGCTCTTGGGTAGACAGAGTGGCCAGGTCTGTTCTCTGCCTCCAGCAGCCAGGGCACAGTCAGTGACTCACGTAGGGCTGATTGGACCCTCCCACATAGATCTTTGGTTCTGCAGTCACTAAGATGGCAGAATTGATCCATGGTCCAGTGGTGGTATCCCTGTCAGGGATAATGGAGTCCTACAGTGTTGATGGTTTCCCATGGTAACCAGAATGATAGCAGCATCCAGGCCTGACTTTTGATGCTAACAGACAGACTAGGCTCAGTGTTTCAGCTGTGGTTGATTCTGGAGATCTTACAACACTTTTCTAATACATTCCTTCACATATATATGTGTGTGTGACCAAGAAAACCAGAGTGAGTTTCTGCTGCTTGCAAGCCTGCACTCTGACTGCTACAGTAAGGCTGTATGATGAAAAAAAAAAGATCAGATTGACACAGAAGATCACTCTGGCGGCTCTGTGGGGAAAGGACTGACGTGATAATGGAAGTTGGAGAGAAGCAATGAGAAATATGAGAGATAATGGAAACGTGAGCTAGTGTGTGGGCAGGAGAGAAGGGAGAACTGGAATTGATAGGACTTGCTGATGGAAGGGGAGCAGAGGGCATCTTAACTTGCTTGTGGTTTAGTTGGTTAGTTAGTCCCTCACCTACTTCTGCAAAGGTTTTGAAGCAGCTCACACATATAACAAAACATTAAATAGAAATTTTAAAAAATCATGCCCCTTTGGAAGGCAAAGAAAAGGAGGTAAATGTAGAGCATAAATAAATAGGCCTTAAGGTCCCTACATTCACTATAACTGAGCTAATATTTGGCTCTGAGTTTCTGGTGGCCAAGTAAAAGGGGAAACAATTCGTTATGTATTTCTCATTTGTCAGCACATGAAGAGAAAGCAGGTCAGTTTCTCTGGAGATAGATAGTTCTCTGTGTCCATGGCTCAGAGATTTTCTCATAGGAGTCCCTGGAGGGTGTTGAGGGGGCCTCAGTTGCTGTGGGTTGATTGCACAGAGTCCTCACCCATGTGACAGGGTTGCCCAGGACTCAGCAAAAGGAGCTCAGAGACCAGTCATGGCCAAGTGGCTGGCCATTGGCCTCCCGTGACCTCTGGGAGTCACCCATCAGATAAGAATCCAAAAGAATTAAGGTCAGGACCAGAGTTAAATATTAGCTGTCTGAAATTTGTTTTTAATTGAAAAAAGAAAAAAGACTCGCCATTCACTGACTAGGACCTTTGACGATACAGAGCAATTTGTTGATCTATAGTGTGGTTGGGTGCAGTGATCAGTATTGAGGGCAAAGTTTAAACTCAGTTCCCTGCCTTCCTGGGAGCAGGGAGAGGAGAAATGGGTACGAGGGGGTAGCAGTGCTGGGTGCGTACACCCTGTCTGGGTCCACAGGCCATGGTGCAGGGAACACCATTTCAAGGATGTTAGGCAAGGACCGCCACATCCAACTCATCAGTATAAATGGGGTAACAGCTCTGTAGTAGTGCTGGACTCACACCTACTGTGATGACCCCCAGACCAGTAAATTAACCACACTCACACTGGGCTCTCTCAACAGAGAAAGCCCATTTATAATTACTGGATGACACCTCATAAATACGCTTGGAGAGATTTTAAATAATATTAAATAAAGGCTACAATAAATCAGGTTGCAGATTAACTCCTAGGTACATAGGAAATAAAACATCAGGTTTGCCTTCTTCCACAATACACCAGTTAATCGATGTTTTGCTGTGTGTGTGTGTGTGTGTGTGTCTTAAGGCATGTGTGTGTCCTAAGGCATGTGTATGTCATGTGTGTGCATGTACATGAATATTCAGAGCATGGGGGTGGCTGAGAATTTCTCTGAGCATCTGCTGTCTTATTCAATAAGAAAAACCACTAGCTGAGAGTCAGAAGGCATAAATTCTAGTTCTGGCTCTATAAGAACTTGCTGTGTGACTATGAGCAAGTAATTTACCTCTCTGGGCCTTTGTATCTAAAAAATGAGAGTCGCTTTACGTTATCCATAAAGGCTCTTCCATGCCTTCCAGTCTGTGGCTCTAAAATGAGTTCAGATTTATAGCCAAAGATGCAACAGAGCTTTTTATTGGCATGGGTTTCCAAAACAGTTACAGGATGTCTAATAAGCAGAACTGATTGTGTTAACTCCTTGCTTGAAAATCCTTCTAGAACTCACCAATACCCTCAGGATAAAGCCTACTCTTTGGTAAGACATATAAGGTGCCCTCACCCCCCACCAGACTGTAGTCCCTGGTGATGTCTCCAGCCTCATCCTTCACCCCTTCATGCCTTCCACACCCCACTTCTGCCAAACTGACCGGTGCTCCTCCCTGTCTCAGGCCTCTGCTGCTCCTCCCTCGTTCTCCTCTGCCCCCACACCCCCTTCCTCACCCAGCCCTTGGCTCCACTCTCCCTAGACAATCAGCTCACCACCCTCTTCTCCAGGAAGCTTTCCTCTGAGTGCCTCCCTGCCCCGCCCCAGTTCCTCCAGAACGCTCTGGCTCTGAGTCTCACTACGCCATCTCCCTCTCCCGGTTATGAGATCCACCAGCACAGAGACCAGTCATGTTGGTTTCTGTACCACCAGCACCTGTTATTTCAGGGGACTCTGGGTCAATATGCTGAAAGCCAACTCCATTTTATAAATAGAGTGTTCTTTTGTCTTTCAGTCTCCTTCTCTCCCCTTTCTTCCATCTCAGATATAACAGCAGAGAAACAAAGGTAAATAGAACAATCTAAAATGTGCGCTGGCTCAAGGAAAGAGAACAAGTAAAAGAGGCAAGTAAATTCTGTGAATTGACCACAAGGTAATTTGGCTTTCATGGAATTGATTGCTAGATAATTGATATTGAATGCATCAGCCTGGTTCTACCACAATGCTTGGCACATAGTAAACGCACAATAAAAGTTAGTTGTTATTCTCATCACTCTTATTATCCGTGGTCACTTTGGCAAACATTTGTTGAATAAATAGGTCCTTTGTGCACCCTGGTTTTAAAGTCATGAGTAAAACCTCTTGGCTTTCCTTTTCCTTGAAACACATTCCCCTTTTCCATTCTCAGGAAAAATCTTACTCATTCTTCAAGGCCTAGTTCCAAAGCCACCTCTTCCAGGAAAACTTCCAAGCCCTGCAGGCAAAGTTCATGCCTCTCTAGCCTCCCCCATCTCTCAGAATTGTAAGAATTTGTTTATTACATCCATCTGTTCTGTAGAACCATAAACGCCTTGAGCAGAAGAGCGAGCTCTTACTTAACTCTGTGTCCCTGCCATCTAGCTGAGGGCCTGGCACATGGGAGGTGATCATGAATGTTTGTTGAGGTGCAGTGAAAAAAAATGGGAAGAAGCAAGCCCTGATTCTGGGTCTGACTCAGTCAGTCATCTGCTGTTACCTATGCCTCTCCGTTTTCTCCATTTCTTTTCTAAAATGAGAGGACTGGACTAGGACAACATTTCCCAAAGGCTGTTCTTTGGAACCAATATGATGACAGGCATTTCCTCTGGTGGAGAGTGGGGAGGTGTGTGTGCTTGTGTATTAGGAAAATTTGTCAATGCTGTGTTAAAGTTTTTTCAAGTTTTGTTTGTTTTTAAGCTTCGGGTCTTCTCAGAGCCTTTTATATGCTGATGTTCACTATGAATTCCAAGAGGAGGGGATAGTGTGTAGGGTATCCCAAAAAACTTAGACTTGGGGACTGTAAGAAATAAAGCATATCTGTGGGATTTGTGTTCCAAAGAACACTTTGAAAAGCACTAGGTTAGTCAACAGCCTCAGGGATCTTTTCTATTCTATCTGCTGTGTCCTGGGAATTCAGAGATGAATCAGACACAACCCTGTTGCAAGGCTTCCTGTTGGGCAAGAAGAAAACAACTGGCCTTAGGCAGCCTGAGGCTGGGTAGGAACAACCAGTGTCCAAGGAGATGTGCAGACGGAGAGCCATGAGTCCACAAGAGAGAGAGCACATGCCCAGCTGTAAGCATCTGAGATGGCTTCACAGATGGGGAGGCCGGAGAGAAGGACCTTGACAATGAAGGGTATTTGAACTGTTGGCAATGGAGTGGAAGAGCCAACGAGTTCAGCAAAGACATAGAAGGAAAAGCACAAGGGATGTAAAAGATCCAACAGTTGTCTGCAGGCAGTGAACATGAGCGGAAGCTTGCAAGTGAAGTTGGGGGAAAAAAAGCTGGAGTCAGCCCAGGAAGGACCTTGAGCATTCATCCTGAATGCAGAGGGGGTGCTGCCAAAGTTTGGTGAGTTGGGGTGTCTATGGGTCAGGGATGTGCTTGTGGAAGGGTAATCTGGCAGACGTTTACAAGTTGGGTGGGAAGAGAGGCCATGAGGGGGAGGAGGAAATCCTGGCGGGAAGAGCAGCAATTAGGATAAAAAGAGAAAACTGATCAGAGAGGTCTTTAAGAAGCCAAACAGATAGAGGCGGTTTGCCTGGAAGAGTCAGAGTACACATGAGAGATCGTCAACAAATATTTACTGTGCAACTACCATGAGTCAGCAGCAGCCAGAGGAGTGCAACAGCGGGTTAGAGCCATGGTCTCCACCTGCACAGAGCTTGCAGGCTAGTGAGGGCAAAAGACATTAATCATATACCCACACATAATTACAAGCCAGCACAAGTATAATAATAAAGAAAAGTTTAGGATGTTAAGTATACAAGAGGGGTTAATCTAGTCTAGGGGAGTAGGGGTTAGCTGGTCACAGAAAGTGCCACTGAGTAGAAGTCTGAAGGATGAACAGGAGTTGACCAGGCAGAGAGGGGCCTGAAGTGCATCTCAGGCAGACGCAAACATGCGGCAATAGTGGTGCTGGAGGACCTGAAGGCCAGAGTGGCTGGTTTGTGGTGTGAACGCTTGCGAAGCTGCTGATGGCACTCAGAAAAGCAGAATCTAGGAAAAGCCCTGGTTTCAGGAGTAGGAAGAAAACAAGAAGCCAAAAAAGGGGCTGCAGTAGAAGAATAATTCAGGGCTTTCCAACCCACCTCCCACCCACCTTGAACATCCCCATTCCAAGCACTGCTCAAGCCATATCAGCCTCCTGACCTCGCATGAAGTCCCAAATGTTGCATGTCTGTCCTGAGAGGCGAACCACAGGGCAGTTTGGGGCTAGACCCCCTTCCTCAGTCTTGTCCTCCAATCGTTGCCAACGAACCTTCAGGATAAACCAGAAATACTGGAGGCTGAAGAGGGTCGGAACCCAGTTGTCGTAGGAAAAGTGTGGGTTCTTCTGGTTCATGGCTGAGATACGCTGCTTGACTCTCTTGGGAAACAGTTTTAGTTGTACTTTGCCCAAGGCCACATGCAGAGCTACCTGCAAGAGTACCCAGAGCCTCTTCAGCCACAGCCCTGGCTGGACCAGCCCCATCTCGGCACAGCCAGACCTGGCTCTGAAGCTGATGGACTGAGGTGCTGCCGCTGGGCCACACTGGGCGGAGCTGAACAAAGGTGCAGGGTGGGAGTAGCCAACCCTGGGCAGGAAGAAGGGACTGGGACAGAACAGGTTTGCCTTCCTGTGAATGGAATGGAAAATCCCAAACCAGGTGGTCAAAGATCTATTCTAAGTATTATCACTTCTGACTCTTTGCCTTCATCTTGGAGAGATTATTGGACTAGAAGACTTCAGATCTTAAATTCTCCCTCTGATAAATTTTGAAGAACAAACATTTTAAAAGATCATACTTAAAAGGACTCTGTGGTCCTTTAGAAAGGCTCTGCGGCAAGCAAGTTCTTTTCTCTCCCTTTCTTTCTTTTTCTTTCTTTCTTTCTTTCTTTCTTTCTTTCTTTCTTTCTTCTTTCTAAATATTTTATTTATTTATTTTTAGAGAGAGAAGGGAAGGGAGGGAGAAAGACAGGGAGAGAAACATCAGTGTGTGGTTGCCTCTCACACACCCTCTACTGGGGACCTGGCCCACAATCCAGGCATGTACTCTGACTGGGAATTGAACCAGCAACAATTTGGTTTGCAGGCCGGCACTCAATCCACTAGCTAGGGCCAAGCAAGTAAGTCCTAATGTTAATTATTCTTTTAATAAAGTAAATATTTCTCTTACTAATGAAAGATACTTTTTTCCACTCATAGCTCCTAACTGGTGGTTGAATGTTTCTGGAGTCATAGCTCTTCCTGGAGAATTTGGATCTGGAAGCTCCCCAAACAGAGGCAGGGCCATCCCCAAGGAAAACTGGGCCTTTGACTTCCCTTAGCACTGGGGGGCAGAGTATAAATACAGCACTTGCTGATCGCAGTGGTGTGGTAGTCTAGAATGGGGAAGAAACAAACAGAAAATTACCACTCTGTTTTCAAAGTCTTTGAAGTTTACTGTTTGTCTTTAAAGATGTATATAATTTGACTCATAGATACAGCGAACAAACTGATGGTTGCCAGATGGGAGGGAGGTTGGGTAAAAAAGGTAAGGAGATTAAGAAGTAAAAATTGGCAGTTACAAAATAGTCACAGGGTTGTAAAGTGCAGCCTATTTCGGTTCTCCTTCACCCACACATGGCTTCAAACAATCTTAGCTCTTAACAGCAGGTATATAAAAAAAGGAAAAGAGGTCTATTGAGACTCCAAAAGAAAAAGATTAAAGTGGTCCAACTGCCCATCCCTTATTTGCAGCCCCTGGAGCCAGGATGAGATGCTCCCACAGTCAGGATGGTATCGCTCACGGCACATTGAAGACACTTTCGGGAGCACGGTTCAGCTGCGTGGTCTCCAGATTTCCTCTCTACCGGAAGCCAGGAGACTCAGTCAGGATCACATGCAGCATCTAACCAAGGCTCGGACTTTTTGGAGTGTCCCCTCTACCCCCTATCCTGTCCATCAGAGCAAGCTCATCAGCTTCCCTTCATCCCTTCCCCTTCTCCATTTTATCTAAGTGAGGGTGGGTAGGTTCTGTCTCTCAGTGGTTCATTCCTTCCTCAGAACAGTAGAGGTCTGATCAGTATCATCAAGCTGGGCTCACCTATCTTACCATACTTGGGCACACAAGTTAAGGAAACCTGAACATTTGAGCTCAGAATTTTTCAACTTTGACACCATTGATATTTTGAATGAGACATTATGCATTATAGGATGTCTAGAAGCATCCTGGCCCTAGCAACACACAAGTTGTGACAACCAAAAATGTCTTCAGACATTGCCAAATAAATATCATCTGGAAACAAAACAGTCCCCATTTGAGAATCACTGTTAAACCAATATAGTGATCTTTGATTCTTATCTCATTTTGAGCCAAATCTTACAAGTCATTATAACAAATATATCAATATAACTTTTACTTCTGTTTCCAAGAGAAGAAATCTATAGTCTAGGTGTTACCATCTCCTCTCGGGACACACACACACTTATCACTAGCAATGGTGTTGTTGCTGCCATCTGACTGTGGTGAGCGGTCCAGCTCCAAAACACCAATCTCAGGGCTACTTTCTGGGGCGACGTTTGGTACCGCCAGGCCTTTGTGTGGGTTGCTGTACTGTACTGGCAAGTGTGAATCCAAGGACCAGAAGTGAAGGATAGGGGTTGTAAGGCAGGGGAGGAAGGAGAGCCCTTGTAAGGATCCTTTTTCAAATCAGCCATTTCCAAAGGCATTTGGTTGCTTGATACTGCAAAATAGTTTGAAAGTTATATGAGATATCTGAAGGGTGCCTATCTGAGGGGGAAAAGGAAGAAACATGTACTCATCAGGTGTTAACACCATTGGTCAAAGGTTTGCCCCCTGAGGCATTAACCACTCCCTGCACCTGCACCTCTGGGTTGTAACTGTTTGCTTGCTGAGTGGTTCCAGCAGTCCCATGATCGCCAAGTATCAAGAAACAGCCCCTGATGCAGAATGTAAGAAGCCTAAGGCATGGGCTGGACGTGAAGCTCACTTAGGTTCTACCTGTTGAAGCCAGAATAATTTCAGTGGTGGTGAAATAAGCAGCAGGTGAGGCCAAGAGGATCTGAAACAGGGCATAGGAGGTGTCTGATACACCCGTACACCTGAATTTGTGCCTTGAGATTCATTCCTGGTACATATTCAGCCAAAGTACCCTGCACCTACTTTAAGCCTCAGCTTTCTCTTTATAAATGGAGGATCATCCCTCAAAGCTTACAGGATTGTTCTGAGGATTAGACATCTTGCATGTGTAAAGAAAGCCTAATTATGATGTCAGTTCAAAAACACACTATATTTGTGCGCGCGTGCACACACACACACACACACACACACAGTAGTAGTAGTAGTCCATTGTAGAGTCTTTCCAACAGACAAGGGCCTCATTGTGGTGAGGCCAAATTTACCGGGTCTACAATGCGTGATGTGTGAATTTGGCTTATGCTGCTCAGACAGCCAGTACTTGATGATTCTACTTAGCTTTCAGTGACCAACTATTATGTGCCCCACCCAAAACTGGGCCCTGGGGACCCAGAGAGGAGAATCACTCCTTATCCTTGCCCTCGAAGCACTCACAGGCTGGCAAAATGGGCAAACAGTAATAATTGTGGTGGTAGAGGCAAGCCCAGGGAATTAAGTGAGCAAAAAAAAAAAAGTCTTGGGAGGCAGATGATACCAAAATCTGGAGGGCTATGTAGGCATTAGCTAGACAAACAGAGGAGGATGGGCAAAATGTTTCTCACCAGGACCACTCAATGCAATTCCACCGTCATTGGACCCTGCGGTATTAGAGTTGGCGGTCAGATGCCCTACCGGGACACTGGAGTGAGTGAGCCAATCCTTACCGTTGCCCCCAAACAACCCCTCCCCGCACTCACCCTAGGTATAACGCTGACTGTCGTGGGAGTGAAATCTTACAGGGGTGGACTTATTAAGACTTCAACCTGACTTCGATCACTCCTTCGCAAATTCAGAGCAATGGATTCATTCCCTCTCTCACTGGTTAATTAAATTTTTATGGCCTAAAGGAACTGGGGGGGAGGGAATTGATGACTTTTTATTTTCACAGCGGTCCTTCATTACGCTATTTCAGGTTTCGATAAGAAAAGAAGTATACACAAACAAAGTAAACACACTCAGGACAATTCCCTACGCCCCGCTGGGGCGAGGCGAGGGAGCGGGACCGTCTCAGGGCGCCCATCTCTCGGACTGTCTCTTTAAGAACCGGGGCTTCGCACTCAGAAGAGGCGGCGAAGGGAGCAGGTTCCAGATGCCAGGGCTGGCTGAAGACTCCGGAAGCAGTTTTCGGGTGTTGCTCTCTCTTTAAGAAGGCTGAGCTCTACCGGGAGAAGGCGGAGAAGTTCCATCCCCCGTATCTCCAGCTTCCGGTGACTCGGAGGGACCGGAACCTGCGCGGATCATCTGAGGCCCTAGCCTGCCCGTGGGGCTGGACTCCGAGGCCCCGAGGTGAGGAGGCCAGATGTGCGGGGCCTACCCGAGACGAAGGGGGCCTGGGATCCCTTGCTGTCCCAGGCTGCTGCAGCCCAGCTCCTCCACCTAAAATAATGCCTCTGCTTCCTAGGCAGCTCTTTCCCACACCTCCCTTGGCTCAGGTTATCCCAGGCTGCTGAGTCGCCACCACTGCAGCACTTGCTAATTGCTTGGCTATGCATAAGCGCCTGACTGGTTGTTTTCTTTTTAATGACCCCCCACCCCCACTCCCCAGTACCGTATGAATAGGTACCATTATGAACGCATTTTACAGATGAGGAAACTGAGGCCCCGAGGAGCCCACAGTCACACAGCAAGAAGCAGCAGAATCGAGAATGAAACCCAGGTCTGTCTGACCCCAGAGCCTGTGACCGTAACCACTGGCTAGGCCAAACTGCCTGTGCCCTTCACTGTTCTCAGAGCCACCTTTCTCAGCCCCACTATACTCCTGGCTTCCTCATCCTTCCACATCAAGGCTGCATCTGGTCCATAAACACAACACTGAGTGAATTGGATGGAACCCTTTTGGACAACCTCCTTAGTTTCTTTTATAACAATTTTAATAATATCTGATGTTAAGTGGTTGTTTTTATATATACCTATGAAACCCCACTAAAAAGAAAAGCAATTAACATTTCAAATGCTGAAATAAGATTTGTTTGCAGAAATTTTATTTTTTGTAACCTGTTAAGTGTATTCATTTTTCCCTTTTAGACTTCTGCAAATTTGCTTTCTAATAATTGGAAGAAGACCCACTGGCTGAATGGCAGCTGTAGATGACTTGCAGTTTGAAGGTACATCGGTTGGTTGCCCACCTTTGTCTTTATGATCAGTATTTCTGCAGCCATAGCAACAGATGTTCATTGCAATGCTGGCACATACATTAAAGAAGATTATTTCAAACATCTTGGTAAAAGAATGTTGGCCCCACCCAGGTTTTTATGTTTGTCCACACCAGCTGTTCTTTTTTTGCCGAATAGCCCTTCAGATGGTAACATCATAAATTTAGTACAGTGATTACAGACAATGTGCATAGAGTTCTTGCTTTAGTTCAGCAAACATTTATTGAGCACCTACTTTGTGCTTAGATCTATGCTAGATAGAGGAGATAAAAAGATAAAGGAGAAATATTTTATGCTACTGGCATAGATAAAAGTATAAAAAGATAATTATGATGAAATATCATCATAGCATTTCTTCATTGAATGAGTAAGTATCTCATGAGTGTGACCATGAACCAGGCAGCTGTTGTAGTTATCAGGGATAGAAGAGTGAACAAACAGCCAGTCTCTTCCCTTATGAAGCTTTCAGTCCAGCGAGGGAGACATTTATTTGTTAAGTGGTCATTTAAATATCTTATTTCAATATTAAATAATCTACAAACTACGAGAGTGCTGGAGGAAAAGTTCATAACTCATAACCCAGAGCCTTCTCTGTGCTAGGGATAGACGAATGCTTATTTGGCTTATAAACACTTATGCAGTTCTTACTATATGGTGGACACTGTTCTATGTGCTTTACAAATATTAAGTCATTTAATCCTTATGTCAATTTTATGAAATAGTTATTTTGTTTTCCCTATTTACCATTTTTCTCTTTGGGACATTCTTACTCCAGACCGTCACATGGTGTGTACCCTGACTCTGTTCAGATCTCACTTCTTTAGAGAGGCCTTCCTTGGCCATCTTACCTCAGTACAGTGTGAGAACGTTCCAGTGTAAAGAATGGCATATACAAAGTGTCTGCTGAAGGAGGAAGTTTGCTTGATTTTTTTCCAAGGTACCGGAACACAGATGGTGGTGAAGGCTGTCACAAGGTGATGTGTGAGAGGGGAGAGGCGCCAAATCTCCCAGGACTTTATAAAACTATGTAAAGGACTTTGCTCTTTAGAAAAGAACACAGGATGCTGTATAGCGGTCATGGGAGGCTTCCCTGAGGAAGAATGCTAGTGTTAGCTGAACAGGTAGAGTTCAGGCCCCTATAGGTGGAAGACATTGTGTCAAGATGGGAACAGGAGTAAAACATAGCATGGGACATGCCAGGAGGTAGAAGCAGAGAATGTTAGTGGTAAAAATGAGAAACATACCAACTTGCACTCAAGAGCAGAAATGGGCAAGAATACCTAATAGAGAGCATAATGTGTGAATAGTTATCTTGTGAGAGATACACACATTCTACATTTCAGTCAAACTATGCCATATGCTATTCCTCAAACAAAGGCCACATTTTTCACCTCTGGGTCTTCCTTATCCCAGTTAATTTGCATGAGATCCCATCCCCCGCACTCTGACCATCCTTCTCAGATGGCAGCTTTTCCCAGAAACCTTTCCAAATCCCATCAGCTAGGTGAGTTATCCTCCTCCCTTGAACCTAGTCGGCCTTTGTTCCTCTAACCTGACACTCTCTGTTCTTCCTTCTGGCAGCCCCTTCCCCCGGCAAACGACTGCATTTAAATATGAGACTTAAGTTCTATATTTCTCTTGGTCTGATTCCCTCAGGCAAAGTTGTGAGTGTCTTTTTACATGTCAGTGCCATGTCCTGTCAGTAAACGGTAGCTATAACATTTATTATATCATCATCCAGATCTCTCCTTAAGATAGATACTGTCTCCATTTCATAGTTGACAAAAACAGAGACTCAGAGATATGGATTAATTTGCCCAGGGTCATGGAGTATTAGAGTCTTAACTTAAACAAAGGACCTCGTGCTTCAGAGTCTCATGCTGTTTCAACAGCCAAAACATTGGAGACTGAAACTTAAGTAATTGTAACACATCAGCCACCTAATTAATTTCAGTCACTTTAGTTTTCTCCATAAAGCTGTTTGCATAGCTGAAAGGCAATAAGAGTGGGTTGGCTATACAAGAGCCCCATCCTACTGTTAATCGTAGGATTCATGCTGTGCTTGTAGTGTTATAATGGTGCCCTGCTGGTACCCTCTTAGTCCTGCCAAGTTCTAGAGATGCCCAGAATTGTATTCAGGAACAGCTAAATAAAGTTCGTTAGGATGCCCAGAGACAGGAAGTCTCAATCATTGCTTGTGGACATGAATAGGTGAGGTTCTTTTCAAAAGCAATTTAATGGTATGCTTGAGAGCCTTAAAAATGGTTTGCACCCTTTGACCTAGTGATCACACTGAGAGGCATTCATCCTAAGGCAATAATCCAAAAAGCTTTTTCTATACAGATGCTCCTCACAGTGTTATTTGTACTAATGAAGAGTTGAAAACACCCCAAACATCCAATAACAGTCGAATAATTGTACTTACAGTGTCTCTCTCCTACTCGCCCTACCCCTGCCTGATAGAATAATATGTAGCCACATAAATGATCATTGTAAAGACTGATATAAAATGAAAAAATCATTTTTATATAATTCCCAGTAGACGGAACAGAATGCAAAATTGTTTATGTAGTATTATTACATCCTAAATGAGTACTTGGCACACTGAAGGCATGCAGTAAATATTTGTTGAATGAATCAATGATCTTCACTGGCATGAATTTTACTATATAAAGAAAAGGAAATATAACAAAAGTTGATAGTGGCTGCCTTTATATGGTGGATTTAAGAGTGATTTTTATTCTGTGGTTTCTACTTTCATTTTTGGCCTCATATTTTCTATAGTAATTACATAGACCTTACTGGAAAATAGAACTTCATTAAATTTTTTTGTACTAGAATCAAAGAAGAAAGGTTTAGAATGGGTACTTGCTGTGGGCCAGGCACTCTGCTAAGGACTTTACTTACGTAATATTCCTAACGTTCCTAAAGTTCCTTAGAGTATATATTATTCTCCCCATTCTATAGATGAGAATACTGAATCTTATACAGGTTAAGTTACTTACTCAGCTTCATGTAATTAGTTAGTAGCTGAGCCAGGACTGAAATCTAGGTCTGACTTTAATTTCTGCTATCTTCCTAATCATTTGTCTACTTCAGCTTGATTTCTAGGTGAGATTTTCTTTCAGAGACTTTTGTCATTTGCATCAGATAGGGTTTATAGCAAAGTTGAGGTTATAACAGCTTGCCTTTAAATGAAAAGTATAACATTTCCAGTGCGGGTTAAATCTTTGATACCCTTATGTTCTAATTTCAGAATTTGGTGATGTAGCCACTTCTCTAGCTGCAAACCCAGACGCCACCACAATAAGTATCGAGGGGCCCGGTGAAACTCCCAGACACCATCCAGGACCCGCAAGAAGCTCTGGGAGAGAAGAGGATGATGAATTACTGGGAAATGATGAGTCCGATAAAACTGAGGTTTGTACATGTCTTTGAAATTGAACGTGTCATACACTTATTCACCATCTCCTGTATGCCAGGTAGAGTGCCAGGCAGTGGCAACACAAAGTGGCATCACACGTGATCTCTCCCTCCGTGGGGGGTTGACAGATAGGCAAACAGACGACTGTCACCCATGGGAAACACACTGGATCGGGGAGCACTGGGGTTGTGGGAGCAGAGAGAGAGGAGTTACAGGAGGCTTCCTGGAGATGGTGACACTTAAACTGGGTCTTAATGAAAGAGTAGGTGGTAGCCAGGGGGAAAAGGCAGGGAGGGGTGTTCTACGCAACAGTTTTGGCAAAGTAACAGGCATGAAAGAACATAGTACAGACAGCACATCTCCCGTCTTCACATACTTTGGGAACAAAATTGAGGTGAAGACAGGAGATGAGGCTGTACAGATAGGCAAGGCCTCAACCCAATGAATATGAATAATCCGAAAACTATTGGGATCTGTTAAAAGAGTTTAAAGTGTGGCCACATACATTTAAAGACATGTAAGATGTGGCAGCCATGTGGAATATAAATTGGAGGGAGATGGACTGGAGGCTAGAAGACCAGGCAGGTGACTGTGGAAGTGGTCTAGGCTAGAAGGGATGAAGCCTGGACTAGGGTTGGACACACTTGTTTAGGGGGTGGGCTCAGGAGGACTTGGTGGCCAAGGGGTGAGAGCAAGAGAGGGAGGATTCCAGGGAGACTTCGAGGTTTCTGCACCTGGTTGGGTAGTGACTGTCAGGCGGCTTTTTTGATCACAAAGATTTAACTCTGTGTACACTTTTCCATGTTCTGGAAAGATCGTATTTCTAGTAATATTTTGTAAATGGAATCATGATTTTAGTGCACTGGAGAGGCAGCACCCAGTTTATAGCAGTGCGTTCCGTCCAGGCTTATTAAAATAGTGGAGCTCTTGGGTGCCAGATGCTCTTAGTGGAACTCCACGGAATATCAAAATAAACACCAAAGTTTGTACTAAATCAGATACTGTCATAGACTAGTTACTGTGACAAGAGCTCTGACCTAGGGGACTAACTCTGAATCCTGGTCCAGGTCAGTAGTAATAGCTGTATGGTGTTGGGTAAGGTACTTTAATTTCCTTAAGCCTAGGTTTCCTCATCTGTAATATAAGGTGCATATGTTGACTATTGTCATTATTAGCATCACAATAGTTAGTATTTATTCAGTGTTTAATAGCTACCAGACACCATTTAAAGTTCTTAACTTAGATCATCTTATTTAATCCTCAAAACAACCCTGAATGCCAGGAACTATTCTTATCCTCATTTTACAAAGGAGAAACCTGAGACACAGGTTAAGTAACTTGCCCCAGTGCACACAACTGGCAGGTAGCAGATAACTTTAAACTGAGGCAGCCGGAGTCCAAGAGCCTGTGTTCCTTCCCTCTGCACTAGTGTCAGTGTATGTTAAGTGCTTATTAAAGTGGTTGGCACCCTCAGGAGACAGGAGTGATCATTAGTATAGTTAAATCTATTAGGGTTCTCTGGAGATGTAGGACCAATAGGATGTAAATACATAGAAAATGAAATTTATTTGGTTTACACGATTGTGGGTGCTTGGCAAGTCCAAAATCTGATGGAGGAGGCTAGTAGGGTGCAGAGTCAGGAAAAAGTTGGAGTTTGAGTTCAAAGGCATTGTGCTGTAGAACCAGGAGGTGCTGGTAATGCAAGTCAAGTCTGAAGGCAGTCTACTGGAGAATTCCCTCTTCCTCGGGAGGTCAGCCTTTGTTCTATGTAGGCCTTCACCTGACTGGCTGAAGTCCACCACATTTTGGAAGGCAATCTGCTTTACTCAAGATGTCCACCAATTTAAATGTAAATCTCATCCAAGAACACCTTCATATAAACATCCAGAATAATGTTTGACCAAATATCTGGGCACCATGGCACTGAGCAACAGCAGGCTTCAGAAGTCTAAGAAGAAACATATGGGGTGGAGGAGAATGTCTTAAAATAGAAAGCATTCTATTTATTATTTTAATGTTGTCTGTGTATAGGAAAGAGGTTACCAACATTCTGACAATTCCTTGGCCCAGCTTATGGAACATGGGTCTGTGGTGTTCCATAGCTTGTGATACTAGGGTTGGAAAGAACCTTCAGTTTCCTCTAGTTCAGTTTCCCTTCCAAGATAACAATGCTGTTTGTGATATGTCAGAAAGACAACCCATGAATACCTCTAGAAACAGGCTGTTCACTGCTTTGTGAAGCAGTGACTACCACTGTTGGACAACTTGAATTGTGAACAGTTTTTCCTTTATAATAAACAAAAATATGTTTTTTGCTAAATTTTTATTTTGATTTTAGAGGGTGAGGGAGGGAGAGAGAGGGGGAGGGAGAGAGAGAAAGAGGTGGAGGGAGGGAGAAAGAGAGGGAAAGAAACATCCATGTGAGAGAGAAACATCAAGCGGTTGCCTTCTGTATGTGCCCAGATCTGGGACCAGACTCGCAACCCAAGCATGTGACCCAACTGGGAAGCTAACTGGTGACCTTTGGTTTGTGGGACAGCATCCTACCAACTGAGCCACACCAGTCAGGGTCTAATGAACAAAAACATTGGCCAAGAGTACCATCTCTCTTCCTTCAAAGTCCCTCAGAGCGTATCCTTTCCTTTTGCTGTATGAATCCTCTTCAGGGAACTGAAGCCGGCAGTCACAGTCCCTGGCGCGCGGCCTGCTTTCTGCTGTCAAATAGCTGTGCTGTTGGGACAGGTGTGGCCCTCCATGGGCACCTCTTGTAAATTGGAGTTTTGTTTCTTTTGTCAGAAGAGTATATTTTACATTTCTAGCGCTTTAGAGTGAAGCAGTATATCAGATTTTCGAGAATTCAGGTGGTGACAGTAGTAAGGATCTTGAAGGGGTGAAGGAAGAAAAGGTACTTACACTGACTGCCTTCTGTATATATGTGTGTACAAATATATGCATATATATGTTATTGTAATTTTGTATAATTAATCTAATCCTCCCTATAATTCTATTATGTTTAATATAATCTATATGATCTATGTATCTATAGCTAAAATCTCCCTGTAAAGTAGATCCTGTTAGCACTACTGTGTAGATAAGAGAATGAAGACTGGGAGGAGTCCAGTGGTTTGATGAGCTGCCCCTAGTGGAGGGACCAGGATTTGAAGCATTTTGGTGTGACTTGAAAACCCATGCTCATTTTTTATCAGGCTGAGAGTTGGGCATGGCTGTTGCAAAGTTGATTGATGAGTGCAGAAGAACTGGGTCTTTTGTACTTCTTGGTTTTACATTAGATGAGCTCTCTTTCTTTCTGTGTACCTGGAATTAGGAAATGATTATGTTTTATTTTACCTATGACAGCTACTTGCTGGACAGAAGAAAAGCTCCCCTTTCTGGACGTTTGAATACTATCAAACATTTTTCGACATAGACACCTACCAGGTTTGTAAAGCAGTTTCACCTTTGCTTTTACATGTGTTGGAGACTTGTTTCTTCTGTGGTTAAGCAATGGAATAATGTGAAAGCTTTTGCATACTGCATAGGGTCTTACTGAAAGTGAAAGGGTTACTAGTGTTTGAAAATGCTGCCATCATAAAAGATCTGATAACTGAGTATCAATTTTGCAGTAGTAGAACTTATTAATCTTAAAAAAAAAATCTTCAGTAGACTTACTGCTTTGTTGTTTTCCAGGTCTTTGACAGAATAAAAGGGTCTCTTTTGCCAATACCAGGAAAAAACTTTGTGAGGTTATATATCCGCAGCAATCCAGATCTCTATGGTATGTGTAATGCCTTTTTGCTTCTTTACCATGTGCCCAGTGAACTCAGGTGAGTGTGCAGGTTACCTGGAAAGTTGCAGATGCACTGTTGGCAGGGCATGCAGCATTTTATTTCACTTTTCTGAGTTTCAGTAGCAACCCTTGCAAAGAATTTTGGGGAAAATGAAATTATCTGTTACATTAATATAATAATTATAAATAATAGTACTTCCTTTGAAAGTCTTCAAATGGCATTACAAACTTGGGACAAATTAAGTTACTTTTCCTAAGGAGATTGTTAATTTCAATTTTAGAGGAATTGGATCGGATGGGGGAGTGTGCAGAAGCACTCTTAATTTTTTTATTGAGTCCCAGCTCTGCCTTCAGACAGACTGGCTCCTCCCGTTGGGACTCAGGCAGCAGCACCGGAAGCCTGTAAGAGGGATGGGCCGAGAGATGACTGTCATCCTCAATGTCCCTGCTCTCTGAGAAAAGCCAAAGGTCTACCCAGTACCCTGCAGGAAAGGACTCCAACATGAGTGGGCTTCTCTGTCTGAGGGGAGAGGAGAGCCAGTGGCTCTGAGAGCTTTTGTGTGCAGGTGCTCTGTGAAAGACTTTGTGTGCATGGTCACATTTAATTCTTGCAACAACCTATGGGATAGGTATCGTTATCCCCATTTTTCAAAAGGAAGCTGATGCTCAGTGAGGCTCAATCCTAAACAGTAGGTATTAGAGTGATTATATAGATTGATTATAAGAGGAAAAGGAATTCATAAGAAATTTCTGGGTGCCAATTAATACATACGTTATTTAATCTTTGCAACAAGGCTATATATTAAGTATTTTATCCTTCTTCTGTATGTGAGGAAACTAAGGCTGAAAGTTGTCAAACTAAAAAAAAGTAGAACTAGAACCCAGTTCAGTGTTATGTAAAGCCCAGATTTATTCTGTTAGACTGGAGGGTTTTTGTTTACTTTTATTTTTAGACTGGAGGTTTTAAGCTATAGAACCTTTTTGTCCAATGGCCAGATGTCCAGTATTTAAAAACAGTGTAGTGTAACTGCTCTGGAGGTTGAGGGGGACCCCTTCTGTTCAGCTCCAGCTCTCTGCGACAGGACTAGAAGTTCCATCCAGGGATCTGTGGAATTCCAGCGAGCACAGCGTGAAAACCATTGCCTTGGCTCATGCCCCTCATCCAAGGGTTGCCAAGTGGTTTCTTTTTAGCTGTCTCATTCATTCTTCTGGCTGAGAGCTTCTTGAGAGGCCGACTCTGTGCCTGAGTAATCCATGCCATCAGTGCCTGGTGGAGGGCTTGGCTCAGACCACTTGTGAGCACCTTACTTTGTGCTAGAGACTGAGGATTCAAAGACAAAGCCATAGTCTCCACCCCCAAGCGGGCGGAAGAGAGAACTAGCATTCTGAGCACTCTGCAGGTGCCAAGTGTGGAGCTTGGCGCTATCTTAAACTGTTTTATTTCCCACACGCCAGGGTAGCCTTATCAAAAGAGAACAATTGATGTTTGTTTCATTCTTTGTGCTTCTCTGGATGTTGGAAATATTTCATAATGTAAAAACCACAGACTGCAAACCAAATTAAGGTTCCCTTCCACCCCACCCCATAGTAAGAGTAGGAATTTGGCAGGACGGAGGAAGAGAGGCAGTATGAAGCAACTTGCAGGCCTGGGATGAACAGGCAGGTTTGTGTCTCTGGAATCCAAACTTCCTTTGTGCCTGAGTGCTCCAGAGGTAACAACTGTGTCTGTTGTGCATTGTTTTGTCCCCAACACTTAGGCCAAGGCCTGGACGGTAGTTGGTACTTAGTAAGTCTGACAGAACACAATATTCTCCGCTTTCTAGTTATGGGTACTACAATATTGTGGCTACTTGTGATATGCTTGGATGGTCTCCACCCATCAGCAACAACATGTGGTCAGTTTTGTCCATTTGTTCTATAAAGCTTTTGGGAATTTTTTTTGTAAGATTTTATGTATTTATTTTTAGAAAGAGTGGGAAGGGGAGAAACATTGATGTGTGAGAGAGGTTGCACCCTGCACACCCCCAACTATGGACCTGGCCCGCAACCCAGGCTTGTGCCCTGACTGGGAACCAACTGGTGACCTTTCAGTTCACAGGTGGCCACTCAGTCCACTGAGCCATACCAGCCAGGGTGGGAATTTTTCATTGTTGTTGGTTGTATGATTTTTTTAAGTCTTTTTTTTTTTTTTTAATTTGTTGCATCTTTAAGGTGCTAGGCTCTCAGAATGATACAATGAACAAGATTTAGTCCTTGGGTATAACAGAGAGCTTGCAGGCTGGTGAGTAAACAACGTGTGGAAAGCTGATGGTGACTCCTTGGAGCACCCAGTCGAGTGTTTGTGCCCTCTTTCTCACCTTCAGGATCCAGTGTGGCTTTGAAAAGTGGTAATCCATATCTGCTAATCATCTCACCCAGCACAATAATTCTCTTAATTTCCTGGCCGGGTGTAGCTCAGTGGATTGAGTGCTGGCCCAGTCAGGGAACATGCCTGGGTTGCGGGCCAGGGCTCCAGTAGGGGGCATATGAGAAGCAACCACACGTTGATGTTGCTCTCCCTCTCTTTCTCTTTCCCTTCCCTTCTCTCTAAAAAATAAATAAATGGAATCCTAAAAAAAATTATCTTAATGTTAAGATACGTCAAAGTACCTGCAATTATCCCAAAAGGTACCGCAAAATATTAGTGAGGTTGAAAATGATGTTCATGAAATTTATTAAAATCTCCAGATTTAAAGTTATATTTGTTCTACTAGTACTTTTTCTAGATGGGGAGAAACAAGGATGGTGTTCGTGAAATCAAACGAAATGATGAAAGGGATTTGCAAAGCATGTTATACTCATCTATTCAGTAGAATGTATTATAATCACGACAAAAGAATAAAGCTGATTTTTATAATAGCTATGGTAGAATCTCCAGGATATAGTAAGGAAAATAAGTATGTATGTAACCATTTGTATAAGACATGGAAGCACACACATACACACACATGCAAATATGTGTTTGTTTATATGCGTATAGAAATCTCTGGCAGGATTTACCAGAAACTTGTTACAATAGTGAGGTCTGGGGAGGGGAAGTGCATAGCTAGGGAACTGAGAGGGAAGAAAGTTTACTCTTCTCTATGTTCCCTTTTATAACTTTCAAACACTAAACTGTGTGCATGTATTGCTTTTTTTATTTAAAAGGAAGAAAGAAAACAGTAAAGCCTTAATACACCCATAGTGAACTGGTAGCTTACATTAACTCTTCCCTCAAGTGCTCTGCTTGCCATACTCTTCTCAGAAGGACCTGTCTAATTTTAGGTTGGTTGGTTTCTTTTTTCCTGGTACTAACATTTGGCACTTGGATAAAGGAAGTAACTTGCTTCCTGTATACTGATGGTAAACGTTCAACAAAATGCCTGTGAATTATTTTGGTGATCCTCCAATAAAAGAAGTCATAAACAAATAAGTGCTTTTATTCACATAATTATGGGAGGTGTTTTGGCTTTTGCATTCCAATCTCCCGGTCTTTAAGGCAGCTAATTACTGAGTTTTGTGTTTGGCCTTTTAAAAAAAGAAAATTCCCACTAAATGAGTATTGAATGCATCTAAAAATCATTTCCTCTTGCTTATATGAGTAGGGCAAGGGAGATGAGAAAATATTCTTTAAAAATCTAAAGGCTGGTGCTTCAGTTTTTAGTCTCTGAATTTTTTGATTTCCTTTGCAGGCCCCTTTTGGATATGTGCCACATTGGTCTTTGCCATAGCAATTAGTGGGAATCTTTCCAACTTCTTAATCCATCTGGGAGAGAAGACATATCATTATGTCCCCGAATTCCGAAAAGGTTGGTGAATAGCTTGCCTCGTTTGGAATGCTGTCAGTCTGTAACCGTGAGTTCCTTTCATCCACTGAGCTGTTGGGCCCCTCCCTGTCTCTAGGTGCTGCATCCCCTCCTTTCTGTGTTTTAGGGTTTAAACATACCTCATGTCTCAAAAGTTACCACCCATCTATATAAATCCACATAACTAAAAACCATACAATATACATACAATTTACCATATTAACCATTTTTATTTACTTTTTATTTTTTAAAAGATTTTATTTATTTTTAGAGAGTAGGGAAGAGAGGGAGAAAGAGATGGAGAAACATCCATCAGTTGCCTCTCGCATGCCCGTAACCAGGGACCCAGAACCCAGGCCTGTGCACTGACTGGGAATCAATCAGTGACCTTTCGGCTTGTGGGACAGTGCCCAAACCACTGAGCCACGCCAGTCAGGGCCACACTAACCATTTTTAAGCATACAATTCAGTGGTATTAAGTCCAGTCATAATATTGTGAATCTACATAATCTCCTGGAAAACTCTAAGGGAATGCCCAGCAGCAACTGGAATTTATTCACAGAAAAATGTATAGAATAAGCAAAAAACAGTGTGCATGAACGTTTCCATTGTAGCATTATTCGTGTTATCTAAATATTGGGAGCAGTAGGGGTGTTGTTATTTAAGTCATGATGGCTCAACTAGCTAGGTCTGTAGCCACTAGTTTATGAAGCTCTAGGAGCAAGGTGGAAGGCTGATCATCCGAATTGATGCCTGTGCTGTTAGCAACTTTGTTAAAGAGAAGTCTGTAGATGGTCTGGGCCTAGAAGGCAAAATGCAGAATTGAGTGTGTCCTAGTCATGGGCTTGTGGGCGACATTCCTGTTTTAAAACTTCCTTTCTTGTAGTAGTATTGGATACTTAAAAACAAAAACAAAAACAGCTTTCAGGGACTTGGAGATGAGAGCCACTCCAAAAAGGGAAAGTTTGGCTTTGTAGGAGATTGACCTGTGCTACTTCCTCACTTTTCTTCTTCCCCCTTGCCTGCTGTCCCGCTGAGAGGCTGTGCACAGACTGTATAAAAGCATGGTCTCTGGAACCAGGCCGCTGGCTTCAAGTTCCAGCCCCACCGCTCAGTAACTTCTCCCTTGTTGGGCAGGTTATTTCATTTCTTTTGGCCTCAGATTCCTTATCAGTGAAATGGAAATAATAATGCTTATATTACAGGGCTATTGTATGAATAAAAAGTTGATCTCTGTAAAGCAATATTACATATATATACATATGTATGAACAGATACACACATATGCATGTCGGTAGAGATATATATTTACCTGTGTGTATGCAGGTGTGTCTCTGTGTAGTCTCCCTTCTTTCCTCCCCTCCATCCTTCATGCCCAGTTTCTCTTCTTCTCTTTCCTTCCCATCGTGGAGTCAGACCTGGATTTGTTCCCAACTCCATTTGTCAGATGACCTTGGTTAGAGTTTAACTCAACAAATAATCCATGAGATATAGACCCAGCCTTCAAGTAGCTTCAGTGGTTAATCAAAGAAAGACAGGTAAATGCATATTGTTGTAAAGAGTACATGTTAATTTCTGTATCAGAGGTAGGTATAGGTATTTTGACAGAAAAGAAGGAGTGAATCACCTGCCTGAGGTCTGGAAGCTTAGGAGGGTCTTTATCTGTTCCTGTCCTCTTTGGTTGAGCATCCCAGTATCAGGGAGTCAGAGGATGTATGTACAAGTAAGATAGCCATTGCCTCTATCAATAAACAGGTCTCCATTTTATGTAGAGACTATAAGTCACACATCCAAGTTCAGATCCTGCTGCCAGTCCTGCTGCCACCACTTATTCATTATTTGACCTTTTAGCTTCTCTGATCCATTTCCTTATCTCCAAAATGAAGATGCAGAATATAGGAAATAATGTGCTTACATATCTGTTAACAATATAAAAAGCTAATTATTGGTTATTTATTATTTATCAATCAGTATTTTGGGTATACCTGTTTTTACTCATTTAATTCTAATACTCTTATAAGGTATAGCATACTATTATTATTCCTATTTTACAGATAAGGAAACTGAGGCAGGATGGCTAAGTAACTTCCATCCAGTGTTACTTAGCTGTAAGTGGCAAAGCTAGGATTAGAATCCATGGAGTCTGCGTCCAGAGTCTGTGCCCCTGACTATTAAACAGTGTTGTCTGTAGGGCTCTAGATAAAGCACTCAGTGTAATGCCTGACACCCAGTGGCTACCTGTAGCCATAATAGTAATTCTTTTCCCCTTCTTTTAGTTATCTAATTAAAAAACAGTGTGTCAGCAAATTTACATTTGGCTTAATCAGGAGTTTCCAATGGGAAAAAACTGCCCTGGGAGCTAACAATATTTTGGACAATCACGCGTCTTAACCAGAGTCTGACTGTAATTGCCAGGGGTGCCTTTTTTCTTGCCAAGAGTGTTAAGTGAATTACCTGGTGATTTTCATGTAGGAAGGGCTGGTGCCACGGGCTTAGCCACGCTTTACGATCCTCTCCTCCAGAAAAGGGAGAAAGAATCCTCCAGGGTGTGCTGCTGCCAGAGGAGGGGGAGGCACTGTAATATACTGAACATTGCTGTTCTGTGGAGCCGCTAAATAGCTTTTCCACCACAGAGATAGAATTATTTAAAGAAGGAAGTGAAACTGGAGAATATTTCAAGCAATTCATCAATGAGCTGGAACTCACTATTTCAGAGACAGAAGGAACCCTAAATAGCGTGCAGAGCGAGTTAATCTGTACCCAGGGCATTTTAATAAATTTGCTAAAGAAATCAGTGTCAGCTCTTGTTATACTAGGAAGGAGGACGTGTTCTTCCAGAGGGATAGTTGGCTTTCATTTGATTGAAATGCTTAGTATATTTAAACACTTGTGGCCCTCTGAAGTATATCAGTTGCATAATTCAGTTTTTAATAACCAACTTTATAATATTAGTTATTAAACAAATTTTTAAAAACCATAGGAGAGACTACTGGTTATCACTACAAAGACAAATGCTGAAGATTCATCAGTTCAGCACATTTATAGAGCACCTACTATGTGTCGGGTGCTGTGCCAGCCTCAGGATCTATGAAGACCAGTAAGATACGAGCCCATGGTCAAGTGAAGTCGATGGACATGTTAGGAATAGGTCCAGTGAGGCACTGAAAGTGCTCTGACAGTGCATTGAAGGCTCGGCGGGGATTAAAACTGTGTCCTGTCATCCTCAGTGTCCATAGCAGCCACAGTCATCTATGCCTATGCCTGGCTGGTTCCTCTCGCACTCTGGGGTTTCCTCCTGTGGAGAAACAGCAAAGTTATGAACATCGTTTCCTATTCGTTTTTGGAGATTGTGTGCGTCTATGGATATTCACTCTTCATTTACATCCCCACAGCAGTAAGTACAATGCTTATTCTGAGTGATGTCCTGTACTTGGTTGAGTATTCAACCAGCATCATCATTTCTAGCCCAACATGATGTACACCTGAAAAATACCCTGTGAATTTACAAGTGCAGCATGAATGGGGGCTGAGGAGCCACGGGCCTTCAGTGGATCTCAAACCCTTTGCTGTGAAAGCTTTCACCAGTCTGCATGCTGGTGGTGTTTCTGCAGGGTGTGCTGAGAAACCAGAGAGGCAGTGGGGGCCCAGTGCTGATTGGCTCACAGGCTGTTTTAACCATATGTCCCTGGGATGAACACATGTGTCTCTGAAATGCCTCCAAAAACCCCTCCCCTCCCTCTCTTCTTTCAGATACTGTGGATTATCCCCCAGAAAGCCATTCGTTGGATTCTAGTCATGATGGCCCTGGGTATCTCAGGCTCTGTCTTGGCAATGACATTTTGGCCAGCTGTTCGTGAGGATAACCGGCGCGTTGCCTTCGCCACAATTGTGACAATTGTGTTGCTTCACATGCTGCTTTCTGTGGGCTGCTTGGTATGGTCTCATTCCTGTGTTATTATTGTATGCTTTAAATGCAAATGCTTAAAAGTCTCAAACTGTTAGACATTATTGTTATTTAAAAACTGGCTCCATGGAATAAATACTGTTTTAGACTCTTCTGGATGAGAAGTGGTAAAGTCATGAGGATTTGATTGTAATCCCAGCTTTACCTAATTTCTAATGTTTGATTAAGATTTGGTGTCTGGCCAGAGCACATGGGGGTGGATGAGTGTCTATAAATAGGGTTGGGGGGTTATGCTTTTGGATGCCTTTGCTAGTTTTCTGCATGTAATTAGAAATAAATTTTGAAATTTAAAGCTTCATAGGTGGGAAGCTTGAGAATGAAGTCAAATCTAGGAAAGGGGAGAATTATTTTTAAGGTGAACAACATTTAAAATAGTTACTAGTTCCTGTGCTTAGGTGTCTTTTTCAGGGAGAGCATGTGCTTTTGAGTCAAGCAGGCCCAGACTGAAGACCAGCTCTGTCACTCACTGGCTGTGTGAACGTCTCTGAATCTGTAATATCAGTGTAATAGGCCCTGCCTCAGACAGATATTCTGAGGATAAAATGAAATAATGTAGAACACAGAACGTAGAACTTATCCCATAAATGCCCATAAATTAGATCCCTTTCCTTTGATCCTAAGGAGACATGGCTTTATATCTCTTGTACACATGGTGCACAAAAACTGCTGTCCATGGCCTTAACGAGGCCTGGTGCAGGTTTCAAAAAAACTCTTGAGTTCGAAAATGTTAATGGTCACTGATGAAGGAAAGGACATACCCCTGGGAGGCAGACCATATAACACATGTCCAGACCCTTGGCCAGGTTTTGCAGTTATTGGAGGAAATATTTCTTTGGTATCATTTGATCTTTAATTTTTGTGTAGACAACCATGGTCTCATTAAGTGCATTAATAAGATTCTAATACTTTGTTATTGAAAAAGTCTCATAAAAAGTTGTCACATTCCAAAATGCTGACCTGGTTTACACACACTCCACATGTGCCTAAGCTTTAAACCCTGGAGAGAGAGGACTACGAGTTTGACTCATGACAGAGTGACACTGTTCAGTTCTGGCACTTGGAGTCTCTGGCTGATCCCTTGAAATGCTGCTGTGACTTTTCTGTTTGCTGAAGAAGAATGCCCTGTTCATTGTAACTAACTCTGACTGTAATGCCTTTCACTGGCATCTTCCTATCTCTCTTCTGAATTTCTCCCCACTATATACCTGGTTGGGAAGTTGGTGAGGAGAAAAAGCATCACCTTTTTTGCTTCTGTAAAGAAGAGAGAAGAGCAAGGCAGATTGGATAATGGAGCAGGGAGGTGTGGTTGTGGTTGTTACTACTATTATTAACCCATTTCATCTGGTATGTATGGCCAGGATCTTTTACCTCTTGTGCTTATTACTCCCTTTTGGGGTAAATGACACTGACGTTAAGGTTTGCCTGCCCATCTTGCTACTCAGAAACTTTTTATGTAGGACCTCTTCTTGGGAGCACAGGTTTTTCCTCCTTTGAGCAGGGAGCTATCCCATGATCACGTGTGTAGCCAGGGCCCCAGTGCCTGGGGCTTGGTTTCCACACTGGAGAGGGCCTCCTCCTTTCTCTTCTAGAGACATGCAGTGCAAGAGGGCCAATGCAGAAGTTAGGAGGCGGGTTCTAGTCCCAGCTCCATCACTCCCTGCTCTGCTTATTTCCCCTCTCCCGACCCCCACCTCTTCCCTTAGAAAAAGGAGCTGGAGTAGTAACATCTTCACTGTTAAAGATTAACTGGTGCGTGCAACATGAAAAATAGGACGAGCTGTACAGACGAAGACATCATTGGAAAGGCAGGGAGAGCAATTGGCAGGGGAGTTCGTTGAGCCAAGGGGCACCAGTTGAACCAGACAGCTTGGCCTTCTCACTCTCCTCTGGGGAGCACAGATTGGTGTTTTTGCCTTAGTGCAGTGAGGCATGTGACAGCCTACACCTGCTGAGGTCCCCTTGGTGCTGCACCTGCACATGGTCTCTATGTTGGTACTGGCACACGCCTGTGAGGGACAACTGAGGAAGCAGAAGAGTGTGAGTCTTTGGTATGATTGGGGATGTATGAGCTTACATTTGCCGTGGTTAGTGCTGATAGCAGAGGGTCCTGTGCCCTAGTATTTGTGGAACTAATGAATCGTAGAGGTATAACTTGCCCTTAGATAATTTTTTCCAATCCTTATGTTTTACAGATAAGAAAATTAAGTCCTATGTGTCACGTGTTTTTAGAAAACAAAAAAGAGAGGGGAGGAGGGTATAAGGGGACTGAATTGTAACAGAAAAAATACAGTAAAGATTAAATCAAGAAAAAAATGACTAAAAGGGCTAAAAATTTATTGTTTTTTTAATAACAGGGTACTTTCACATTTTTGTATTATTTGAATTTGTTACATGTATTTTAAAATCAGTGAGCCCTAGGCAGCACAGCTCATCTGGTTGCAGCATCACAGTAACCTAAAGGTTGCGAGGTTTGATTCCTGGTCAGGGCACATACCTAGGTTACGGGTTCAGTACCCTGTCCGGGTGCAGGTATGTGTGACTCTCCCCACCCCCACTCCTGACTTGTGCAAACCCTTGTCTAGATGAAAACGTGTGCAGGAGGCAGTCCATGCGTCTCTCCTGTATCGATGTTTCACTCTCTCCCTCTCTCTCCCTCTAAAAGCAATGAAAAGAAATGTCCTCAGGTAAGGCTAAAAAATAAATAAAAAATATATTCCTTCTTTCTTTTAAGAGAGAGAATTCCTCACTTAATCTGTAAAGGTAAACTATCAAATTAAACAGTTCCCAACAAAACAAAGCAAAAGTGAGGCCCATAGGGGTGGAGTGACTTGTCCAAGTCACAGTGCAAGTTATTAGCAGAGCCCAGTTTAGAACCCGGGTCTGTTGTCTCATTCCATCTGATGAGGGTCTCCTCCAGGTGGCTGGAAGAAAAGCAGTGTTCCCGCATCGTCAGGGCTCCGTGGCTCCGTGCTCCTGCTAGTTAACTCGAGGGGCCCAACACTACCTGCGTGGCCCGTGGGCCGCCCCTTAAGTTGAGGATTGTTGTTCCCCTGCCTCAGAAAACAGTTGCTGGAAGGGGTTCTGGGAAGGAAAACTTTTAAAACTAATAGAATTGCTCTGGGAATGTGATAAACTAGAGGGACTCTGTAGCTATAAACTTTTTGAAGTGGACTATTGTAGACATTAACTGAAAATCTGTTCGGGATAGCTCCAGCATGTCATGTTGGTGCCCCCTTCTGGCCAATAGAGAGCAGAGCAGGTGAAATGGTTCTTGACATGGCTTTTTATATTTTTACCTTTCTAAGGAATGCCCTGACTCGAAGGGCATGCAGTGGTCCTTGATTTATTAATGACTCACCTTTCCTTTGAACATCTAGTGTTCAAAGGCTAGTGAGATCGGTATTTTCCTGGGCTAAAGTTAGGATTCTCAGACCTTGACACAGGTGGGAAGATCTTCCTTGATGTTTTCTCCCTTTCACCTCCTGATTTTTGACAGTTAAATTGTAGATGGTAAGTGGAAGCACTTACTAAACTGTTCATTTATAAGCTGAAGAATTATGAGGTATAGCCTGCCTGGCACTTCCTTTTTAAGGTCTTTACAGAGCCACCTCGTTGGCAGCATTCTATTGTAGTTCAATTCATTAAGTATTGATCTTCACATTGCCAGGTTCTGGATGAGGAGCTGGTGACACAGAGACAATAAGGATACAGTCTTTGGAGGAGAGACTTGAGCTTTGGAATTAGAAAGACCCAGCTCTGAGTCCTGGCTTCACCGCTTACTAGCCATATGTGCCTGATTGAATGACAGCCCTCTGAACCTCAGTTTCTTCATCTGTCGAATGAGGACAGTAACAACCTCAACGGGTTGTTTGAGGATGAAATTATATGTAGTAAATGCTCAATAAATGGTGGTGAAATTTACAAAGGCACTCACAGTCAAGTAAGTGAGTCAGACAGAAGTCAGCTTGATGACCAGTGTGATATGGGAAAACATAGGGGCCGCAAGAACCCAGAAGTACTATTAGCATAGAGTCTAGAACACTGTTTTAACTCTCTTTTGGGCCTTCTTTTTCTACAGGCATACTTTTTTGATGCACCAGAGATGGAACATCTCCCAACAACTACAGTTGTTCCAAACCAAACAGTCATAGCAGCCAAGTCCAGCTAAAGAGGAAAGTAAGAGATTGCATTTTTATCTCCTTGCTGTGTGGTGTAGTAAAAAATGGACAGGCACATCAGTTCTGCTACAGTCCACATAAGAACAGAGAGGGCCAGACCCTCTAATCTTTTTGCACCGTTTTAGTGTGGTGTTTGTGTACATGCATGTCCCTCTTGCTGAAGTCTTCAGTTGTGAAATCCACATGATCTGACTTTATAAATTTGGGAAACACAGGTGTTTAGGTTCTTCTAGAAGAGGAGTGCTTGTCTTTTAGTCCCAGCATCCCCTCCACTCTGCTCTCTATCCCCTTCCCAGCAGTGCAATATGGGTTTGTTCCATTTGGTTACAGTCCTGCTGGTTTTGTTTTTTGTTTTGTTTTGTTTTTTTAATAGTTTCTCTGTGACTTTGCCACCTGGCCTCAGACTCTGAGTGTGAATTCTCTTAAATTACTCATGGCTTCTCCAAAGCTTACAAATTCTTGTGCGTGGTATGTTCTCTGGGCCTCTGATGATTCCACTGTCAATGGTTAGCTCAGTGGGAGAGAGTACAGGAAAAAATGCCAGTCCCTGCACAGCCTATTCCTTGCCTCCCTGTTCTGCCTCCTCAGCATTCCAAGGCTGCAGCCGTGCTGAACTTCTTGCCATTGCCAGACACCTCATGCCTTTACATTTGCTGTTCCAGATGTCTAAAATGTTCCTTCCCTTCCAACAGTCATCACTTACCTTGCTATTCCATTACACCTTGTGTTGTACATCACAGAGGAGAGTCTTGTTTGAACTGGGTCCTGAAGGCTGAACAGGAGCAATCAGTTACCCATTGTTCTGAGGAGCAGTCAGCATCCTGTGATTTTGGGAAGATGAAGACATAGGTTGTTCATTGGGGCATAGTGATGCTGTATCACTGAGAACAAAAAAATCTGGAGAGAGGTAGATGTAGAGAACACAGCGGTAGCAGTTGCCTGGGTCTCTGCCTTGGCCCAGAGTACCTGACATCAACCTGGTGAGGTCCTGGTTGGGGGCTCTCTCAGCCTGCTCCTGGGCTAAGACTTTATTTCCTTCCTTACAGTGAGGTTATGAAGGCTCCAGACCAAGTGTCCCAGGTGCTGTGACCTTAAGAGTCAGAAGCTGGCATCTGAGAAGAGACTGGCCCTCAGGACCCTTGTAGACCTCCCATCCTGATTTATAGAGATTTGATACCTCTGGGCTTTGCTCAGATCTATAAACTTAGGTGTCAGCACCTCCATTTGGGTGTCAAGTCTCCAAATGAGATCGTGATGAACAGTTTCTTTGGAGCCTCCCTGGCAGAAGCATCAATCTCTTTGCCAGGGAGAGGGGCTGTCCGGAGCTCCAGGCTCTGCAGATTTATGATCTGGCTGTGCCCTCTCTTGTAATCTCTGGACTTCCAGCTTTCACTGAAAAAGTAATGGCTTCTAATCTCGCAGATAACCTTCCTCATGTAAATCTGTGCATTGGAGAGCGTGGCCTAGAGTACATTACCGGCAGAAAATTAACCCCATTTCTCCCTGAAACCTCCAATTACTTGTAATCAGGGAAGCTACCCCTACAGAAGCCACTGATGTTTCTAAGAATATCTGGCTTCCTTCTTTCCTTCCTTCCTTTTAAAAAATTAACTTATCACCTGAGGGCCAGTGCCATTTCTTCCCTGAGCCAAAACTCTGGTAGAGTCTGGAAACTATACCTATGAGTCTTTCTTTGGTTTGAAAGATGGAATATCTGAAGGGCTGCACCTAGACTGGAGCTGCCTTCCCAGGGGCGGTGACAAGTGGGTCTGTTCAGAGGAGCGCGGCCAGCAGATAATTATACTGTAGTGTGAGAAGGGCTTTAATAAGAGATGAGCATCAGGAGACTCCTTTATAATTAAAACCCTCCTGATTTATACACAGGGTTTGTATGCAATTATCCTTTCACTCACTCGTGTCAAGAGCACTCATTTTATAAGCCAAAGCTCCACTCCTTTTTACTAGGTTTACACACATCAATTCTTTTATTCTGAAATCAGCTTTAACTCAGTGTTCTGATCCCCTTTAGCACAGCATCCAGACTGCATGGCTTCACACCACGGCTTACACGGTTTTCTTCCAGCCCCTTATTTTTTTCCACTCGGTGTCTGAAATGTCCCTGCCCAGAGAATCCATTTTCAGTTCCTGGGCTATATCTTTCTCAATGTCCTTCTTTGTTCTCTTTTTTTTTTGAGGTGAATTGGGAGAATCTGGGGTGGCAAATAGTCCAATATAATAACTTTTTATTCTTTTTAAAAAACTTATTTAGTGGAAAATTTTAAACGTAGATATAAGTAGAGTGACTAGTATATTGAGTCCCCATGTATGCATCAGCCACTTTCAATGAATGTCAACTCCTGGCTGATCTCGTTTCACCCATACATCCACCTCTTTCCCTTATATTATTTGAAGCAAATATAAAGCATCCTTTCATTTTATCCATGATATTTAAATTCTGTATCTATAAAAGACACTCTTTAAAATATTACTATAATACCATAGTCACATCTAAACAAATTATAACTCCTTAGTATCAAATAGATTGGGTTGGCCAAAAAGTCCGTTATGTTTTTTCTGTATGCTGGCTCCAATAGCGCTTAGCTGTCTTTAACGTCATTCGAAACAATTTTGTTAGATTGTATTGTGACAACTGTCATATCAGCGTGTGTTTGAAAACAAACTTATCAAAATTGTTTTTTTTGCAGCCATTTTAACATTGAAGATGGAAGAAAACATGCAACATTTTCAGTGCATTATGCTTTATTATTTCAAGAAAGGTAAAAATGCAACTGAAATGCAAAACATTTGTGCAGTGTATGGAGAAGGTGCTGTGACTGATTGAATGTGTCAAAAGTGGTTTGCAAAGTTTCTTGGTACTATTGACACTTTGGCCAAATAATTCTTTCCTGTGGGGCTGTTTTATGTGTTAGAAGGTATTTAGAAGCACCCTGGCCTCTACTCACTAGAAGCCAATGGCAGGAGATAGCCAACATACTCAAAATTTCTAAATCAATAAAGTTATTGCTGAAAAGGAAAAATGTGTGTTTTATTTTATGGAAAAAACTAAATGGGCTCTTTGTCCAACCCAATACTTAAGTGTTTGGATTTCATATTGATCGATGTATCTCCTGAATGTCTTTTTTTTTTTCTTTTTTTTAGAGAGAGAGGAAGGGAGGGAGGAAGAGAAGGAGAGAGACATCAATGTGAGAGAGAAACACTTATCAGTTGCCTCTCATACGTGCCCCGACTGGGACCAAACCCATAACCCAGGCATGTGGCCTGACCGAGAATCGAACCAATGACCTCTCGCTTTGCGGGGCAATGCTCAGTCTGTTGAGCCACACCAGTCAGGGCTTAAATGTCTTAAATTATAGAATCCTATTCTGTCTCCCTCTCTCCCTTTGCCATTTATTTGCTGACGAATTGTTTATCTTATAGTTTCTCACTATCTGGAGTTTGCTGATTGTATCTTCACACTGTCATCTAACATGTTGCCCTCTTGTTTTTTTTCTGCAAATTGGTGGTTGTATCTAAAGATTTGATCAGATTCAGGGTTTGTTTGTTTTTTTTGTGGGCGGTTGGGGGGAAGACTGCTTGCTAAGTGCTGTCAAATACTTCCATCCATAAACTCATAATGCCTAATTATCTTTCTTTTTTTGATATTAGTGGCCATTAATAAGCAATGCCTAGATCCATTAATTTATTAGGAGCTCCAAAATGGTGGTATTTCAATTCTGTTTTCCTTCTTTGTTTATTAACTGGAATGCTTCATTTATAAAATTTCCCTTCATCTCCCATTTAGTTATCTAGTGATATAGTTTATATAAGAAAAGCAGTCTGGTGGCAGCAGACTGCTTTGGTGTCGAAGTTACACCTTTAAACATAAATAACATGCTTTTCTACACTTTAGTTCCTTTCTCTATGAGGGAATCTTTATCTTGAAAGTTACTCTTTTTTGTTTTGCAGTCCTCTTTTATGTTTTTTACAGTGCGGCTCTTTTGGACACAAAAGCCAGCAGGAAAACTGAGGGAATGGCACCAACCCCTAACATCTGGATGGTGCCACACTGAAGACTAATTACCTGTTTAACAAACAAAAATTAAATGTTGTTCAGCACATGTGTCTGTCAGCTCTTCTTTCTCACCTGTCCGTGATCATTGTGGCTCTGCCCTGATCTGGAGTGAAATACGAGGGAATGGGTCGGGCGAGCTCGGATGCCCTGCATCCGCCTCCCACGCCGTGTGATGGGCTTCACGTTCGGTACGCCCCTGATTCCCAAAGTGGATCCACCCTACCTTCTGATGTCTCTTTTCTGAATTGTGTACAGGTTTCTTCTTTTCTCCAAATGCTTGCCATCCTAAAGTGGCCAGTGTGAACTTTGGTTGGGGTTCATTAGTCACCTGAAAGTTTGTCTTTGCTGACCTGATACTGGGCAACTGAACTTAATGGTTGCAAAATAAATACCTCACATAACACCTGTGTTTGCACTTCATGCCTTTGACCTCACGTTCTTCCCTGATTTTTGTCATTAGCATGCTGGAGGCTGCTGAGAATTTGATGTAGTGTGCTAGCTGCTGTGGTATGGGGGTTAAATTGAGCTTCTGAATTTTTCCTCCTCTAAGTATGAAACACTTGGTTTAAAGAACATGCTCACTTACAACCTATTTTGACAATGATTTTAGAAATTTCTTTTAGGGCACTTTGAGTGCCTCTTCAAGGTGGCAAGCCTTTCTGGCTAGAGTACATTCAAGGGAGAAACCAGTGACACCTCAAAGATATTTTTTAATACTTTGTATTCAAAATGCACACCATCTGGAAGGCTGAGCTTCTGCCAGGTCACTATTGATGATTCCCTACTGTTTTTGTTGTCCTCTTCAGTTCAGGAGTTCCCTAGGTATTTCTCAGTAGGCTACAAAGACACATTTGTACTTAGGAGGCCGACCAGGACAAAAAAGAAAGGCACACACAAATTCAGGTGATAGTGAGCTTAAGGCCACCTTGGCAAACCTAGGGACAACATCTACAAGAGAACTGGGTGACAAGATATCACCACAAACCCCAGAATTCAGGTAGGCGGAAACCATTGTCAGTTTGAAGACTTACACAGTATCAGCAATTTTGTGGAAAGAAGCAGAGGGAAGCAACAGGGTACCTGAGAAATCTAAAAATACGAGAACCTCAAAATAGCCAGCAAGTACTCCCTGGAAAGTACAGAGGACCAAGAGGAGAAGAGCATTTGGCAGTGGGGTTGGGGTTTGTACAACCCAGTTTGTGGCTGATGAGTACCAGGGCTCTAAAGTAAGATCTGAAGAAGCTAGAGCAGACCAGGTCTTATTACCTCTCAAAACCAGACATAGTGTCTCTTCAGGACACCAGAGGAAAAAATTCAGGAATAGAATACAAATAGGGAAGGGCAGGGATATCTGGAGCAAAGGAAAGGGAAGTCCAGGTGAGAGTGGGGATGGGGAACAGAACGAGGAGATCTCAGAGCATCTGAAGCCATATTTTTGAACACTTCATGAAAATATGGAAAAGGAAGCTGTCCCAGGGATGTCCGACCTGTGGCCTGCGGGCTGCAGGCAGCCCGGGATGGCTATGAATGCGGCCCAACACAAAATTAGAAGTTTACTTAGAACATTATGAGAATTTTTTTTTTTGTGTGTGTGTGTGATTACGTGTCGCAGTGTGTTTAATGTGTGACCTGAGACAACTCTTCTTCCAGTGTGGCCCAGAGACACCAAAAGTTTGGACGTTCAAGCTTGCAGAACCTTGAATTTGGCAAAGCTGTCCTGGCTCACTCCTCCCTCCTAAGTGTGCAGGGAAACTAATTTCATATAAAAACGAGCAACTGAAAGGGTTGCAAACAAATCTCATAATGAAGTTATTTTAAAAAATGAGAACAAGGAACAGAATAACATCCCTAATGAATGAAAGCATTCCAGAAGCATGTCCACAGAACCAGATAAAAACTATAACAACATTTCAAACTGAGCTAATGCAAGTTAAAAAAATAATACAAGACAGAAAAGAACAAATCAGAATTAGAAAGTAGAAATTAGGTAATAAAACTGAATAGGAAAGAAAAGGGAAAACATTTCACAAAAGATTAAACTAGAAGGAATGTCAGAGTAACATAGTTGTTGCATAGCAGATAATGCCTTAAGGGAATAAAAATTGAGAAGAAGGAAAAAAATGTAAATTCCAGAGTGAATAAAGATAAAGAGAAAATGATGAATATAGAAGATAGGAAAAAAAATTCTAAAGGTGTATTATGTATGTTCTGGAAAATAATGAGACTATGAAAAAATTATAATAATAAAAAACTTTTCCTGAGGAAAAAAATTAAAGAGTTTGACTTCACAGAGAAAGAACATACCCGATACCTGGGGAACTCAACCCAGAAGATCAACATGGACATACTCTAGTAAAATTAGTGGATTTTAAAAAAATTTTATTTATTTTTTAATCCTCACCCGAGGACATTTTTTTATTGCTTTTTAAAGAGAGAAGAAGAGAGAAACATCGATGCAAGAGAGAAGCATCAATTGGTTGCCTCCCATATGCACTCAAACCGGGAATCATTCGCACCTGGACCTGAGACCAAACCCACAACCTTAGTATGTGCCCTGACCATAAATTGAAGCAACTGAGCTGCATCTGCCAGGGCGTAAAATTAGTGGAGTTTAAAGAAAAAGTATTTGTGGTATCCAGGCTAAAAGACAAAGTCACTTACAAGGGAGAGTTGGATTGTCATCAGACTTTGACAACAGCACTGGTTTTGTGCACTTAAAAATAAAATATAACTAACAAAAATGGGAAAAGAAGAGGGGAAACATTTATAAGGCACAATAAGCTTGCTGATTGCCTTTTAGTTATCAACTAAGAGTAAAAGAACATTGCTTCAAATCAGATACTGGAGAAGGAGGGGAGGAAGGTATTAGGTAATTTCAATGCTGTTCATAAGAGAGAAATGATCAACAACAACTGCCCTTCCCAAATAGAGGGGATTAAAGATGTTATATAAAGGAAATAATTATAAAAAATACAAACCTTTTTAAATATTAAAAAAGAGAGCAAGCAAATAAATCACACACTGAAAAACTATATTAAAAATTTGAAACATTCAAATAGATGTGGGTGTGAATTCCTGCTTCACTTGAAGGGCAAGTATGAGAATTAAATTTATATGATATGATTTCTAGTGCACATGATTGGCTTCAAATTTTGCTCTTTCACTACTGTGCTACTCAAGGCAAGACATATCCACTAAATGGTGGAATTATACGAATTATAGGAAGGAGAGATTGGATAGGAAAGGCTTCCCGGAAGACATGGCACTTGAAGATACAGAGAGTCCAGTTTAAGCAGAGGCAAAAAGGAATAAAAGCAAGTCATGGTTGTGAGGAGGTGAGGGGGTCTGTTAGCAAGTCAGTTTTTGCTTCTTATGCCTGCACTCATCCTTTTCCCAAGGACAACTTAAGAACTAAAAAGTGGTAACCAGTTCTACCAGATGCATTAGTTGAGGGTATGGTTTAGGAGAGTGAGTGTCTAAAGGTGGGACTTGTATACCAGACAGGAAGGTCCTGACAGCAGGGACTCTGCTCCAATGTACACCCCCAAAGGGCTCAGCGCAGTGCCTGGCCCATACTCGTGCTGAGTAACTGCTGGTGGGATGAATTAATAACAGAACAACATAAACACTTTTCAAGCCCTCTTCACGTAATCACGTTTGTTGATTTGCTTGTATCATATAGGATAGGTTAGGGTCTTCTGCAATAACAACTTCAAAACATCAGCAGTTTAAAATGTTTTATTTCTTGCTCATATTACAAATCTATCACAGATTGGCAGGGAAACTCTGCTTATTCTAGTAACTCCGGTCCCTGGGGTCAGTGGAACAACCACTATGTCAAATATTGTTGGTCACTGTGTCAGAAAAACAGAGAGCTCTGAGGGGTCTTAAAATGGCAATTAAGTCTCTCACCTGTAAGTGAATCATGTCACTTATGCTCACAATTTGTTCGCAGGCACAGTCACATGGCTATACCTAACTTTAAAGAGGGTCATGAAGTGCAATCTCATTATGTCTAGAAAGCAGAGAGCTGGAAATATTTGGTTAGCCGTATTAATGACTATCATATTTGAAAGGTGGGTAATGGGGCTCAATTTAGACAGACAGATGAAAAGACAAAACAGTGCACATTATTGTTCCTCTTTGTGCAGTTTAGTAAACATGCAGTAAGAGGTTGAGTTACTTACACTAACTTGCTATTAAACAGGGAGCTGGGATTCAAATCATTTGTCTGACTCTCTCAAGTCTTTGCCTATTGCTTCCCAGGCACTTAAGTATTCCTGTGAAAAACCTTTGATGCAGCCTCTTCCCCATATACTTGGAAATGAGGCACCTAGCACACTCAACTTGATGCGCAGACTTCATTTTACTGTCTATTATAGGCAGAAAGTTAAATCAGACTTTGTAAACAACCTAGGCAAGTTTAAAAGGGAGAAAAGTCCATTTTTGAAATCAGGGTTACATACTTTGCTTTCACTATGTGGATTTTCCCTTATGTCTCTCCCCTCTCTCTTTCCTTTGAAATCTGACCCCCAAGAAACAAGCAGCAGAGGGCAGCCCCACACAACAGCCAACAAAAGGTAGAGCCTGGCTCCACAGAGGGGGCTTCAAAGGACGGAGGAGTCTGAGCCTTATTTTCAATTTTCTGATCCTTTCGAATTCTTCCCCAAGGTGTTTAGAGTCTGGTAAAATAATAATTAACAATAATAGTAATAGTAATGACTTAGGTTTATCCTAGGAAATGTGTTCTCCTGCCCCCCACCCCAGAAAATATCCATGTGTTTTGAATTTATTTATTTCTGCTCAACTCATCAAAATTATGTTGCACAAGAGACACTGGATCTGTCCAGGAGTTTTTTCAAAATAAATGTCCTATTTGCCTTTGGAAATGGCTAATCATATTTTATCAAGAGTTAGCAGCCTTCTCTCTTGGAAGGACTGAATTTGACACTAAACAGGTTACAGAAAGGGAGAAAGAAGGGTTATTTGCCACCACCATCCCCTAATATTTTTCAGGCTATCAGATGCCCAGAACTATACAATAAGTGAAAGTTTTGAAATGAAAACTTTAGGAAAATGATGACTTATTAACAATATTAAAACAATTTGAGAAGAAAAAGTAATTCCCGCATTCCTGAATGTTGTTGGAAGAGTGGTGGTTTTAAACGAGTAGATTTTCCAGGGACTCCCATTATTCATATATTAGATCTTCTTTGCCTATTTTCTTCTCTCTTTTCTAAAAAGGACTTTATTTACTTATTTTTAGAGATAGGGGAAGGGAGGGAGAAAGAAAGGGAGAGAAACATCCCAACCAGGGACCTGACCTACAACCCAGGCATGTGCCCTGACGGTATCGCACTGGCAACTTTTCATTCTGCGGAGAGATGCCCAACCCACTGAGCCACACCATCAGAGCACTTGATCTGCCTATGTATTCCCAGTTTGTCCTGCAGTGCTTCAGACGTGAGTGATACTAGCTCTTTGGATGCGAATACCATACAATCTTGAAACAACTCAGGAAACCATTAATAGCAATGCTGCGTAGCAGTATGTGAGATCTCAATTTGTCTCGCTCCAGTAAGTTTCTTCAGAGTCAGTAAATCACTAAACCTCTCTCTCTGTCTTCTTAGAGTACTGAATGTCGACTGTGCTATGTAATTGGGCATTAAAAGGTGTTAGCAGTATGCCTCCGGGTATCTAAATGAGGTCCAATGCAACCAAAGACTTCATTAGGTGGGACTCGGATTGGTAAAAAGCCGTTTTCCTCACTGGCAGGAATTAATGATAATATTTATAAAGCATTTTATTACCTCACTACAACATCACTGGATGCCATCTTTATTTTTATCCTTATGTTATAGAGGATCACATAGGGTCAAGATATTCTACTTAGAAAATGGCCCCGCTGGATGAAACTGGAAACCAGACTTTAAAAAACTAAACGCTCGGTTAAGGAGAGAGAATTTTCCACTTCCATAAAATTAGTGAGCATCTTTGTGGAGAGGGCCAAAATATACTTTGATTTTTACTTTCAGGCGGTCAATAAAGTAAAATCCGGAGAAAGGAGGACAAATGACTTTGCCAGATCTTTCTAACTAGAATTCCGATCCATCAGCGCTGTGGCTAGTATAGGCCTTATAGAAGACTACGAATCCCAGCAGGCCACAAAGTACCTTCGGGAAGACTTCCTCTCCCAGCATGCTGTACTGTGGAACTCCGAGTCCCAGAATGCAACGCTCATCCTTGCTCCCAGAGGGCCGTAGAGCCTACAGTTCCCAGTATGCAGCGGCGCCACCCCCAATTTCTGGGGCCTCGTTGGACCCTGTTTCGGAAAGACATTTTCGATTACAGAAAGCAAGTTCTGGAGTCCCAGGACACTTTTGGACACCTGTCTCCGGGGCAATTATGGCATACTGGGCCTGTCCAGACGAAACATCCAAAGACTGGGTTGAGACCTGGGCCGGGCTTCGCTCAGGCGGCGTTCGAGGCAGCCCCAACGGGGTCCTCCTGGGGCCTTCCTCTCTTTGAACAGCGGTGGCGGGCGGGCTCACTGTCGCTTGCACCCCTCAGAGTAGGGGCCGCCATCACCATGGCCACGGTTGCGAGTCAACCTTGCTCCGGCGGGTCGCGGGACATCTTGTGGCGCGTGAGTGCTGCGCTCACGGTGGTGTGCGCTTGGCCGCTGCTGGCGTGAGGAGGGATGGACGGGCGCTCACCGCGCGTGCGCTCTGGGTGGGGGAGGAGCCCGCTCAAGTGTAGTGGGAGCGCGTGGGGAAGGGACCTCTTAAAGTGGGGGCGCTCATTACAGGGTTGTAGTGGGAGTTCTGAGTGGAAGCTGGTTACAAGGTGGGAGGAGTGTGCTAGAGAAAGCTGGGTACAGGGTGTGTGCGTGCGTGACGTCCTGAGTACAAACTTGTTACGGGGGAAAGGGGAATTCGGAGTGGAAGCTAGTTAGAGTTGGGGGCTGACCTGCATGGGAATTGGAGCAGGAAATGGAGGAAGAGCCTATGCAGGGGTAGTGTACCTAGTAGGTGCAAATAAGTAACTTGTTTATCACTTGGGAGTAGAAGAGCGAAAAATTGCAAAGAATGTGAATACGAGGTCTTAGCAGAGGCTGGGGTTAGGGACAAAGTAAGCAGGACAAGTAGTTGTTAAAGGAGTGTGTACACTCTGGGACTGAGGTCAGGAAATACTCTCGTTGAAATTGAACCAATAGTTCTGCATCTATTCTGTGAGGGCAGAGAGAAATAGAAGTAGTATCCCTTTTAGGCTACCCCAACGGTACAATCGTCTGCCCTGTATCCCAAGCTAAAAACTTTGGAGTCAAGTCTTACATATTCTTTACTATCTATATTATCAATCACTGATGTCGTGTAGATTGTGTTTCACAAATGTGGCTACAATTATTCTTTTTTTTCTTTTTCATTGCCCTGCCCGCCTTCAGACACTGACTTTTTTATCTTTGGTTTGGGCAAGTGCGATGGACAGCCGCCTGTCGGGGTCTTGTCCCCTTTGATCCCTCTTTATCATAGCCACATTACATACACAAGGGTGTTTTACCTTACAAAATATAAATTCAATTGTCACTTTCATGCTTAAACCCCCTCAGTATTCATTCACTTTGTTTTTGTATTCACTTATTCAACAGTAAATCTTGTGCCACTAATATGGTAGGCACTGGTGATTCAGGCATGAATACCGTGTGTCAGTTGCCCAATAAGGAGTGTGTATCTAATAATTGTAAACAGTTACAATATACAGATAGTTCTTATAAAATGTATACAACCTTTTAGATATTGATGTCTCTGTCAGTTAAACCTGCAGAGACACGTATAAGTTGCTGTAAAATGCAATTGTAAAACATATAAGACTACTCCTGCTCCCTCCCACCACCCTTCTCCCACAACCCCCCAGATTTTTAGTGTGGCACCTGACTCGACTAATACAACCATCAGTTCACTGATACTACAAGATTCTGTAGCGGTATGTAAATTAAAGTTATTAATAGCAATAACCATTGAGGTTTATATATACCTGCATGGACTGTGGTCTGGTGTAAATATTGGTAATTAACATCCTGTATGAAAAGATAGGATTTGCGTAACTGAAATAGTTTAACTGACTTCACGATTGAGCGATTTTGTTAATTTTGTTTGTTACAGGTTTTGGGCTGGAGGATAGTTGCAAGTATCATCTGGTCAGTGCTGCTTCTACCCATATGTTCCACAGTATTTATAGTCTTCAGCAGCATTGATTTATTTCATCCTATACAGTGGCTCTCTGGTAAGTGGTATTCAATTTGGGGAAAACAAATTTGCAGGACCTCCTTCTCAACGTAAAAATTTCATTACATTTCAAATATATTTTCAGTTATTGCTTATATTGACATGGGAAAACATTGACTTTGAGGTAATGTTAAGGCATTCCCTTCCTAACTTAGACCACTTTTTCATCATATAATAAGATTAGTAAACCTGTTAGAGACTTTATTATCACATGAACAAAAAAATATCATGAGAAGAGCATGTAAATGAAAACTTAATTTTTTGTTTGTCTCTTTGATAGCTTTATTGAGATCATCTTTTTAAGAAGATCTGTTCTTTATTTAAAACTTATTGATAGAAAATATGACACGTCTCTCTAAAAACCTGTCTAAAATTATGAATACTTATTTCTATATTGTGGCTAATAAGAGAAAGATGAGAAGAGAGAAGAGGAGGAAAAGAGTTAAAGACAAGGGAACATAAGAGTTAAATGTGAGGGTTGATGAGCTATCCGTTATTACTATCAACTGTGTGCCAGGCACCATGCTAACCACCTTAAGTATATTACCTCTTATTCTTCCTACAACTCTGTAATAAAGAGGTATTAACCCCTACTTTATAAATGAGGAAACTGAGGTTAAAGTCTTTGGTGACACACAGTTGATGAATAACTGAACTAGGATTTGCACATTGGTTTCAGACTTCAAAGCCCATGTTTTTCCATTATGCCATATTAGAATTAAAAAAATAAAAAGAGAGAAATATTTCCAGGCTAGGTTTTGAAGTCTTTAAAGTTTTGCCTAAGGCTAAGCAGCACAAATACCCTTGAAATACTTTTTATATCCTCGCAACAATAATAACAATAAATTTCTTTTGCTTTGGAAAATGGGAAGTGTGTTAATTTTTCAGAAGAAAATGCCAGTTTTCAAGGAGTTTGAAGCTTTACTTTTTGGCCTTTGGAGATATTGTTGCTGAAGAATTAAAGCCATGTTAAGTTTTTGTTGTGACACATCAATCACTTCTTGGATGGGTCCCACAGGTCAGATGAAATTAAACCATAAACTGTAACCGAACTCAGGTCCACCTGTGGGCTGCTTCAAAAGCCAATAGTTAAGAGACAGGTACTGATGTGAAAGGAAAGTGGTTTTATTTCAGGTGCTGGTAACCTGGAAGATGGGGGACTCTCATCTCAAAGCCCATCTCCTGGGAAGATGAGGGACTCATGTCTCAAAGCCCATCTCCTGTAAGATGGGAGACTCACATTTCAGAGCCTATCAACACATCTCAGTGGAGGCAGAGGTTTTTATAAGGAGGGACGGGGGGCAGAACAAAGAGATCAAGGGAGAGGGTTGAAAAGTTCTCTACATGCAGATGAGCACAGTCCATTACGATAAGACAAGTGATGGTCCCGTGTGCATCATCCTGGTTTAGTCATACTGGCTTCATGTCATCCTGACTTTATTGTCATCCTGGTTCCACGGTTGAAGGTCAGAAAATCTGGAGCTGGGATGCCTGAAGTTTGGAATCTGTATCTTTTGAAGTTAGTTCCTAGGATTCTTATACAGACATGCTCTTTATTTACAAGCTACATATTAGAGTCAGCATTTACAGAAACAATGTCAAAAAAAAGGTAGGGTGGCTTACAATTCCCCAGTTACAATGCCCACTGTTACAAAACCAGTGCAGGGATGGAAAGTATTTTGTTAACTACTTCACCTGAATCTGCATTACTTATTGCTCTTTTGATCTTGGCTGTCTAGTCATAGTCTCAGAATATTCAGTATTGTAATCTAGAGCCATTATCAATTGTTCAGACTTGGCACTGGAGAGAAAAATTTTGCCATTTCATGAGCCAAGTGTTCTTTAATCCTAATAACAGTTTCTCTCCAATCTCATAAGTTGGATTTGATTTATGCTATTCTATCCAATGTTACTTGTCCTCTTCAACTTTTGCTTCACAAAATCTTTCAGAGAAGTTGTATTCTCTTTCTTACTCTAGTCACATCAATCAGGTCTTCTTTTTTTTTTTTTTAGTGAGTACAGTGCTTGGGTTTAATTGTGAATGCTTAATTTTTTTATTAATTTTAGTTAACTATGTTTTTTAAAAACTGGTTTTAAGTGTTAGTCTATTCGGCAAACATATGTCCTTGCAGTTTTTTTTCTTTTGTTCATGTCTTTAAGCATAAAACGTATAGATTTTAAAGTTTGTCATATTTTTGAAATGGGTTATTGATTGTTGAACTGCTCTAAAATGTCAGTGCACTGGTGTTTCACAGGGATGTCCTGATTTTTTTTGTTTTTTAATTCAGCTAATTTAGATGATTTATAGATTTATGCTAGTTCCAGAAATGATACTTTTTTAGCTATAGGGGCTAATGGCATTTTTAAAGAAGACATCTGAAAAATATTTACATTTTAAAAAGAAACTTTGTTGATATATTACTAAATATGGTGTTTCTCTGTCTCACATGATGAAATATGTTTGCATATGGTAGTATTTTGTCTGATGTTAACATCTAGGTCATCTGAAAGAAATTCTAGTATAATTTTGAAGGACCCAGAGCTTGGTCCAAATAAGTCTCATTGTGGTTCTTACGCGGATGTCCAGTAGGACCTGTCAGCAGTGTATGAGGACATTCTTAAAGAAAAGACAACTTTTAAAGTTAAAATTATATTTGTGATTCAAACCCCTCTTTTATTGTAGTGTATTGAATATGTCTACATGACTGATCTTTACTAATTCCTCTCTCTTCTATTTTAGATTCTTTCAATGATCTATATAGTTCCCGTGTAATCTTTTACCTCCTGCTGCTGTCAGTTGTAATAATAATAATAAGTATTTTCAATGTGGAGTTTTATACAGGTGAGTTTTCAAAAACTAATTAACTTAAAAATAACAATTTATTTTATTAAGGGCAGACAATGCATATTGTATACGTGTGTAATAGAGGCTGTGTTTCATGTCAGAGTTTTACAAATGCATACATAATCACATACTTTGAATATCTTATCTTAAAATTTGAGTGCTAGTTTCTCTGTGATTTATTTATGACAAACATATGATTTATTTATGAGATACCTAGAGTAGTCAAATTCATGGAGACAGAAAGTAGAATGGTGGTTGCCTGGGGCTTTAGGGAGGAGGGTTTGGGGAATTGTTGTTTAATGGGGGCAGAGTTTCAGTTGGGGAAGATGGGAAAGTCTGGAGATGGATTATGGTAATTTTGCGTAACAGTGTAAATGTGCTTATGCCACAGAACTGTCCACTTAAAAGTGGTTAAAATGATAAACTTTATTTTTATTTTTTATTTATTGATATTAGAGAGAGAGGAAGGGAGTGGAGAGAGAAAGAAAAAGAAACACCGATTTGTTGTTCCACTGACTTATGTATTCGTTGGTGGATTCTTGTATGTGCACTGACCAGGGATCGAGCCTCCAACCTTGGTGAATCGGGACAATGCTGTAACCAACTGAGCTACCCAGTCAGGGGTAAACCAATAAACTTGAAGTATATTTTACCACAAAAAACTTAGATCTTTTAATGGTTCACAGCTCGTGTTCAAGTTGTGATTTAGCAGATGTAAATGTTATAAAAATAATGCCTTTTTAGTGCATGAGATTAGGACCAGGTGATTTCTTAGGTCTTCCTCAAATGTAAAAGTCTGTAATTCTGAGATTTTCCCAAAAACTTAAAAATATTGTGTTTTGCTTGAGAGAATCACCTGCTAGATCCCAGAGTGTTCTTCCCCCCCCTCAGTTTGCTTTTCAGATTCCTTGAGTCTGTTTCTACTAAAGATACAATAAGAAGCTTTTTCTGACAATACTTGTTTTTACTGTGACACCATTACTCTTTTTAGCTCTTCCGCAGTTTCTTGTTAGATACAGTATAAAATTTCAACTCTTACCCTGGATGTTACAGTAGGTCCCCTTTTCCTTTGTTTTCCTAATCTCATTACTTGTTGATCTTTTTCCTGTTCAAACCATGCACAGAACTCCTTGGCTTACAGCATGCGTTCTTTCGCACTGCCCTTTTTGAGCATTTGTAGTGAAGAGGGACAGGTGATAACAGCTTCCCCAAAGTGTAAAGCACCTAAGCCCTTTCCCATTGCACTTAATTTTCCACCTCCCCCCAATATCTTCACTTTGAGTGTGTTAAAAGAAGACTGCCTACAGATAGGTTAGGGAACCCTGTAATAGCTGTTTAAATGGTCAACGTCCCTCACCTCACACCCACACTCACCTCCCACAGTTCTTGTCCAGAAAACTTCTTTTGATTATTAGGAATATATTAGAAATTCCCATACAAATTTTTATTTTTGTATTCAGTGTTGTCAATATTTACCTAGTTTGTTTTATTTTTTACAGATGGATTGTATATTGTTAATTTTCAAAAACTGAAATAAAGATAACTTGCTGGAGGGCAAGCACTGTCTTTTAAAAATTATTTATTTTTTATGGTACTTAGGAGATTGCTGGTGTAGGCACTATTTGAGCTATCAAGAATTTTAAAAAGAAATGAAAGATGTTACACTGTCTTTAGATTTCATCTCTTTGGATTCTTTGATTTTTCTTATTTTGTGTGTGCATCTCCTTGTATTTTATCTTTTCTCAAATTATTTTAACTTAGAATTTTTAACTAGATGTTTTTCTGAACTGTATTTTATATGGACTCTGGTTTCTTCCTGCCCTTTGGAGTACTTGTGTAAGGATGAGAGAGAGTCATTTAGGTCCTCTGATGTTATATGTGGCAGATTATGAAGCCCCATTAATGTGTTCTCTTTGCAGTTGTGCCTTCCATTCCCTGCTCCAGACTGGCACTGATAGGGAAGATCATTCATCCTCAGCAACTCGTGCACTCATTAATTCATGCTGCGATGGGAATGATGGTGGCTTGGTGTGCTGCAGTGATGACCAAGGGCCGATACAGTTTTCTTGTGGTTCCCTGCACTCGTACTGAGAGGTAGTATTAAATTTTTCTCTAGGGAATCTTGTTTAGTTATTAAGTCAGAGATGACTTGTATAGTTTGATAGTTTATGGACATTGTTTGCTTTCTAGATTTACATAGAAGGCGCTTTTTTTACATCAAATATTTTTGATGTTTTATGTTTTGAATTCAACAGTTTTTTAGAACCATTTGTTCTATGTACAGTGCTACATTAGATGCTGTTGGATTTACAAGAGTGATTCATACATAGGCTACATAAACTCCTTGAGAGTTGAGCACAAGAGGGGAGTTAAGCTATGGACCAAAATGGGTGTATTGGAGGAACAGGAATGTGTGAAAAATAGGCTGTACTAGGAAGAGAATGAGATGTGCAAATGAAGCTTGTGCGGAGTTCAGAAAGCAGAGAGGTAGCATAGCTTCTTAGAGGAGGTGGCATTTTTTTTTTCTTATTAATTTGTCTTTATTGAGGTATACGAGATGGGTTGGGATGGGGAATACCCTGCTAGGGAAATGCCCATTCTAATCTTCCTGGTATAGTTGCGAGAATTTTTTCTTGGAGCTGCTGCTTTTGCTGCCAGCAGCTTCTTCAGCTCCACTGCTGATGGGCTTGTCCTTGGAAGAGAAAGTCCTCTTTTTCTTGGACACACTCTTGCTAACCTGCCTCTTCAGCATCACTAACTGGTTCCTCTTTGGGGAAAGATTTCTTCCTTTTGGAAAGACTTCCATTGCCAGCTGTTCCTTCAAGATCACTACTAACCAGCTCCTTCTTGGAAAAAGATTTTTTTCTTTTGGTTTGGAGAAAAACATAGATCGGTCTTCTGTTTTATTTTTCTGAGGAACCAAGGAGGTGACATTTATATTGGAGTTTGAAGGATGGATAGTATGGGAAGAACAAATTAAAAAATATGTTAAATAATTTTAACTACCCCCTCCAGTAAAATGCTTTCATTGAAATTTATACAGTTTTTGAACACAGGGCATGGATAAGATTTGCAGGTTGATACTGCGACTTTAAAAATCAAAAAAGATTACTGAAATAATCTTAAGTTCTCTATTCTGCGTTGACTGTAAAACAATGTTCATGAGTACTACTGAATATTTGCTTTCCTTTTGTGCCCCAGCTATTATCATATACAGCAGTTTTTTTCTCCCCTCATGGTGATACATTTTCTTTACAATTCCAGTTGTAAGAAATAACACAGAAAAGCTTGAGTTGTGGCATCTCTGTCAGGTGTACAATATATAGTTTTTAGGTCCTCTTAGTCCAGGTGCAGTTTACCAGTTTGTAAGTTGCATTGCTTACTATCTAAGGAGACATTCTTAACCTTATCAGATTTTCAGAGGACAGAGTTAACTAAAGATCAAATTCTCATGTAACAGGGAAAGGGGTTTTGTTAATTTTCTGTCCACACTTACCTAAAACAAATAATTTTGCTAGAATTTGGGGCATTTCTTCAAGTGATTAAGTTAAAGCCTTGCCTTCGTTAAATATTGAGCCTAAAACTGTAATGGGTGTCCCTGATGGTTGAATTGATAACCTAACTTTTTCTTTTCAGCTTAGATGGCCCTGCTGCACAAACCTGCTTAAATGAATATCACCTTTTTTTCCTACTGGCTGGAGCATTTATGGGCTATAGCTATAGCCTCCTTTATTTTATTAACAACATGAACTATCTTCCATTTCCCATCATACAAGTAAGCTATCATTTGAACATTACCTTGTGCCCGAATTTGGCAGAGTTAAAATTGCCCTAGTGTATGTGTATAGAACTGGCCTCATCTGATTAATTCAAGATTTGATCAGTGAAACTTAGGACTTAAAACTTAGATCCTAAAAATGCCATTTGGAGAGGAGAGGTTTGTTTGTAGCATATGTTTGAGAGCTGTAGCCACTGTTCCTGCTGCCACTTTCGGAATACCGCTTTGCTCCACTCTTTCCCTCCCTGCTAGGTAGTGGCAATTGCTGTGACCTAGCAGGGCTGGGGAAGGATGAGGATGACATTCATGCAAAGTACCTCTGTGCAACTGCCAGCTTTTTGAACCTAAGAACTTCATAAGCTTGAGGATGTACAAGTAAGTATAGAATATGTCAGTTACTGTCTCAAATTCTTTTAAGAACAAGGTATGATGTGTATAAATAAAACAGTTTCTGTTGGTTTGAGTGGGACAGTTTAAACTATCTTTCAGTTAGGTTTTTTTAAAGTCTGCTAATTGGGCAGGAGCTGTCTCGGACTCAGAACCACCTCCTCTGGTAGGAGAGAGAGGGATTGCCTGAGATTTCTCACTGTGGCATCAAGGCTCTCTCCAGCTTATTCCCACAGTTTCCTGACTGTGCTGTTATTTGCTTCATTCCCACTCTGGCTGGCTGAGGGGTAGGCTTTGGAGCAAACATTAGAACCAGCATCTTCCCACCAGAACCCAGTTAGTGGAGGACAGAGGGATATGTAAACAAATTATATGTCATGAGAGTATGAAGTATGAATGTGGTGGATTAGGGTACCTTGGTTTAACTGAACTTTTAACATGACTTTTGCATTCATTAGAACAATCTGATGAAAATACACATGTATCAGGAAGGTAGTGCTCACAAAGATCTGGCCCTTAACCTCCCTGCATTCTGTGAGTGTATGAAGAAAAAGCCCTATTTAGAAGTGCTTCACATCTCATAAAGATGAATTAAAAGTAGAGTGTCAGCCTTGCCACCTCAAAGTTTCACAAGGAGAAAAACTCCAAAATTCTATATAGAAATATCCATGGTAAATTATCTTTGATCAAAATATAATGAAGAATACAGAAGATGAGGGAAAGAAAATGTTAAGAGACAAGCAAGATACCCTGAAATCCATTGCTCCTCTTTGAACCTCTGTTGCAAGTGGCCATTTATTTAACATCACAGACAAGCAATGATTTGAAAATAGGAGCAGTCCAATAATTGACAGTGCTAATAAATTAGTTTCTACCATGTATGTCATATTTGTAAAGTTTGACTACTAAAGTTTTGTAATTTCTTTGGCTTCAGGTTCTACTTTGGCAGAATGTTGATTATTAACATTTGGCCATTCAGTATTTGGTCAAAATTTGGGGGTGTGTCTTGGAACCATGAGTGTAGAGCAGTGTTTAGTCTGACTGTTGGGTGCTGCGCTCCAGAAAGGTGATGGCTGGTGCTGCAGGGGCTTTGCTGGGTGGGCGCAGTGGAGTAAAGGAGGCAAGATTTTGGTAAGAGTATTTGGAATGATGGCTTTTGTGCTTGGGACCATAAAGTTTGGACCCATCAAGTTTGTAACGGTCTTTGTTTGTTTAGCTGGGTAATTTGGCCTCTTCAGAAGACTAAGGGAGAAAGAGGACACCATAGCTTTGCATTCTTTCATTAGTCCTAAGAGCATGACTCACAGTGTGTGACCATCCCTTAGGCATTTTAAGTTGCTAAGTAAAGCAGGATTATCAGGAAATTGTGATCTTGATCTGAGAAATCAAGCCCATTCCTTCTTTTGAACCTCTGTAAAGTGATGTGATGGTTATAGCCATTTATTTATATAACAGGCTGATCAGAGAATGTTAGACCTTCAAATTTATGATGATTATTATTATCATCATTATCCTTATTTTTGGTGTTCCCTGCCTGCCAGCTTCCCAAGTGTATAGTGGTATCATTTTTATTACAAACAATTCAGATACTGTAGAGAAAGTGAAAGATTCTTGGCCACTCTGACCACCCTCCATTCTTGCCTCAGAGATAGTGACTGGTTTAGTATATATTCTTCCAGACCCTGGACTGTACACTTAATATATATGTATCTATAACATATATTTTGGGGGTGGAGTTTCCATAAATAGTCTTATATTGTACATATTATTTAGTAACTAATTTTTAATGTAAAAATGCAAAAAAATTAGATCTTTTAAAAAATTGATTTTAACCAGTTTGTGCTAGCCCATTAGATTTCTTTTTCTTTAAATTTGTCTACACTACTAAAAGCAGTTGCATCACCCTTATAAAATTCTTAATGATAGACAGATAGGGAAAAATAGAACATTAGCATGAAATAGAGACAAAGAAATGGAAGCACACCAAGATGGGGTTTGGCAAGCTCTAGGCCAATGAGACTATTTGAAAGTATTAATTAAGATCAATAGAGCCTGGCACATAGTAAATATTCAGTAAAGGGCAGCTCATAGCCAAACCATAGAAGAAGCCCAGTAGGGAATTGAAAAACACTTCAATTTGAGAGCATATCTACTGAAATGTCTACCTGTTTGCCTAGCCTCTCTGTATCCTGTGAGTAATGGTTAAAGCGAGAGCTGCAGTCGTACAGAATAAAACTACTAATTTTACTTGGGGGGAGGGGTCAAAGAGGGAAGGTGCTAGCACCCAGGGACTGCACCGAATAGTGCAATTACACTTCTTGCACTTTGAAAATGTTTGAATAAGCCAATGTACTTGAAGTTGTATGGTGAGTGACCAAGTATTCATGTGGGCTGCTTTTTGTACAATACTGTATGAATCTGCAGCCGTGGTATGGAGATAAAACTTCCACCTAAGTACTATAAATTTTACTGTTATTTAGCCTCTGAAATTCCTTAAAGAAGGAATTTGGCCCTAATATTATAATAAGCACAAAATAATATGTATATTTTTTTATATATTGTATATTCATGTGTAATATATGTTCTTGTATAAGAATATAGTAAGCACAAAAGACCAGAATTTGGAAAGATTATCTGTTGTTCATTAGGCTTCCTTAAATTCTTTCCAATAATTTAAAACTTTTTTCATTAGCATTTTAGCGCCAGGGATGGGAGACAGTCAAACAACTCATGTTTAATAAGTACAGGTTTTTCAGGAAAAGTTTTGTTTTTCTTACTTGATTCCTTTCTCTTATATCAGTGATTTTCAGTCTTTTTCATCTTATGGCACACACAAACTAGTTACTAAAATTCTGCAGCACACCAAAAATATATTTTTTGCTGACTTGACCAAAAAAATAGGTATAATTTTGATTCATTCACACCAGCCGGCTATTGTGTTGGCTGTTGTGATTTTTTTTTTTTTTTTTTTTTTAACAACCTAAGTAAGGGAAAAGAGGTCAGTGCCCCTGACTAAATAGTCAGGTATTGCATGTTTTAAAAATTCTTGTGGCACACCTGTAGAAAATCACTGTCTTAGATTGATAGAATTGGAAGATGTCCACTAAGGAACCATAAGGTTCAGCCTTCTTAGCTCGCAGATAATTAAAGAGGAGACATGACCTGCTCAGCGTTGTACAGGAGAGCACTAGAACTCACGTCTCCTGATTCCTAGGCTGGTGTCATCTTCACTGCCTACTACTTTTCTGAAAATAACATTTAAAAAATTTAGTGCAGAGACAATATATATTATCTTTAAGATTGCAGACTCTGAAGCTAGCCTACCTGGATTAAAAATCTCAGATTTTCCTTTTTCTAGTTTGTAGTATTTGTTAAGTTATCTAACCTTTCTCTGGCTCCTTGATTTTCGCATCCGTAAATTGAAGATAATGGTAGAACCTCCTTCATAGAACTCTTGTGAAGTTTAAATGGATTAATGTATGTAAAGTGCTTAGAATAGTACCTGGTACATATTAAGCGCCCACAGAATGTTAGTTGCTGCTGTTATTATTATTATTATTATTATTATTATTGTTATTTTGTACTTTTTTTTATCTCCATAGTTCTTAGTAGAGTTTGATTTTGTTAATCTTCTCATTTCTGATCCATAGCAAATAAATGTTATATAGTATAAATATTCTGTCTTCAGAAATAGTTGATATTTTGCTTTTATAATAGAATGAACTTTTTAATGCAATGATTGTAGTTTATGCGTGAACTCTTATAGTTATGTGCTTGCTTTAGAATGAAGTAGAACCTCTTTCTGGGTATGTTATTTGATTCTGTTTTTCTTTTTCCACAGCAATACAAGTTCTTGCGCTTTAGGAGATCTTTGCTCTTACTAGTTAAACACAGTTGTATGGAATCATTGTTCCTGATTAGAAATTTCTGCATTGTGTATTATTTTCTTGGTAAGAATTTATGCTTTTTGATAGTATATGTATTAGCTCATAGCTCAGAAAATGTCAGTTACAAAATCTTTTTTTATTGTTTTTGTACGTTTCCTACATTTGTATATGTGTGATTAGCCCAACTGACTCATTATTTAGATTATCAAAGAATATTTAGTTAAGGAAAAATATTGTTAGAGAAGATGTGGGATATACATACAGTGGATTATCATTCAGCCTTAAAAAAGAAGGAAATCCTGTCATAAGCCACAACATGGCTGAATATCGAGGGCATTATACTACATGAAGTAAACCAGTCACAAAAAGACGTAATATATGATTCCACTTATATGAGGTATTGAGAGTAGTCAAACTTTTAGAAACTAAAAGTAGGATATGGTGGGGGGCTGAGGTGAGGGAGAAAAGGGGAGATGATGTTCAATGGATGTGGAGTTTCAGTTTTGCAAGATGAAAAAGCTCTGGAGATCTATATGCCCACTTAAAAATGGTTAAGGTGGTAAATTTTTTGTTATGTGTTTTTTACCACAATAAGAAATGTATTCTCTTAAAAAAAGGAAAATATTGTATGTGATTTGACCATTACTCTAGATATAACATGCTCCTTTTCATAAGTTTACATCTTGGTGCTAATACAATAGAAATATTCAGTTGCTAAGGGAACTTTGTAGAATTTGTTAACATGAATTTATGTATAAAAATACAGCTTCTTTAATATAATGAACAGTACAAGTTAGATGAGAAACATTAATCTCAGTAGTAACACATAATAATATAAATAAAATCCAGTGTTCTAAAACTATTTTCAGACTATAACTTTTCTGTTCCTACTTTTTTCTATGGATATAATTTTACAAAATTGTTCTCAGTGTGTTTAGGCCATTTTGTTGTCTACTTTTTCAGTTGTAGTTTATATAATCCATTTGTCTACATAGTTTTTAAATGTGTCATTCTAATGTTAATACTTTGTTGTATTGACCTACTACAAACAGCCTGGCTGTTCTCCTCTACAGGCGTATCTTGTTTTACTGTGCTCTACTTCATTGCACTTCAAAGATGTTGCATTTTTTACAAATTAAAGACAAGACCCTCCACTAGCAAAAAGATTACGTCTTGCTATATTGCAATACTCTGGAATACTGCAATATCTCTGAGGTGTGCCTGTAGTTGTACAGTGGGCTGACAATAGCCATGTCTGCATTTCCATGGTCAGCTATTTCTTTCCGTTCTTACAAATTTTATTTCCAGTTTTACCACTTTCCATTTTTTTGTTGTACTTTGGTCTTTTTTTTTTTTGGCTATTTTCCTCTTTCAGTTTTGTTTTCTGTGCCTGAACCGAATAACTGATGTAAGTGACCAGTCACAAACAGACTTCAAAAGAACAGGTGTTATTGGTCATCGATTATGGTGTGCTCATTGTCTATGTACTGATTTGTGTACTGAAAAGCTAGAAGTGCTACTATACTGAGTTGCTGACAGTGAATATGCTATGGTAACTGAAATGTGAATTGTTGGAGGATTGGACTTAGTAAATACACCATGGTAACTGAAATATGTTCATATCGGAACTGCAAAGCAAAGATTGCCTATGTTTAGAAATTGTTCTTTTTTTCTTGCCCATTCCTAATCAGACAATCTAGCATTTAAACTGAGGTCTTGGTGTCTACTTGGCTGTCTCATCAACCTCATATTTCAAAGCATGATTGAGGCCTGGCTGGTATGGCTCAGTTGATTGGACATCAGCCCGTAAACCAAAAGGTTGACAGTTTGATTCCAGGTCAGGGCTCATGCCTGGGTTATAGGTCCAGTCCCCAGTCAGAGTGGGTGCAGAAGGCAGCCAGTTGTTGTTTCTCTCTCACATCAGTGTTTCTCTCCCTCTCTTCCTCCCGCCTTTCCCCTCCCTCTAAGCATGATTAAGGTTTGTTTTTATAACTTTATGTTCATAGCTTTGTATTTTCCCCCCCTCAGGCCATATTCCCAAAGCTTGGATTAGCACTGCTATGGACCTTCAAATAGATGAGTAAGTGCTCTATGAAAAGCCTAATTATAACCCTTTTTAGATGTTTTCATCCTTTCAGATGTTTACGTCTTTCCAGATGTTTTGACTGGTTTAGCCTTTAAGGTTTTTAAAAATTGTATTCATTTTTTGAATAAGCATAGTTCACATAGTTTAAAATTCCAGTGGAATATAAAAGGGTATGTAAGTGAAAAAGATTCCTTTTGCCCCTGTCTCCAGTCACCTAGTTACTGTCTCCAGAAGTAAGCAGTAATTCATTTTTGGTTAGAGATACTGCTTGTATATAAAAGTAGACATACTGAGTTGCATGGCATGCCTCTCTCTTGTTTTCCTCCTCAGTAGTAATCCTATGCTGTGTTGTGCTAGATAATCACGATGCTGTGGGTATTATTCTAATTTACCCTATGAGGATACCAAAATTGAGGGGTGTCATATGACCAGTTAAAGGTCGTATGTGGCAGTTTGGTGTATTGTTCTAGTTACTCTCCATGCACTTTGTACGTAGTTGAAGCTTTAATCTTTATTTTGCAGATAAATGTAAATTTCTCTATTAGTGTTTGTTCTTTTAACTATTAGTTATTCTACTCTGAGACTTTCTGTGTCATATATGACCACACTAGTTTTTGGGAGTGGGAACATTGGCATATGTAGGCATTTATGGGATGTTACGGTTTCTTCAATGCAGATTTCAATACCTAACTTTTAAAAATTCCTAGGTAAAACTTATTTTTGTCTTCTGCTGAATTGCTAGGTGTGAAACCAGATGCATAGGAGAGTTGCTATGTTAGCCCAGATTTTAAACTGGATCAATGGAAATAGAAAAATAATGATAATCGATAGGAATTTAACATAACACTTTTTTTCTCTTTTCACTTAAAAAATGTTTGTATGTGCCTTGTATTCTTTCCTTAATGTATGCCAGGTCCTCAGTAAATGTTTACCTAAAAGCTGAAAATAACTCTATTTATTGTGCCCACCACTCCACAAATGAATGTTAAATACTATGCTTGGCTCTCCTAACATAAGGTGTTTTAAATTTCATAATAGCCCTAAGAGGTAGAATAAAGAGATTAGGCCTCCATTATATGGATGAGTGGCATGGGTCAAGAAATTTATGTAATCACAATACTTATAAATGGCAGAGTCAAAGGTTCATATCTTTTTTTACAGTTGCTTCTTGTGTGATTGTAGGATTATGATGACTTTGCTTAATTGATCTATTCAAGGTTTTGGTACGATAGTATTTGTTTTATTTAGCATTCAGTAGTTTCTTAAATTATTTTAAAAGTAAATATTTTTTAGTTAATACTATATGCTTTTAACTAGTAAGAAACTCTTCATAGGCTATACAGATAGAGCTGAGATGCAGTCCAGGGGAGGTACTAGTTATGTTGAAAGATATTTTAAGTATCAAACTACAAAGCAACAATAATAAAATTTTACTCAGCCTTTAGGGGTTGGCTTATAGGTTTGGCTTATTTTTCCTCTATTGTAAATGGCAATGAAGATTTTGAATGCAAGAAGCTAAGTGCCAGTTTAGTATTTCTCTTCCTGTTAGGCTCCCTTGATGTTCCTTGTTAGAAGTTATTAGGGAAAGAACGCTATAGGATACAAAATGAGATGAGTCTATTACCATTATCATTTACAAATAGGATTTGTTTCTCAGTGTTGAGCCTCAAGTCTTTTAAATGCTTAGATTGTGTTTCCCATAGTATTAAACAGTAATTTCTGCTTTCACAGGCAATTTCATAGGCCTCTTGACACTGTTAGTGGCCTCTTGAATCTCTCATTACTCTACCATGTCTGGTTATGTGGAGTCTTTCTCCTGACGACTTGGTACATCTCATGGATACTCTTCAAAATCTATGCCACAGAGGTTAGTACTGAGTTTTTTGTTACTACGTTTGTATTTTGGAGTACACAGATTTATTTTTAGTAGAGCACTGATCAGCATACTATTATGCCCAAAGCCATTTTGGTAAATTGTGTTTTAGTCTTTCTTCTGAGACTTCATTAGGGATATATCATTTATAACCGTCGTTTACCTTGTTGTTCTTGTTGTTTTAAATGAGGAACAGTGTTGGTATTCTTAATTGTTGGAAACTAAACTGAATGGACTACTAGTGGTATTTATTTACTATGCTTTATCTACTATCTAATTCTTTTCTGAAGGTTTTCCTTTCTCTCCCATCTAGTTGAATGCATACTGAATTTTAGAATATTTTTATGTGCTATTGATATAGATACTATTGAAATTTTTAAATGTATGACAATAATATGTTTGTTCTTTGAATGAAACTTGAAACATTTATACTAAGGAAATGTTTTTCAATGAATGGGATTTACATTGTCTTTATCATCTGTTTGTCTTGGAAAATGAGTGTTTCTGTTTTATTTTACCGTCTCTGTAAGTTTATATCCTTTTGTGACTTTAAAGAATCTTTGTTTCTTAAATTTGTTTCTATTATTGGAAACCAGAGATCTAATAAAATTGTGAGAATAACATTTTAGAAGGTAGTATGTTTGGTTATATATAACTTTCATGTAACCTATTTTTTTAAGGAACATTGAGGATGTTAATTTGGTTGTATTTGTCTCCTTTTCTAATTAATTTCAGTTAGTACTTACTGAATGTAATACAGTCATGAAAATACTCATTTTCATAATCCTTTTGATTATGTTTGATAGGCTTATCTGTTCCCTGTTCAACCACCATTTGCAGAAGAATCAGATGAATGTCTCCCAAAAGTTTTAAATAGCAGTCCGCCCCTCATTATAAAGGTACCAGAACTGTGCATTTTGTATCTTTACACAGCCATCTCTAACTTATCTTATGAAAGGACTATTTAGTATACTTAGGTATTTAGATAAATTTTTTGAGGGCCTAGACTATTCTAGTACTGGTATTATAAAAATCACTGACATGCTACATTGAATGCTGTTTTACTTTTTCGGTTTTCTTTCCAAGTGTCTAAAATGAAAGTATGTATTGCAATATATGTGTACAAGTTAAGCTAATTCTATATTCAGAATAGATAAAAAAAAATTTCCAAGCATGAAATACGATGGTATTCATTGGTTTTTTCATAAACTCTTCCTGGTAGCAAAACAAAGCGCTGCTGATGTTTTTTAATCACTGGATCAATATGTATTTTTATTATGTAGTATTGTTGGTCATTATGATTAAAGGTAGCACTTAATAGTGTGTAGATATTCACTGAGCTGTCTTGAGATATGAATAATGATAAGGATCCTAAAACATTTTAATCAAAGAGTTTAAAATAATTGCAATAAATTTACAAATCTAAGTGAAAATAAATTGTTTTGATTTAAATTGCATTTTGAAATTTTAAAGTAGATTTACAATATGTGTAATCCTGTTAAGAGGTCATAATAATTTAAAAAATAATTGAAATAGTTAGAATCCATAGTTTTGATTGCACTCTGGGAAATTTACAAATCAATAAGAAAATGAACCACTCAGGGTCTGATTACCTTTAAATATCAATTATGACTAATTTAATAGATATACAAAAGCACCTATCAATCATTTGGTTATTTAACAAATCTTTACTTGGCAGGTGTTAGTCACTGCTAGTTAAGGTGTAATGATCAATAACATGTAGCACTGCTTAACAGAAAAGGAGGGTGCACAAAATAATGAAAATTTACTATATTAAGTACAATGTGAACCACTTACTCTGCTTGGGACCAATATGTATGAGAAAGCTTCACAGAAGGGATAGTATCTTGAATGATGAGTGAAGAGGTTTGTCAGGAAAATGAAAATTTTTGGTGAAGTGCAACAGACATTGCATGTCTGATGTGTGCTAGGCACTGCCTTTGAATGTGGTAGCAAGAAAGATTTTGTTCCTGACTCACAGTTTGGTGGGTGGAACCAGATGAGACAAGTGGACAGGCAATTACAATAAATTAAGTACCACAGTTCAGAACTGTGTATGTATGCCAGTGTGGCAGAGGCCAGGGAAAGGTCCAGGAGGAAGTGATGTTTAAGTTTCCCACCACAGAGGTGGGAAGGAACACTGAGAGTTCTGTAGTTCGTTGTAGCTGGAACCTATAGTGGGTGAGGTAACCTGTAGAGGATAGAGGCAAGAAAGTTACGGAAGTCTGAAAAGGTTAAATATTATTTCTGAAAAATTACAACTAATTCCTCCTTAGATTTATTATGCTGAGCCCAATTCATAAATAAGATTTTATATAAATATTAAAAAACTAAACTATGTATTTTTTTTCCCTTTTAGTATTTGGCCTTGCAGGATCTGATGTTGCTTTCTCAATATTCTCCTTCACGAAGACAAGAGGTTTTTAGTCTTAGCCAACCAGGTAATGCTAAAAATAATAGACCTGATAGGCGTGTGTGTGCAGAAAGTGTTCCACTTAAAGTTTTTGATAAGTATATTTAATAAAATACCACACATGAGTGAGCCCATTAAATGAAGTCATGATTTAAATCTTACAAAACAAAAATGTTGGTGTTGTGGTTAGAAGTTATATCATCAAGAAAGGTATTTTTAAATTTTTACATTATTTCTTTCAGCCCCCTTATTCCCTTAACTTGGTAGGTTGACAATTTTAGAGCAGGAAAGCAGTTTAACTAAAAGTTTTGATGCTACAGGTCGTCCTAAGTATCAGGTGGTCTAATTCTCAGATTAATGGCTTAAATAAAGTTAATGTCAGAGTTGGAATAAGAAATTCTGTCATTTAACTCCACGTGCAGAACTCCCTCTTCTGTCACATTACTCTGCCTCCCTTTACAAAAAAGGAGAAAGGAACTAGATTTGATGGTGACCCAAAGGTGTTCTTGGCAACTCTGTTACTTGCCAGCCTCTTCCAGACTGTAGCTGTGCCGTGCTCTGCTGTGTTCCTGGTGGGGGCGGGGGCGGGGCAGAGGGGGAGCAATTCTGGCCCCTGCCACTGCTGGGACAGAGAACTGGGTAGCTTTTCACCTTCTGTCTAATTCAGCTCTTCATTATTTTGCCAAACTTGCCGATTCCGAGGTTGTAAAATAAACCTTATGTATAATTAAATGTTATATGGAAACAAAATCCAGTTATATAAAAATATAAATGATAGAAGCCACTTTACTTTTAGTAACATGAAAAAATCAGAGCTGATGCTGTGGAGAAGAACTGTAGTAATACTTTTCTTTTAAGATTTTATTCATTTATTTTTAGAGAGGGGAAGGGAAGGAGAAAGAGAGGGAGAGAAACATCAGTGTGCGAGGGAAATACTGATTGGTTGCCTCTTGCATGCGTCCTAGCTGAGCACCGAACTCGAAACTCGGGCACATGCCCTGACTGGGAATTGAATCCGGGAGCTTTCGCATTGCAGGATGATGCCAAACCAGCTGAGCCACACTGGTCAGGGCTATAGCAATACTTTCATATCAGATGTAGGTTCACTTAGGAACTCTCTATACATTAAATATTTTCACCAGATACTCAAGGCAACTGTAACAGGGTGGCATGTTCTCTGCCAGAGAAGTTGCATTGTATGGCATATGATTAAAATTTAACTGGACCATTAACGTAGTTCCCTAGTGGTCTTGAGTGATAGCAATATAAAGCATTCAGGAGCCTACTAATGAAGTGTTTTGTTTGCAGGTGAAGTGAAGCTCCTCTTTAGTGGCAATGGGGAAATGATTAAGGAAGGATCTAAGTAAAAAGAATGATTCTTTGGCACCTAGAATGGGGAAAACAGTTTTCAGTGGACTACTGCTGTTTTCACACATAATGAAGCACAGTTGATTTTTATGTCACAGCCCTAGGACATGAAAGTCTTAGGAAATCAAAAGATAATGAGAAGTAAGGGAATAAGAGTGTGGACCATAGTCGTTTAAGTTAAATAATTAGCAGATATGTAAACTCTTCAAGTATAAAGTATGATCATTACAAAATAATATGTAACTCCTATGGATATAAGAGCAAATAGGGACTACTGTACAAATGAAAATATAAGGAAGCACAGTGGATCAGACACAACAATTTAGAGGTCACCAGGGGCCATGGTATGCATCTTGTTAGACATGCTAGTGTTGTCTTCGTCTGTTTAGTACTGCTAGTAAAGTAACCCTAGGTGTTTGCACTCACTCCATACTCTAGTGCTTGGCTTTATTTTAGTGATCAGTTTGAGAAGTTTTTTTTATGGTAAAATAGCAATGCTTGTAGACTTTTGGGAAAATTATTTCTTCCAAATATTTATTGAACTACTGCTGTGTATTAGATGACATGAGTATAAATAGTAGCTTAACTGAGAACAGTGGGCCTTGATGCAAAGCATTTCTAATTCACCTTCCTCCTTATTTGAGAGACTGCAATTATCTACATTTTAAAATTTGGTTTTTGGATTTCTTAGGCGGACATCCCCACAATTGGACAGCCATTTCAAGGGAGTGTTTAAATCTTTTAAATGATATGACTCAGAAACTGGTTCTCTACCAAGAAGCTGCTGCTACGAATGGAAGAGTAATGTCTTCATCATACACAGTGGAACCTAAGAAATCAAATTCTCCAGGTAACTACTAGTATTACTAAGAGAGGGGAAAACGTTTGCATTTCATTTCCTAAGAAAGATAGTAATAGTTAATCTAAAGATATGTATATGAGTGTGAGATATATATTTTTAGGGAAAATTGATCTAGTATATAGGATATTGTATTGAACTAAGTGAAAGAACTTGGTGTCATTATAGATAGAAAAAATTAAGTCCAGTGTGGTGGTGGTGGTATTAAAATGATAAAAAAAATGTTGGTTATCAAATAGGAGACTTCAGTTTACCCTATTACGAAGCCAGGTAAATCTTTACAAATCATACGCGATGCTGTCCTAATTGCAGTATCCCAGAGAAAAGAAGTTTCTGGAAGATGCCCAAAGAGCAGCTGAAAATGATGAATGATTTGGCAGTGGGGAGAGGAGGGATTCATTGCTTTAAGATACATTCTTATACGTAAGAATACATCTTAATGTTTTAAATGCATTCATTGTTATAAGATAGCCTAATGTTAGTACTCCTTCAGTTTGAAAGATGGAGTACTAACATCATATTAGTGTGAGGAAGAAGTACAGGTGGAGAAACCTAATGCTATTTCACCAAATCCCTTAAGTAGAAAATGCCTAGGAATATAAGACTCTTCAGTGCCTCTAGAGAAGCCAGAAGCTAGGTATTTAGTACAAATGGGTGAAACTGACTAGGTGAGGAGGGTAGTAAACTTGAGAGCAAACTTGAGAGCTCAGGCCTCATCCGAAGGGGGAATCTGAACTCAGTGTTCTTTTTCTTTCTTTTCTTTTCTTTTTTTTTTTTTTTTAAGATTTTACTTATTTATTTTTAGAGAGGGGAAGGGAGGGAGAAAGAGAGGGAGAGAAACATCGATCTGTTGCCTCTCATACACACCCTGACCTGAGACTGAACCTGCAACCAGTGACCTATATTATTTTGCGAAACAATGCCCAACCAACTGAACGACGCTAGTCAAGGCTGAACTCATGATCTTTTTCTAAAGAGAAGCCTAAAATCTAAAAAAATGTTTTGTGAAATCTTCCACTTTTTAAATGTTGGCAACTAATCTTGATATTTAAAAAAAATTCCTCTATGAACCAAAGCACAAACATGTTTTTTTACTTTATTACTCTGGAGAGACAATATATTAAAAACAAATAGATTACAGTTGAAAAATGATTGAAATCAGTTTATGAATGTCAGATTTTAAACAATGGCTTTATTTTTTATTTTTTAATTGATTTACTTATTTATTTTGGAGAGGAGAAGGGAGGGAGAAAGAGAGAAACATCGATTGGTTGCGTTTTGCACATGCCTCGATTGGTGTACCCTGATTAAGAATCAAACCAGCGACCTTTCACTTTGCAGGATGATGCCCAACAAACTGAGCCACACCTGTGAGGGCCATGAATGTCAGATTTTAAAGTGTTCTATAATGTTTCAGGTGTTATCAACTTTCAGGTTAGCATTTATGTATTGAACAAATATTTATTGAATGCCTACCACATACCAAACGATGTTTAGAAGCCAGAGAATCAAAGATGGCAAAATGCTCTTGGAACTGACCTTTTAGTGGAAGGCACACAAATAATGATAAGACAATGTAACTGCTAAAAAGAAATCTGTCAAAAAGGAGCCTGTATGGGTAAGATGATTTTTGATAATAAAAGGAGGTCTTGTATGTTATAAAAAGAGATTAGGTTTTTATCCCATAGGGATATTGAACCTGGAGAGGATTTTGAATAGGCGAGTTACATCAAATTAGCATTTTACAAAGATCGTTGTAATCCTGGGTTAGAGGAATTATGGTTCTAAATGGGATTTTAATTATTATAAATTGTCCTATCCCATCGTGCAGACAAAATTTGCCTCTACTTTTGAGGAATTTTTGCTGAATTTAAAAGAGTATTCAAAGATTTCTAATGCCACCAACTCTTAAAAAGTTATGTAATGAAAATTTGGTACTTTAAATGTTTAATGCCTTATTGTGGTTTTATTAAGAAGATAGAATACTAGTGTATGATTTATTTGTCTTTATGCCTTGTACTGGAGTGGCAGGGAAAATGTTCCTCTGTTTTTGTGCAGGAGACATTATAACTGAATTGGTAGAATTATAATTTGTGAAGAAGCCATTTACAGGTCACATTTGTAGAATCACATATGTACATATCCTGGGCAAACTGGTTTTTGGTGTAACTTCTGTTAATTTGAAAGAACTCTGAGGAAAATGGGTTAAGGTTAGCACTCTTATCTGTTCATTTTTTTTACTAACAAATATCTTTTATTTTTTTAATTTTATTTTTATTGTTTATGTTGTTACAGTTTCCACTTTTTCTCCCTTTCTCCATGTCACTCAGCCCCATCCTTGCCCCTCCCCAAACCAATCCCTGTATTCTTATCCATGCCCATGGGTTGTGCATAAATGTTCTTTGATTAATCCCTTCACCATCTTTCATCCTGTCCCCACCCTGCCTTTCTGGCAGCTGTGAGCCTGTTTTATGTATCTAAGTTTGTTAGTATCCTGTTCATTAGTTTATTGTGTTCATTAGATTCCACATATAAGTGAGACCATGTGGTATTTTTCTTTCACTGACTGGCTTAATTCACTTAGCATAATTTTCTCCAGGTCCATCCATGATGTTGGAAAATGTAAGAGTTTCTTCTTTTTTACCGCTTTGTAGTATTCCATTGTGCAAATGTACCACAGCTTTTTTATCCACTTATCTACTAGTGGGCACTCAGGCTGTTTCCAAATCTTGGCTAGTGTAAATAGTGCTGCTATAAACATGAGAATGCATATGTTTTTTTGTATTGGTGTTTGGGATCCTTGGGATATTTCCCAGAAGTGGAATTGCTGGATCATAAGGGAGCTCCATTTTTAATTTTTAAGGCTACTTGATACTGTTTTCCACACTGGCTGTACCAGATTGCATTCCCACCAACGGTGCGCTGGGGTTCCCTCTTTACATCCCCGCCAACATTTGTTTGTTCATTTATTGATGGTAGCCATTCTTGACAAGTGTAAGGTGGTATCTCATTGAGGTTTTAATTTCCATTTCTCTGATGACTAGTGCTGTTGAGCATTTTTTCATATGTCTACAGCCCCTTTGTATGTATTCTTTAGAGAAGTATCTATTCAGGTCTTTTGACCGTTTCTTAATTGGGTTTTATCTGTACATTATTATAATATAAATTTGGTTATGTTTAGCCAAGTAATAGTTATAGTAGGAAAGTGCATTAAAACTAGAATTATTGCAATAATTAAAGTTGTTGCCATAGAAAAATAAAATATAAATTGAGAAGTTTATTCAGAACACATTAGAGAAACTGACCTTGAAGATGAGGATATTCGTGAAGGGAAAAAAACAAGACCTGTACTGGTCTGACAGAAAAATATGTTTAAAGCTCCTTGAGTAGCCATTGAGTTGCAGTAGTAAAAACTGGATCTTGAGAATATAAACCTAAATGGAAACAACCTACTGACCCTTAGGACATACATTAAACAAAAAATTGAGATGCATAATATTTGAGAATCCCATGTTGGCCTATGTGGATTAGGTTGCCCTTTTAACACTGGATCTGTTCTTTTGCAGAAGAAACTACCTTTCAGACCCCTAAATCTAGCCAGATGCCTCGACTTTCAGTGGCACCATTAATTAAGACATCACTGTTTTCCTCGAAATTATCTACTCCTGATGTTGCAAGTCCCCTTGGATCTCCATTTGGCCCTAGTGTAATAAATCGGATGGCTGGAATTTTTGATGTTAACACCTGCTATGGGTCACCTCAAAGTTCTCAGCTAATAAGAAGAGGGCCGAGATTATGGACTTCTGCTTCTGGTGAGGACTATTTATTTTGTAAAATTTGAAATGTCATAGTTGCAGAAAATCAGATAGCCTGAGTTTTCACCTTGTTTTTGTTTTCTTTTTTAATAGATCAGCAAATGAATGAACTTTCTAATCTTCCATCTACTATTAGTGCTGAGGGTAAGACAGTGAGACAGCCCAGTGTGATTTATTCATGGATTCATAATAAACATGAACAGGTATGATGATGATATGGTTTTAGGATTTATATTTGTTTGTAACATTGAGAGCATCAAGGATCTCACACGAGTAAGCTATTGGGATTAGTAGGACTTTTTTGATGCTTCATATATTAAGTTGTCCCATATGAAATAGCCAGTTAGCTGGTTTTGAGCTGTGCTTGGTTTGTGTGAGAAAGGGACTAGAGTGGCTGGAGCAGAATGAGTGAGGGGATAGTGGCAGGCAGGTGGGTGATGAGATCAGCGGGGAGCAGGCACCCAGAGCTCACTAGGCCCATTAGTGTTATATAGGACTGACATTTTCTCTGAGTGAGATGGAAAGCCACTCTGTGGTTTTGCCCTTGTAAATTCAAAGTGTTGCTGTATTTGCTGTGTTGAGACTACATTCTCAGAGGGCAGGAGAAGAAGCAGAAAGACAGTAGCAAAGCTGTTGAAGTAATCTAGTGCAAGATGGAGGTATCTGTGACCAGCGTGGCTGTGGTGGAGACTGTAAGATGTGGTCAAGGTTTGGATATATTTTGAAGGTAGAGGTAATAGGATTTGCTTATGATTTGGTTGTGGTATGAAAGATAGACTAAATGTTGGCTGAAGTTTTTGGCCCAAGGATCTGAAATAATATAATTAAAGTTTACTGAGTGCAATTTGCTAATGATTCTGGAAGAAGGGATTTGATGGAGGTAAGGGGTAGGGGGGGACCTCGAGTTTGATTTTAAACATGTTAATTCAAACAAATGTCGACAGGTAGTCAAGTAAAAATACTGAGTAAGAAATTAGACATATTTCTGGAGTGTAGGGGAAAGTTCTGGGATGGAAATGTAAATTTGGAAGTGATCAGAGTATAGACAGTATTTAAAACCATGAGACTCCAAGAAAACTCTTGCGGGGTGTAGATACAGAAGAAAAGAGATGCAAGAACTGGGATCCTCTAGTAAATAAAGGTCTGGGAGGTGAGGGATAGTAGAGGAGACCAAGTGGCCATTGCAGTGAGAAGGGAACCAAGAAAAAAGTGTTTCAAGGAGAAGTGTCAGATGCTGCTGCTAATAAACATCATGAGATTCAAACTGATAATGAACTGTTGCAATAGAAATGTGGAGGTCACTGAGTCCTTGTCAAGGGCTATTGGATGGAGAAGTGGGGATGCATGCCTGACTGGCATGGCGTCAGGAGAGATTGGGAGAGGAATTGGAGACCATAAGAAAAGCCGGATCTTTCCAGGAGTTTTGAGGAGGAGAAAAATGGGGTAAATTCTGGGGGAAGATGAGGGGTCAAGAAAGGGTTTTACCTTTTAAGATGGGAGGAATAATAACATTTACTAATGGAAGGATTAATTAATAGAGGGAAGAACTGAAGACATTTTATGGACTTCAGTGCCCAATATGCTTATATGCCTTAAATACTGTCAGCTTATAATAATACTAAGAAATTTTCTCTGTAAATGTCAACTAGTAGAAAACCACTCCACATTTTAAGATTTGAAGATGAGGGGAGGGGAGTAGGGAAAACATGCTCTTTTTTGGTATTAAGAGGTTAAAGGGCAAGACAGCTGTGGAGAATTGAGAAAGAATGTGGTCTTAGAAAATATTATTAGAACCACTTAGAATTCCTTTTATTATGACAGGTCTCTAATTTGGAGGTTAATGTGTACATGCGAATGTAATTTAGGTTAGATGGCCTGTCCTATCTTGGTTATCCAACTTATAGTATAAAGCTATTTCCTTACATGGTTCATTGTAAATACTGTTTGTTCTCTATAATGTGGAAGGTATTTTTTTTAAGTTATTATCTGGAAGAATCTGAGAATGTATGATATTTGACTAGAATTGAAAACTGTACATGTGTTCTTTTTTCCAACTCAGATTAAGAATTTCTTGTCAAAACGGGTGCTGATAATGTATTTTTTCAGTAAGGTAAGAATATGTAGTTATAGCATTGGGAATGGGGATGGGGGAGAAGAAATGAAATAAGAAATGAAATAGCAGATAGGATTTCACTTCTAAATACTTAGCTTGATCCTAGCAAGCTGAACAGCTTTTGCATTAGTGCTTCACTAAACCTCCATTTTAACCATAGCAGCCCATTCTCACCTCACATCTCACCTCAATGACCTCCTTGGGCTTGACTACATTTGGCCTCCTGCATCAGTAGACTGCAGGCAGTTTTGTGCTGATAGGCAACTCCATCCGGCAAAAAGAGCAAATCCATGACAGTCCTTTGTGGCTCATGGTCCTGCTAACATCTTTGTAGCCAATTTGTTCTTCAGGAGAGAGAGGACTGCATTAGATTGCAGATGTTAAACTTGTGTAGATAAAAAGTTGTAATTCAGGCCACGAGCTAAATGACTTTCCAACTCGTCTCTTAGCTGCTCGATCCTGCTGCCATAGAAAAGTAGATCTCAGTTGCAGAAGCTAAAAATTCATTCCTGTTTTCACTGGCTACAGCTGTTGTGTGTTAACTAATCCTTTGATGAGCAAAACCTTTGTCCATATGTTGGGGAAGGAATTTTTGTTTTGTTTTAGTTTTTTTTTAATCTAGTTTCTCTTTTTCTGAAGATACTGTAGTTTAGCTAATACTGTACTCAATTATGCCTGCAAGTAAAAGTTTGCATTGACATACATTATTTATTTTTATTTTTTGGGAGTCATACTTGGGTGGGGAGAGAGATCTAAGTAGCTCTGATAGGGTATAGATACACATAACAATGAATGACTTCAAGCTCTTGAAACTTTTATTCATTATGGTGGCAGGGAAGATCAGCCCCCCAGCAATGACCTTTTTAAAAAATAATTTACCTTCGGCTATTCAGAGCTTTGGGGAAACTATTCGACCCCTGAGGAAGGTGTCTTCCATCAAGAGGAAGAGGGATTATCTGAAGTTTTACTTAGTGCTTTGTTTCACAAGGATGAAGAGAACTCTTTTTCTTAAGTTCCCTCATTTATTTCTAACAGCATTCCTGTGAGTTATCTTTTTGTTCTCATTTTACATATAAGGAAACCTGAGGCTCAGAGGGGTCAAGTAGCTAGCCTTAGGGCACATAGCCTGAAAGTGCAGAGCAGATGCTGAACAACATCATCTTTTTCCTTGGAAGTGAACAGCTACTTTTGATTCTAATTTTGCAAATGGTTCTATTGTATGATATGGAGTTATGGGCATTGCCCTTTGATGTTGAGAAGTGTAACATGCTGGTGTACTTAATAGGCTTCATTGGTTGCATTACTAAAGCCAGCATTTGTTTAAATGTGCCAATTGTTGCACCATACTATTTGGCTTTGTTACGTAAAAGAAGGTTGAGTGGTTCTTCTTTGGAGTAAGATTGAGGGAGGACAGTTCAAGAGAGGTAGTATATATTTAGGTAGTTTTGTTTTTTTTTTAAAGCTTTTATAATCGTTCTAATCTCTATACTTATCCTTTGTGGTGGGTTGAGTGTGTCTCTTATTTTAAGTGAGAAACTGAGGCACAGAGATTTAGAGACTTGACAAGGGTCACATAGAAAGTTGGTGGCAGAATGCTTTATTGCAGTTAGATCATATTGTATAAAAATTTCAGATTTTAAATCTTTTTTTTAAGATTTTATTTATTTATTTTTAGAGAGGAGGGAAAGGAAGGAGAAAGTGAGGGACAGAAACATCAATGTGTGATTCCCTCTCATGCGCCCCCTACCGGGGACCTGACCCATAATCCAGGCATGTGCCCTGATTGGGAATCAAACTGGCAACTCTTTGGTTCTCAGGCCGGCACTCAGTCCACTAAGCCACACCAGCCAGGGCTCAGATTTTAATTCTTGAGATGCAGTTTAGAACGTTCTATTGTTTTAGCCTGCATAGTTGATAAATAAGTTGATTATGCATAGTTGATGCATAGATGAAATAGTAAGAGTTTTTGCCCAGGGGAACTTATTTAAGTGTTTTTGTTTGTATTTGTAGCACCCAGAGGCCTCCATTCAGGCTGTTTTTTCAGATGCCCAAATGCATATTTGGGCTTTGGAAGGTAAGCAATTTCAGTGAACTGAAACTATAATCAGTTAAATATTGAAGTGTAATCCATGAAAGGTCAGTTCTGGATTTTGATCTCAACCTTTGAATTTTCAGGTATGTTTTTATATCTTTGTTTTATATAGATTATTTTTCTTAAATATTTACGTGTACTTTAATCTGGGCAGAAGTTTTCCTTGTGTATGAGGTCTGTCTAGAAGGTATCCAGCCATATAATACGAAAAATAGAGACATTTAGTGAAGAAGAGACAGGATACAAAAACATTGTACATAGGACAGTGATACCTCAGTTCCCTTCAAAGTGGGTACCTTGGGACCTCACACAGTTCTCCCAGTTGTCATTAGCTACCCCATCGCATTTTCCTGAATTTCATTGACAGTCTGAAATCTCTTCCCTTTTAAAAGTGGCTTTAGTTTTGGGAAAATCCAGAAATTACAGGATGCCAAATCTGGGTCATAGGGGGGCTGAGTCACCTGGGTGATTTGATGTTTCGCCAAAAAACTGTGCACAAGATGTGATGCATGAGTGGGCATGTTGTCATAATTAAGCTGCCAATCACCAGTTGCCTGTAGCTGTGACCTTCTGAATCATCTGAATAGTTTCCGTGGGGGAATGTTTAAGCTTAACACAAAATTTGATGTAGAATTGTTGCTCTGCTTACTCAGTCATTTTGAATGTGATGGCCACACAGCATACATGCTCACTTCACGATGTCTACTGCTCCCACTGTACAGTGAAGTTGTCATTGTGCACTCATGCTCATTCCAGTCCAGTCTTCTTGGCAGCTAGGTTATATGATGTCACGCAGTTCTCAATATTTTAACAATGGCAGTGCTTTTTCTGGACAGACTTCATATAAACAAAAAAACTGAGCCTGGCATTTTTGTATATCTTTACTTCATAAAAACTGTAATTAATAGATTGTTTTTTACTTTTAATTTATGTTGATGTAACTTATTTAATATATTTTACCGTATTTAATATGAAAACTTAAAGAACTCTATATTATAGATACTTCCTTCTCAAAGCTTAAATGATACTTCTTCAGAGAGGCCTTTCCTACTTAATAAAAGTATCCTCACATCCCTCACTCTGTTCCTTTATCATGCTTTGTTTTTCTTCCTAGAACTTAACACTAGCAAATACAATATTTAAAAAACATTTTTCCTACTAGAACATAAAACAGACAGACTATATCTTATTCATGACTACTGTAGGAAAGTTGAGCATCTTTCTAGTGCCTCTTTTGGTCTTTTGCCCATTTTTCTACTGTATTACCTCTTTTATTTAGAATTTGTTTATATATTCAGATTATCAATCCTTTATCAAACAGATATAATTTATTGCAAATTGATTTGCCTAATCTTACTTCACTTTTAACTTTTTTCTTTTCCCCTTGAGGTCTGTCTCACTTAGTAGCAGCATCATTTACAGAAGATAGATTTGGAGTTGTCCAGACTACTCTACCAGCAATTCTTAATACTTTGTTGATGCTGCAGGAGGTAGGCAATATATGGGCTGGGTGGAGGTGAAGGTTGTTTTCCTCCTCCTCATGCCATACAAGCCCAGTTTTTCCTTTGTTTTTTATGTATCATCATATTTATTGAGTAACAAAACATATGTTGGAAGTTAAAATAATGGTACTGTTCTCACCCTCAGGAAATTGCAATCTAAGGGAGACTAGGAAGAGAGAATTTTAACTCACGGATAAATAATGATTTTGTAGTTAACAGAGAAAGGAAGTACATATATTAAACCCATAGGCTATACCTCTGGTATTAAATAGATTATTTTAAAAAAAACAGATTATTTAGGAGATTGCAGTTTGGTTTAGGGTTACAAGTTTGGATCCTTACACAATGTGTAGCTACTGAAAGTGACCTGTCGTTAAATTACCTGTGAAGATAATAAGTTACCTATTGGCCAGAGGCTGAGAAAGATAGAGTTGAGGCCAGTGGATTCCCTGTCATCAGGATGGGTGTATAGTTTTAAGTTAATAGGTCTTTTTAGTCTTAGACTTAAAGGCAGAAAAATAAAATGTATACTTCTTACTTTCCAGCTGGCTGCCTTTCCTTACTTCATGTTGGGTACTACATTTTACACCGCCTAGTGATATTAGGTGTATGTCAGATATGAGATATGAACACTTAGTGCTAGGGACATTTAGAGGTAGGGGCTGTTGTGTGCAGTAGGTTTTCTGGAGGAGGTGATACTGAACTAGGCTTGAAGGATAATGATTGGTACATTTTTGGACTTGGGAGGCAATTAAAGATACAAAGAAATAACATGCTTCACTGTTCCTTTCTTCACAGTTCATTTTACCTCTACAAAAGTTACCCATCAAAACCAGTGATTTTTTTTTTTTTTGCTTTGAATTCTCTTTATGCTCACTTTCTCATGTATGTCACTCAAGACATACATGTTTCCTTATTTGTCCTCTTTTTCTAGTTACCTTTCTCTAAAGAAACAATATCCTAGTATTTCTTCACAACTTCTAATATTTGGCTTATCTAATTACACAATTGGGGAACAATGATTTGGGCGTATTTTTGCTACTCATAGCATAGTTTGTTTTTCATCGCTCTAGTTTTGTAGTTTCAAATGACAATAACAACACAGTGTTTTATAGTCAACAAAGCGATTTCATATCATTATTTTTGATCCTCATAACTATCTTGTGAAATAATGAAGATGGAAGTATTTTAGCTCTACTGTATAGATGAGGGAGGCTTGGTAGTACAGTGACTTTCTTACACACAAGTCTTATAGGAGGCAGAGCTGGCACTTGAACATGAAGCTGATTGAAGGGCATTAGCAGTATAGTAGACGCCTGGGAGAGCTCCAGGTCTGTATCCCCTATTTTTCCTTGAGGGCTTTTTATTTTCACATGGGGTTCTCTTCAGAGAGAATGGTCCACCAGTGGAACCATGGCTTTGAAACTTTCTGAACCATGACTTGTGGCACATTTATTTTACATTAGACTTAGAATGTATATGTATGTGTGTAAGTAACAAACAAAAGATTCTTTTTTAATTGAATTTATTGGGGTGACATTGGTTAATAAATTTATGTAGGTCTCATGTAATTCTATAATACATCTATGTATTGTGTGTTCACCACCTCAAGTCAAGAACAAAAGATTCTTAGAATAGTACTTACCTTTTACTATATGCATTGCATTCTGATGTTTTCTGTTTTATTTCATTTTTTAAAAATGCTGGTTAAAACAATTGATTTCATAGGGATCACACTGCCCAGATATGCTCTGTACCCAGATTACTTTCTTCTTACCTCCCCACTATAAATATTCTTAATTCTTCTTCATAGTTGATTATGGGTAGGTATGATAAGGAAAGCAATCTGTTTATTTGATTATAGTTATTGATACCTTTGGTTAGAAAGGTTGAAATTACAGATTTGACAAAAGGTTAGGCCCTATTTACTTTGAAACAGGAGCTGGAAAGGAGAATACTTTTGAGGGGCAGAGTAGAAGGAGGCAGAGTAAGTTTTTGAGAACTGGAAGCGGTAAAAGGAGCAAAGAACAGGTCTGGTGGTTTGGTACTGAGTATAAAACTCTTTCTTGTGTGATGCTTGTGGCATCTCTTCTCCCTTGGCCAATCCTCAGATTGATTATAATGAGTAATTCAGGTTCCACGTGGATGGCTGTTTCCCACACCTTGGCACCACAGTTCTTTGACTTCTTCCTCTTCACTACTCTTATATACCCTTCAGTCTCATCCCAAGTCTATCATCCTGGCCTCATTGTCCTCTGAATTCTCCACCTCCAAAGCTTAAAACTCCAGGATTCTGTCCTCTAGTAAAGATAAGTATGCAATTTTTATCCTAAAGTTCATGCCCCTGAATTTTACCCATAGATCTGTGGGCTCATGTAAGAGCCCTTGTTCCAAACACAGGCCTCTCATGCCCTTGCTTCTTCTGTGTACTTTGTCCTTACCTATGTTTTCACTTCCTCTATCAGCTCCCTCCTACATCTTTGTCTTTCCTCTTCAGCTTAGACCTTATGTCTGTCACAATCATTTTATTACTAATTCTTTCTACTCCCTGTCCCCTTGTACTTGAACTGTTACCATATGGCAAAACCCCAAGGGATCAGTCCCACATTCAGCACCCATCCATTCTGTTTTGCCCATCCCTCCTGCATTGACCTTACTGCAGGCTTGGAACATTCCTGACCTGAGTTATTACTGCAGTCTCTTGTCCCTGCTAACTCTTGGCAGAGATTCTTCATTCAGACTCCAGCCGCTCTCCTGTTCATCCCATGAGCCCTCTGCTCTAGTAAACACCATGGACTATTCAGTTTTTCCTCCTAAATATATTTTCTTAACCTAACTCTAACTCTGTACATGATGTCTTTTCTTTCCTTCTTTTCCTAGAACACATTTTTCTCCATTTACTTGGCTCTGCCCTATAACCCCTGTCTCAGTACTTTATTGCATTGCATTTTAATTGTCCATTTACTTGATTGTCTTTGTTGGAGTAGAGGTAGGGACGTTGCCTTAGTAGCATCTCACTGGTACTTGGCTATCATCATCATCTAATATTATTTTTATTCTGTAGTTGTGGTTCTCAACCAGGGGCAGTTTTATTCCCCAGGAGACATTTGTCAATGTCTCAGACATTTTGATTTTCACAACTAGGGAAGTGCTGCTCTCATCCTTGTGTAGTGGCCAGGGATACTGCTGAACAGCCTATACTGCACAGGAACAGCCCTCATAATAGTTTTCCAGTCCAAAATGTCAATAGTCCTGAGGTTGAGAAACTCTGCTTTGTAGTCATGATTTCCAGTAATAAGGTCCGCTCTTATCCTTAGCATTTGTTTGGGATTTTGGCTTTAGTAGAGTAAACTTTTGTGTTAACTAGGTTATGAGTAGGATCCTTGAAACCAGGAATTTTCAAGGCTCTGCACAGTGAACATTTGTTAATGACACTGGTAGATAAACATTCAGGAGAGCAACTGGACTTTTCTCTTCATTTGGTTTTTGTGCATATACTACGGCATATAAATATAAATGGGCAAAAAGTACCTGTTTTCATAGGACAGCCCCTCTTTAAATTTATATTAGGGCCAATGTAAGGCCTTCATGGAATTTATTATATTTCCTGGAGAGTATATTGCTCAGTGGTGTATTATACTCACTGCTTACTCTTTCCATTGTTTGGGATAATTCCTAACTAAATATTTGAGATCTCAGTTGTGTGATCTGAGTCTTCAGTGCAGGAACCATGTACAAGGCATAAAATGAGCCTCAATACTTGTTTAATCGCACAGCTGGTTAAGTACTTCAGTTCTCCTAACCACGGAGCACGTCATTAAATATTATAAGCCAGTATCTCCTAGATTTAAGCTATTCATATACTGCCTCCATAGTTTTCGCCATAACTATTTATTATAACATACTATTTTCATAATTTTAGTCATTTAGATAAATAAGAAGATGAATACAAAGAGACAGATAACAGCACTCCAGACCACCACCTCTGTTCATTAGAAATATAGTACAATACACATATGTAACTTTACATTTTTTAGTAGTTACATTTAAAAATTACAGGTGAGGTTTACTTTAATGTATTTTATTTAAACTCAGTATATCTAAAATATTATCATTTTGTCATGTAGTCAATATAAATTATAGAATTTTTAAAAAAGATTTTATTCATTTATTTTTAGAGAGGGAGAAAGAGAGGGAGAGAAACATCAGTGTGTGGTTGCCTCTCACGCACTCCCTGCTGGGGACCTGGCCTGCAGCCCAGGCATGTGCCCTGACTGGGAATCGAACAAGTACCCTTTGGGTTGCAGGCCAGCACTCAATCCACTGAGCCACACCAGCCAGGGCTATTGAGATATTTTATACTCCTTTTTCAATAGTAAGTTTTCAAAGTCTGTGTGTTTTTTTATTTACAGCATATACAAATTCAGACCAGGCACATTTCTAGTGCTTAAGAGCTACGTATTTCTTAGTGGTCACCATAGTGGACAGAATAGCTATAAACTTCAATGATGATGGTGAAATTGATCATAAAAGAGGAATTTCAGATTAAATCTTCAAATGATAATATTCTAGGTATATTTTCTAAAATTCAAGAATAGATGACAGAAGAATATATTTTTAAGGAGGAAAAGGAAATACGTATATGTGATATTCTCATCTGGTAAGGTCATTTAACAGGAATAACTTTATCCCACAATATAAATAAGAACCTGAATCATCACATTTTGCTAAAAGTACACATGACAGTACTTGTTCATATTCTGTGATACATGTGCATCAAAATCTACCTAATATACTTCATTGGTGGATTGATGCTGAAAGTATACAAAGGTGATTAGAAGGCATGGATGATGGCAAAATGAAAAAAGTCACTGGATTAATCTTTTGAATTTGTCTTTATAAACCTAAGAATTAAAATGTTTTGTAATTGTGCTGCAAAGAAAATGGTCGAACTCTCTTCAATGAAATTATAAGCTATTAAAAGTTTTTAAAAATACTGCATTTTGATGGCACAGATGCAGAAAAATAACCAGAAGTAATGATAAACCAGAACCTGTTGAAGATATTTTCAATTTGAAATCAGTATTATAAGATGGGTATATTCCAGGTTTATGCATGATAGCTGATAGAGTTGCAGTCAAAGGATATTGTCCATTTCAGATATGTATATCTTCAAAACCTAGGAAATATATTTATATTCTTACTTATATTTCTATAAAATTATTTTACATTTTCCTGTCATTCTTTATCCCACTAACTGTTTGTAAAATAACTTTAAATTGTAAAAAGTGTCCCTTGGACCAAGGTGGTAAATGATGATGACTTTATCCTAGTATACTGAGAGCTAATCAGAAAGTTTGCAAGAAAATTGAAAAGGAAGTAACTTTTCCAATGTGATTCAGTGCTATTTAATGTTATTTAAATATATCACGGAATACCACCTCCCATAGTGCCTAAAATTATCCTAAGCATGTCCCAGTCTTGGGAAATATTCTTATAAGTTATTGTTGAAAGAATAAATGATTAAACTTGAAGTTATCATGGTAGACTGAACACACGTATCAAATCTTGTTCCTTTCCCCAAACTCTGCTAAACTATAGTAAAATGACTTTTAAAAAGACATAAATCCATAAACAGGAGAAGAGACAATAGCAACAGAATTTTCAAAGCTGGAAAGCAGATGGTTGAGATAAATGACTTAGCAGATCTCAGAGGCAGACCCAAAGTTGTTAGTGGGGCCAGCACCAAGTACCTCTGGAATCAAGGATGAAGACACAGGCAGCAAAAAAAAGAGGTATAGGTGAGAGCTGTTTCAAAACCAGTTAGATCCCTAAATTCTCTGTTGCTGGTGCTCCCCACTCAGTCCCGCAGTCATTGAAGTTTATCCCCTAGAGAGGTTAGAACACCAGGACTCTGGACTGACAGAGTCTCGACACAGTTGTGGGTATTTCACTAAAAGCTCTGCTTCCAACCTGGCTCCATGAACACTGGGGACTGGGGTACTTGAAAACTCCTCCCTGGGACTCTGAGCAATCCGAGAAGGAAGACCTAAAGTTTTTGAGTTGAGTGCTCACCTCACAAAAGTCCATGCAGATCACCTGTTGTGAAGGCTATTGTCAATAATCGAACCTTACTCAGAACTTTTGGTCAGACAGGTAGTCCCACTCTCAGACATGAGCCAAGGGTAATTAGTTTTCTTTCTTTCTTCTTTTCCCTCCCCCTCAGCTCTCTTTAATCCTCATACGAGCATACGTTTATTGACCTGTTTTAGAGAGAGAGGAAGAGGGGTGGAAAGAGAGACAAATATCAATGTGAGAGAGAAACATACATTAGCTGCCTCCTGTATCCGCCCTGGCTGGGGATCAAACCCAGGTATGTGTCCAGACTGAGAATCAAGCCCACAGCCTTTTGATGTTGGGACAACACTCCAACCAACTGCCAGGGCAAGGCTCACTAGATTTCCGATAAAGATCTCTAATGCAGAAGATAAAGACCAAAAGACAGGAAGAAGAGGAAGGTGATGTGGAAGAAGATACAACAAGCAAAAAACCAAAAACATATTAAAAAAAAAAAAAATCAAAATCCTCAGAAATGAGAGGATGTTACATCATTGAAACAAAAATAGGATGCTAAAATAAAAAAGTCAGATGACATAAAAGAGTTCTTGAAATTAAAAACATTATAACTTGTTTGTATTTATTTTGGTGGTTATATTCATTATTATAAATAATAGGCTTATAGTATTAATTCTTGTCCCCTTGGACATTTTGCTGTGATAGGTGAGTAGACTTACACTTCTCTATTTTCACTTCTGTCATCTCCTAATGTAGTCATACGAAGTAAAAATGATATTATTTACCTTTGGCCTTTAAAGATATACTTAAATCTCAATTCTGTCAACTATAAATAAAATCAGTTTCACTTTTGAATTTTATTTCCCAGACTATTTTTGCTCATAGATGCTTTATGATCTAGAATTAAAAAGGAAGATTAGGTAGTTAAGTAAATGACTTTTATTTACCTTCAGTGTAAAGTTTTGGCCTTGTTTTTGCCAAGGTTTTTAATAAAGGACTCATACTGTTACACATAAGCAGAGTAGGATATCTGTGGTTTACTTCTCAGCTTTGCATTTTCACGGGTGTTGTGAAGTATAGCTTTTTTTTTTTTTTTTTTTAGCAGAAAGGATTTTTTTTCAGGTAACTGCTGAAGTGGCTGAACTTCTATTGCATTGTTTTTCAAGTGGTGTGTGATCCAAAATATTTTATAGTATGTGTCTGTCTGTCTATCTGAAAAAAAAATCTCCTTAATCTTTTGGACTAAATTGGCCTTCATTGTAATCTGCTCTAATGTGTTTTCTTTCTTTGCTCTAGGCAGTTGACAAGTACTTCAAGCTTCCTCATGCTTCCAGTAAACCACCTCGGATTTCAGGAACCCTTGTGGACACTTCTTATAAAACATTAAGATTTGCATTTAGAGCATCACTAAAAACTGCCATCTATCGAATAACTACTACATTTGGTGAACATCTAAAGTAAGTTTACCTGTTTTGATCCCTGATGATAATCCATTTTCAGGAGTTCTCCTGAGAAATAGGTATGAAAATTATAAAGGCTTACATATTGAAAGTGTTTTTTTGGGACCTTCATGACTCCTCCTGGGAGTTAACAACTTGGATCAAGACTTTATATTTTAAAATTTGAGCTATTATATAGGCTTTGGGGCCTTATTTCAAATGGACCAAAAAAGGGGGGTGGGCAGGGCTGGGAGAGAAAGTTATGAAAGCAGTATAAATGTAATTACATATCATTTTTTAAAAATACTAAAACATCCTTCAGGGAGAAAAAAGGCAAAAAAATAATAATTCTGTTATTGCATCTTGGTCAGCAAACTAAGACTTGGGGTGAGCAGAGTCTTCCATAAATGAGTCCTCGGTGCTTTGTGAATCATGCTGGAAAAACAGTGACAGATCACAACACCTTTAGACACAGAGCCAAAGAGAAAACCACAAATGCCAAACCTGTTTATATTTAGTTTCATGATGTTTACTGCTTTTTTCTCATGAAATAATTTAGCTAAGCAGGATAAGGAATACTAGTTTATTAACTAAACTGTGTTTTATCATAATTATAAATGGACTTCAGAAGATGAGAGATTACTCTGCTTTTTCTATATGCAATCAGTTAATAGTTGAGAACTTCCTCATACACCTGCTTTTAGAAATAGTAGTATATTTTCTTTTACTTGCATAATACTAGGCATTAGCAGTAGCAAGTATTATGGAACACTTTGGTTCTGAGTGGGAATACAAAAGAGCTGTAGGTAATCCTCTCTCCTTAAGAGCTTTATTCACTTGTTTAAAAAGAAACAAAGTCTATCATTGAGTGCCTACTGCATCTGTGCTCTCCAATATGATAGCCATATATGGCTATTTAAATTAAATAAAATTAAATAAAATTTAAAATACAGTTTTTCATCACACTGGCCTCATTTCAAGTCCTCAGTAACTACATATGGCTAGTGGCTACTGTATTGGACAGCTTTGATTTAAAAAAAAGTTGTCATCACTGTAGAAAGTTCTGTTGGATAGTGCTGTCCTAGACAATAATTTTGCACTATATATATGTTTCTTTTGATCTGTTTTTCTCAGCCTGTGAGGTGTAGAGATTATCATAATTGTACAGAAATAGAAACTGAGGCCCAAAGAGATTAAGAACTTCCTTGATAGCACAGTCCAGTGGGAGTTAGAACATGAACCTGAAGTGAGATCTTTCTTGCTTTAAAAATTCTACCTTCTTTCCTGGCACACCACTAGACTGCCTCTGAGATATGAACTGCCCTGCTGAATATTCTCAGAAAACACCCGATGAATTGAGAGAATGAAAGAGATATGATGATATCCCTATCTCCTTAAGAGGTGTATTCACTTGCTTATTGATATTGATGACAGTACAAAAACAGGAAGGAAAGGGGAAAATGGAGATTTCTTAGAAAGGAACGGGAGGAAGATAGATGACTGACAAAAAATTATGAGAATGAACTTCTGCCTTAGCTTTTCTCTGAGAAGAGCCAAATTTTGTATGTACATTAAAATTGATGAGGATTAGTAGAGGCTATTTTGTACAAATATGGGACAGAATGGTATAGTGGGAAAAATGTTAGGGGTTTTTTTTTTTAATTCTTACCAGAGGACATGCTTATTGATTTTAGAGAGAGGTGAAGGGAGAGGGAGAGAAACATAGCTTGGTTGCTTCTCGTGTGCGCCTGGACCAGGGATCAAACCCACAAGCTAGGCATGTGCTCTGACTGGAAGTTGAACCCGCGACCTTTTGGTTGACCTGACGGTGCTCCAGCTGACTGAGCCACACTGGTCAGAGCGAAAAGATGTTAGATTTAGAGTTAAAACATTTAGATTTATGTCTGGTTACATCATTGACTATCATTGGTTGTGGGCAAGTTTCCTAATGATTTAAGTAACTTGCTCAAGAATTTGCAGGTAATAAATTGCAAGGCCAGAATTGAGACGCAGAACTCTCTGACCTGAGAGTTCTAGCTACAGCGTCTATACTCTTAACCGGTAGGTTATTCATCCTACCTTGACCCATTTGTTGTTAATAGAGTTAAAATGGGATAATACATATATGAAGCCTCCACTGTACATTATGTGTTGTTTGGAAGATAACTTATTACTGTATAATATCTAATTTACTCATCCAAAGCTCTATCTCTGAGAACCAGGTTTAAATTAAGTAAATTTGATTCACTGATTTTCTAGCCTGTAATGTTAAAATATGTGGGGAAGAGACAGGTATTAGAGTTGGGAGTACAAAGAGCCTGTAAGAGTGCAGTGACTGCTAGCAGACAGAAGATTCATGAAAAAGGCTGCAGACTAGGTGTCTGAGAGTTCAGAGCCATTTAGTGGGAGATGACAGCCTCACTAGCACCTTGGTGGAAATCTGCGCAGTAAAGTACTTGAAATTGTTCAATTAGAGGCAGCTACATGGTTTAAGAAAGCAGAGTTGTCTGTGTAAGGACTTAAAGAATGATTTGTAGCAAAATTGTTATGGTAAGACTCTCTGTCACTTTTAAAAGTGGTGACCTTTAGTTTCTAGAATTTTATCATTTAGTAATGATATATTACTGTAGAACAACTAGAAAGCCAGAATCTATCTTTCTTTCTCTTTTTTTTTTTCTTTTGCCTAGAAGTTTAAAAGGAAGTTTTATACTATTTTAAATATATATTTGCCCTAACTTTGTCAAGGTAATGTATTTTTGTGGGGCTGAGGATTGGGAGAGAACTCAATTTCCCCATCCAAGACATAATTTATTTTCAAAGGGAAAAGTAAATCTAAACCACCAAGCTGTTACCTTTGAAAACGATTAGTGGAGTCTATTATGTTTTAACCAAACATTTTAGTTTAAAGGATTTTATATTAAAGGCAATTCAAATACTCCACAACTCAAAGATAATGTTGGAATCTGGTTTAAATAAAATAATAAAATCCAGAAAATCTGTAAGGCCTGGAACTCTGCACAGCAGGTTCCACAGCAGAGCAGGTTAAAATCGATGCCTTTACTTGTCAGTCTTAATTTGCTTTGGTCTTTTAGAAGGTGGAAGCATGCCATTACTGAATGCAAGCCCTCCTCCTCATTAGATTAAGGAGAGTTTTCATCCAGCTTTTTCAGAAGTACTAAATAAGTGAAGATTTCTCTTCATTTTTAATTGTTTTGAAAAATATTGACTCTGTGCTCTGTGGTTCACTTAATATGCTTAATGTAAAATAAAGCTTATGCTTTGAATTTATGTTTCATTTAGTGCTGTGCAAGCATCTGCAGAACATCAGAAAAGACTTCAACAGTTCTTGGAGTTCAAAGAATAGTTAAGTAATATAAACTGTGTTCATTACACTGCTGATACAACTACAGATGGGACAGTAAATGTTCAGCATTCTTGGATCAGAAGAAAATGGACTAATTAGATGCTTCCTTTGTCGTGGTGGTTGCTTTGAAAACTATACTTTAATGGGAGAAATCATGGAAAGAAATTCTCAACAGAATAACCGAAAACGGCCTTTTCTGTACCAGTTCCTTGTTGTGTGTGTGGTATAATAAAATCTTTATTCAATTTCACAGATGCATCTATGGCAGTACAAATGTCTCTAGCTTATATAGCTTACTAATAATAATTAGAAAAATTTTAGAATTTACTTTTGAAAGGAATAGAGCCAGTTCAGAAGGTAAAAATGGGTTGACTTGCTCCAGTCTGCCTTCCTAAGAATTTAGCTCTCTGTAAAACCGAAATACATAAACTTTTTAAGCGTTGTTTCTGTTTACTAAAGGGTAAAAATGGTAACATTGGAGAAAAGTTCACAGAAAAAATATTGTCTACAGGACATATTTTGTTAATATGTTAGGTTGTGTTTTTGTTTCCAGAGACAAATTAAATTTGCATGATTGTCTAAAAAAAAGTCTCAATTTACAGATGCTAACTCTATATAAAGGAATGTGGAAAAATTCAGTTCTTAAGTTACAAGATTAAACATCCACATTTGGTTTTTGAAAGACAATCGACTGACATCTATGAATTTATTTTGTATCTTGCTAGTAAACAATAAGTGTATGACTCTTATCCCAACTAGTTTTACTTTCTTTTTCTGGAACAAAACATCAAGTGACTGTAGAGTTTTTCAAGTGAGAGAAAAAGTTTTGCAAGGACAACTAGGAAACTTTCCCTTTTTCCCACCCTTCATTTTCATTAGATGAAATTATTTTGTGAAGTTTTTTTGGCCTCACAGAGGGAGCAGTCTTAGCTGTGTTAACTGGCTAATTAAAATATATTAGGAAAATCTTTGCAGCCAGAAACAACTTAGTACTCAACTAGCAAGTGAAACCAAGACATCAGAGGAATTACTTGCTAGCCTGTTGTATGTTCCCAAAGTGAGGGGGGTAATTTTTTAATTTATTTGCTTAAATTCTTTGTAAATGAAAGATCGGAAATTCTACTAGTAGAGATTCACTGGACTAACTTTGAACTGAAATGTTTCCTTGTAATTTTTTCCTATTATCTTTCCCCTCTGGTGTCCCAAAGTTTTTCTTCAGTCAGCACGTTATTGTATATGAATCTTTAATGTGGTATATATGTCTACAATTTGTCTGATTACTTGATGTATTATATCTTTATTCCCTTTGTTGCCCCTTCAGCCAGCTCATGCCAAATTATAAATGAATCTTGCTAATCTTTAAAGTGTCTTTATGAGACAGCTCCCCAGTTGTCGAGTGTTTGGAGGATTTAGGCTATTGCCACTGCTTTTTTAATGCCCTGAGGTGGAGTTGATCTTTTTTTTTTTTAAAATGTGAAAGTTGAATTTTGAATGTGGTCGTAAGTTACAGATGGCCAGAAAATTGTGACTAGGTTGACTGAGAACTGTTGAGTTTTATGTTTTAAAGCCATGGAACTTTTTATATTCCATTCTCTGTGCTCCCCTCGGCTGAGGTGTTTTGGGAGAAGAGGACTCTTAACCTCCTGCTGCCACAAAGAATTACGGTATTTAACCCATTTTCTTCCTGAGACTGATGATGGGATGATTCCTGTAAACTCTTAGATAAAATATCTGGCTAAGACTTTGGGCAAAGGTATGTTTGATGAGCAATGTGAAAATTTTTGAGGTGTTCATTCCTGTTTTCTCTCCAGAGAATGTGCTTTGTACAAAATACGAGTCATATAAAGTCTGCTTGGTGGGATTTGGAAACCGTCTCCCCAAATTTGGATTGTATTTAGCTGAGAGTGAAGGCAGTTCCTTTTCCCCATTGTGTGTTGATAACCTCCACACCATCTGTTGGGGCAGGGTGTGGCCCAATCACCTGCTATTAAAAAGAGCTCCTTCTGCTGGGTACAAGGAGGAGGATCTTAGGAATGCCAAGAGGAGAGAAGCATTTCCTTCGATGAAGTCATAACTTGCCTGTGAGCCCCACTGGTACTGTAACATTGGCCTGAAAATTGGTGTTCTTTTAAAGCTTTTCTCTGTCAGTATAAAATATCATTCTGTCTGCTCTTCTAATGTTTGCTTGACCCTTATGGAACGTATAAATCCATATAACTTCTTTCCAGGAGAACCTTGAAACTGTCCTAGGATAAACATGGTATATAGTTCAGTGAACATGGATAAACTACAGTTTGTTACTTTGCTGGATTTGTTCCTTGGTAATTGTTCTGTATGTCTTCCTATAAATGTGGTAATCTGTTTATATCTTTTTGTATATCACTGATACTGAATTGGGTAGGAAAATAAATTGACATTTTAAAAAAATAGGACTGTTAATTGAAATGTGTATATAAAAGGTCAATTACTTAATTTCTGGTGTGTTTCCTTAGCCATTTCAATTCCTCCTCTACTATCGCTGCTTATAAAACCTGAAAAGGTTTAACTTCTTGAGAAACCAGCTTTTGCTCTTAACTAATTTGGTGGGCGACCAGTATTTGTTGGTAATTCTAAGGAGCCTGAATTTAAAAAGTCTCTTTTTTCATTGTCTTGGCTCCTTTTCTTTTAAAACTAAACAAAGGAGGCAGGTGCTGAAAGCCATCTTTTAGTAGAAGTTTCTTTTCCTGCCAGAGTAGTGTTTCTAAGTAGATCATATTCCTCCAGGCTAACAGTTATGTCTGTCAACTTTACTTAAATTAGTCTGAACTTCACCTCAAGGTAGTTGAGGTACTGTACTAAGGCCCTCAAATCCCTCTTTTCCTCTCGCAATCCACTCATCTTTCTTTAAAACCAAATAGCTTAAGGTGGCTTTAATTTATCAGTGGACAATCTAGCTATTCTTAGCAAGCTGTTGACCAGAATCACACCGTGAGAAGGGTTTAGTATAGTTCAGGAGTTACCAAATTTAGCATGCATCGGAATCACTTGGAAAGCCTGTTAAAACTCTGGGTCCCACTTCCAGAGTTTCTGATTGTATAAATCTGGGGTGGGGCCCAAGAACTTGTATTTCTAACAAGTGTTCAGGTGATGCTGCTAGTCAGAAGAGCACACTTTGGGGCCCACTGCTCTAGTGGATTCTCTTAGTGTACTTTCACATGAGTGTCTGAGCATATGAGCTATCATTTGCTATAAGGTACAGTTTTTCCACCTGATTTATTTATTGGAAAGTGTGAAGAATATGATTAGATCTTCTAAGTAAAACAGAAATGCATGTATTCAGATGTTTATCTGCTTATCCTGAAATTGCAGCAGGTGATATGACATGAGCTGCTCTTTCACACCATTAGGTGCTCGTGTTGGTCCCTGTCTTGGCAAACTTCTCATTCTTCCCAATGAGCTTAGCTTCCCACATATTCCCAGAGATTTTGTTTTTTCAGTGTTCTGCCATTCCTTCTTTTTTGGACCTTATCACACTGAATTGTTATTTAACTGATAACGAATCTGCATCTCCTTGAAGGTTATGAGCTCCCCCTCCTTCCAGGATTCCAGTTACATTTTCTTAGTATATCAACACTTATTTTGCAGCTAAACCTGACCTTAACTTATGTGAGACTGTTTGTAGTTTAATTTATTCCATGTAGTATAACTATGCTTATATTGCCTATAGTATGTTTGATTATGAGGTGCTGTCCATGGGTCTGGCCTCAGGAGTTTAAGACAGGGTGCTGTAGACTCGCTTTTGTAGAATGCTGTTAATTCTTATATTTATTCATTCAGCATTTACTCACTGCCTGCTGTATACCAGGCTCTCTGATAGGCTCTGATGGTATGAAGGCACAAATGTTGCCCTCAAAGAGCTCACTACCTTGCATGCGTAAAGTAAGTGAAGGCAACCCTTCTTTGTACAGACCTTTTTTCTAATTTCCAAAATTGATGTGTCTTGCTATTGCTGTCTCATTGACGATGGAATATCTGTTCTGTTCCTAGCCTGTACTAAATACATTTCCTTAAATGTCCTTGAACTAGCTCCCTTTGCCACTTGAACTATTTTTCAGGACCCATGTGGCTCTGCCTTGCCCTCAAGCGTTCATGTTCTTGTACTCACATATCTTACCAGACACTGTTGAGTGTGCCCTGCAGGTGACGCTGCGAGTAGTGGTAAAGTAGTTCTGGAAGACGTGTGGGATGCCTCTGGCAGAGAAACATTGGAAGGCGACCTCTCAGTCACAGACCTTTACTTTGATAGTCTTTTGAAGATGTGTTGACTGTTGATTGGTTTATCCTTTTTATCTTTCAACTTATTTTTTTTTTTAAAGACTTTATTTTTACAGAGAGGGGAAGGGAGAGAGAAAGAGAGGGAGAGAAACATTGATGTGAGAGAGATACATTGATTGGTTGCCTCTTGCATGCCCCCAACTAGGGACCTGGCCCACAACCCAGGCATGTGTCCTGACTGGGAATTGAACTGGCGACTTTTGGTTCGCAGGTTGGTACTCAATCCACTGAGCCACACCAGCCAGCGCTCGACTTATTAAAAACAGTGTTTTGCAGCTTGAATGAATAGTCCCTCCCTAACTATGTTATGAAGCAGTTGCAAGGACACAGTCCCCACCTCAACTTAGTTTGAGCATAAAAAGGGGAGTTGACCCTAAGGGCACAAGAAAGTCATGGTAGACACAAGGATAGATTTGCTTCTGGACCCCATGAAGAATCTGTAAAGCTCTCAGAATATCTAAATGGTTCTTCTCTGCTGTTTTGTGCATCAGTGCTTCAGTTCTCTTTTCCTGTCTGCTGGCCTTCTACCTCACTTTCCACTGGCTCTCTAGCTCCTGAGTTTATATATAATAGACACTGACCAACTATTTCTGAGTGCTAACCAAAATCTTGATTGAAAGAAATTAGTCCAAATGCATCAAGTGTCCAAAGGTCTAAATAGGCGTCAAGAACAAGGTCATGCAGTGCCAACATGGCTTCTAAGACCCTATCTTTGTTGATTAGGAGACAGTGGAGGGTAGGGGCAGTTCTCAGAGCCTCCTAAGATAGGGGACAAAATTTGGGATTGAGGGCCTCCAAAGAGGAACTGGTATATCCCCTTGCTTTGAGTTGGAACCCCAGAGGGCTGTACCCTAGAAGGAAGGTTGGAGAGGAGTAGATTGCATGAACTGTATGTAGTTGATGTAGAATCCTCATTAAATTGAATTGCAGTAATCTTTTGCCAGTGTTTCTAGGTCCTGGGAGAATACCATATATCATCTCTGGAGGAAGATATTACCCTGGGCTTCAATAATTTCTACAAACAAATTTTCAAATACAGTGTCTGCACACAATTAAAAATAATCAGGCACAGGAAGAGGCAAGACAACATGAATGAGAAAAATAAAAGCAACAGACAATGGAATAGACACATAGAGATTCAAGATATTACGAGTTATCAAACAGATTTAAAAATAATTACGATTATTCTGTTCAATAAGATTAAAAATGAAGTTCTAATTTATTAGAGAACTAAAAACTACATATATAATAGAAAGTATACACATGTATGAACTAGACATATGAACGATATATATGTAAACTAATACAAGGTCTGTCCAGAAAAAGTCCAACCATTGTTAATAGAATGAGAACAATTTGCGTAACATCGAGGTAACCTGGCCGCCAAGGAGAGTGGATGGGAATGAGCAGGTGTGAACAATGACTGCTTCCTGACTCCATTGAGTGAACGTGTATTGTGTGGCTGTTGCATTAAAAATGAACAAGGAGAGCAATGAAACCGTCAAATTTTGCATTAAGTATGAACCTTCCTCCACAGAAACTATTCAGATGATTCAGAAGGCTGCAGCTATGGGCAACCGATGATTGGCAGCTTCATCATAACAATGTGCCTGCTCATGCATCGTGTCTTGTGCAATGTTTTTGGGCTAAACAAGTCACCCAGGTGACTAAGACCCCCCTACAGCTCATGTTTGGCTCCTGCCAACTTCTGGCTTTTCCCAAAACCAAAATCACCTTTGAAAGGGAAGAGATTTCAGACCATCTATGAGATTCAGAAAAATATGACAGGGGCAGCTGATGGCGATTGGGAGAACTCTGTAAGATCCCAAGACGCCTCTTTGAAGGGGACTGAGACGTCATTGTCCTATGTACAGTGTTTCTTGTATCTTGTATCTTCAATAATTGTCTCCATTTTTCATAGTATGTGGCTGGAAACTTTCTGGATAGACCTCATATAATTCAAAAAAGAACCACAGAGAAATTCTAGGACAAAAATAGAGTAAGTAGATAGATAGGTTTACTGCAGATTAGACATAGCTAGAAAAAAAGACTTGGAATGTAGGTCAGAAGGAATTATCTAGAATAAAGCATAGAAAGTCAAAAATAATAAATTACAGAAGAAAGCATGAGACAATTTTGAGAAAGTTTATAAGTAATTGGAATTGTGGAAGGAAATGGAGATCTAATGATGCAAAAGCATTTTTGAAGATTTAATACCAAATAACTAAAATTGATGAAACATCAAGCCACAGATTGGAAAAGCTCTGTATACCCTAAATAGATAAAATGTACACTGATGTACATCATAGTAAAAGTGCTAGAAACTAAAAAGTAGCCAGAGGAGAAGGAAGACCACTTTCAAATGAGCAAAACTACAAAGCTCATTTCTCAACAAAAAAAAAAATTGAAGACAATGGAATGGAAATTTCAAAAGGCTGAAAGAAATGTACTAACCTAGAATTCCATACTGAGCATTAATCTACAGAAATGGTAGGGAAATAACATTTCAGCCAAAATAGTATTTCAGGCAGACAAAAGCTGAGAGATTCCATTAACAGAGGAACTAAAGGAACTTTGCAAAGGTAGGGTCCTCCCCACCCCCAGGGAGAAGGATGGACAGAGAAGCATGAGGAGTTAACAAACAAGGTAAATATGACCATTGACTTATGAAACAATGTCTAATGGGGTTTTAACTATACAGAGAAGAAAAGTGCACAATGCAATGATATATATGTCAAGAGTATTTAGGAGTTAAAATATCCTAAGGTCTTTACATTGTGCCGACAATAGACTTTGGTATATTAAAGATGTGCATTGTAACTTAAGGATAACCACTAAAACAATAGTAAAAGTTTCAAACTGAGACAGGAAAAGAATGGGATAACAAAAAGTAAGCAGGAGGGAAAAGAATCTAATGGATAGGACAAAGAAAATGCACATAGTAGGATGTAGATTTAACCTCAAATATATCAGTAATTACATTAAATATAAATGGACTAAAATGTTCTGATTAGAAAAAAAGCGAAGTTCATCAAACCAAATAAGAGAATTCCAACTGTTTGCTG